ATTAGTTCCTAAAGGTCTATAGTATAGAATTAATAACTCTTATATAGAAGTTATCTTATAATTTTAACTATAGCTTATATAGTTTAATATTAATATTAATTATAGTATTAACTAGTATAAGGAAGGTATTAGTGCTAGCACTAGTGCGCATTAGCTCTTCCTTAATCTTTAGCTTAAGTCCTTATCTAAATATAGTTAAGAGTATAGTATTATTCTAGTTAGTATATATAGCAAGTTGCTAAAACTCTATAGCATAGTTAGTAGCTAACTTAGTTTATTTAATATATTAGATATTGCATTAGGCGCTAGAGACTTTATTAAATATACTAAATATAGGTTTAATTTATAACTTAAAAGTATTAAAGTCCTTTATCTAGTTATCTACTTTATCTAGGGTGTTACCTAAGTTATACTATTATATAAAGGGCTTTATCTATCTTAATACTGCGCTACGCATATAGCTGCTAGCTAGTATAACTCTTTTCTCCTCTTTAATGCGCTTGCCTTAGAATATAAAGAATAGATCCTATTATATAAGCTAATTATTAAGCTTGCTATATTTATTATAGTAGAGGTTAGGTTTATTAACTATAATATTACCTATATAGGTAGCACTATTATTAGTTATATCTATACTGTTTAATAAGCTAGAGGTAGCTTAGTTTCCTAAGGTAGTAGATATCTTAAAGATATTTAAAATATTAAGGTTATACTTTAAGCAAAGCTTATAAGCACTATTTAATTAGTTCTTAGGGATAAATGCTATTAAAGAAACTAAAGAGGTCTTATACTAAGGAGTATAGATATAATCTATCTATCTTAAAGGCAAGAGGTAATAATAAGTAGTATAGAGTAGACTATCTAGCTTAAAGGTTAAGTTAAGATCTAATATTATAGATTAATACTTAGGTTAAATATAAACTATAAGGGTTATATTCCTACTTGCTATATACTAATACTAAGGCTTACTTATTAATAAGCAACTAATAAGTATCTAATAAAAAGTAATAAGAGTACTTATTAATAGGCAGAGTTATACTATGCTTATTAATAAGTAGTAGTTTATATGCTTACTTATTAATAAGCAAGTTATATAACTATAATTATAAGTTCTACTTACTATACCTCTATAACCTAGAAGGAACCTAGTTAGTTACTTATTATACTGTACTATACTTCGTTGCAGGATTATAATAACTTATTACACCTCCTATAGCCCCTTAATATAGCTTGTTTTAGCTCTCTAAAGAAGGCGTATAGAGATAAGGTTAATAAGCTTATTATTATAATCCTATGCGAGAATACGGCACAGCAATAAGTAACTACTAACTAGACCCTAGCTTTAGGCTAAAGGATGCACAAAGTAGAGACAACAGCAATCTAAGGAGTTACGTAACGTGCTTGTTAACAAGCATAGCACGATACTGCTTGTCTATAAGCAGTCCCCTTATTCTTATTAGACTAACTCTAGTCGCTTATTAATAAGCATCTTCTATCTATTAGTATATAGTTAGTAAGAATATAACCCTTATAGTTTATGTTTAACCTAAGTATTAATCTATAATATTAGATCTTAAACCTAACCTTTAAGCTAGATAGTCTACTCTATACTACTTATTATTACCCTTGCTCTTAAGATAGATAGATTATATCTATACTCCTTAGTGCAAACTCCTCCCTTTAGATTCCCTAATAGTATTTATCTCTAAGAACTAATTAAATAGTGCTTATAAGCTTTGCTTAAAGTATAACCTTAATATAGGCTTTAGATTCTAGCCTACTATTAGGCACTTTTTATAGCTAGTAGAACCTTTGCTAAAGATGTTTCTATATTCTGCTAAATATAGAGAGCTAGAATATAATTAACATTATTAAAATTATTAGCTAGGAAAGCAAGTAATTTAGCAAGCTGAACCTCCTCTATAAGTAATAGCATACAATCCTGCGCACATGTTTTCAGCGTCTTAAGTACATTGCAAGCTGGCAAAGTAGGCACGGAATAGAGAAGATAGAGGAACGAGATGTTCTTGACACAAACGATAGCAGGGCACTGGTTGATAGCGGTTTCTGCTGAGGACGAACACAATAGTGAATTCTGCCTTTTAATCTAAGAACAGTTGCAGTGATTTATGCCCCACTGTAATTTAAGTTTACGTAATTACGCAGATCTAGACTAGCGTATTTCACGATAGGCCAACCTATTACAAACCGCTACAAAAGTCTGAGTATGAAGCCTCGAGCTAATCTAGCATCATTCTCGAAGCTCCAGCGTAGCTCTGTATTCATTGCCACTATTGAAGGCAATCTGCAGTCCGTTGAATTCTGCTAGCTCTTTTTGCAACGACAGGATCTCGAAGTTGTAAGATCGACTGGAAAAGTGCTGCGACTCCAGCCGCCTGTAAGCGGCGGTGTTGGTATAGAATAACGCAAGATACTGAGGTTGACACACCAAGCTATCGCGTGTGGGCAAGGTGTTAGCACTTAAGACACCTGATCGAGCGCCTGGTGGATTTGGCCATGTAGCTGTGGAGCTATCACACCTTCCACGTGGAAGGCGGAAAAGAAGCTGTGCATGTCAACGCTCTATTTTGCAAGGTCAGCAGTGACAGCATCCGGTTCGATTCTTTGGGATTTCGTCGATACTCCGCACGTACAGTGGTGGAGCCTTCCGTGCTGTTGCAGTGCTGTCGCTCGTCTATTTTATCTAGTATGACAGGCGTCAAGTACACAGGGTGCTATTGTCTTTGACTGCATCTCTTGCTTCTACTAGTCGCGAGATTACAATAGCTTAGCCTTCATCAATCTCTTGTGAGGACGTATCTTAATTATTAATCTATGATCATAACAATTTCATTAAACCAAGCATGCGCTCAGCTGATGCAACATTACCAAGGGGGGTTCTTTCCGGACTCTATGGAAGAGCTTCAGTTTAACCATCATTTCCTCTCAGCTTCTAGATCAACCTTATCGTCGCTAACGTAATGCACTGGGATAATTGCATTCACGACCTTCTGCACTTTTTCATCAAAAAGTTCGCCTTGCTGATGACCATATTTATGTAGACGATCGCTTAATGTGCTGTAGAATTTTTGCCAACTTTGTTATATTTTTTGTCGCCGGATAGTACCTTGAGTGGATGACTGTCACATTTCTTGGGGCATTGAGACCATTGCTCTTGCCAAAATTGCCTCCAGCGAAGCCTAAGCGTTCCTGGTGCCGTTTTAGTAGTAGGTAGGTGTTCCAGCAGCCAGCGGCAGGTCATTAGTGACTCCGCGCTGACTTGTCCTTTCCGCTGCGCAGAGGGAAGGCCTAGTTCGGTACGCAGCTCCTGAATCTGCCTCATGAATGTCATGGCATGCTCCTGGATACGTCCTTCGCAGTTCCCAACACTGATCTGCAGGTCATTCAATTGCTGGTGTGGTGTCAGAAGGCGTTGCTCAATCTCAGATCGAAGCTTCGCGTCCCGTTGTACTAGGTGGCTCGGTGTTGGACAAGCGAGTCGCAATTTGTCGAGCGTTGACTATAGATCTGTGATTCGTTGTCGTGTTTCGTCTCTCATGTGGGTATTCTGCAAAGCATGGGAAGCTATCCGCTCGTTTAAGTCCCTCAAGTCTCTCCTGGTGTTCCGAACTAGAACAGCATTCCTGTCAAGCTGGCAACTGGTTTGCACCCACTTACGATGCATCATGATCGCGGTCAAGTTGCGTCGAAGTTCCCATATATTTTGCTCAGGGTTGTCCGGAGATACGTGGAGATGTACCAAAAGTCGAGACACTGGTCTGGTTTCCCAGGAACTGACTCGAGGGAGGTGCGCGGCATAGTTCTAGCGCCCTCGACCGGGTCCTGACGCCCTTTTGGAAACAGACGCATTATGGAGTGTAGGTGTTCTTTTCATTGAGATCAACTGATGTGGGATCAAGTCGGCACTTCCTTTCCTCGAAAATGTTTTTGGTTCAGTATAATTCAAGAAACAGTCAACAACCTTGCAAAGCATAAGATCTATCAGCGATGGAGCAATATAGATTGTGTATGCATATGACAGCTGCATCGTCTTATTCATCGGCGTGTATATCCCGCCCCTAACTAGCTGCATCTTGCTATGAGACTAAGCCAATCTGGTGCCGGCTACGCCGATGTTGATCTGCAGTTTGTGTGATTGCTCACCTCATTTCTGCTGCTCGCTTACGTTCACATTAGCGAACGGGACCCATCTAATTTAGTGACTTTTCGAACGACTTTGTACTACAGATTTTGTGGGACCAGTCACTTCGATCGTCAGTCATCTGTGCGCAAATAGCCTTGTGTCGTTGATTGTGCACAGCACCTAGCAAAATTCGATGGAGCAACTGAAGTCATCATTTGCCCAACACATTCCTCGCAAAAACCGGGCTGTGACCGGTAAGGCTGCAGTTCAGACATATACCAATGGTAAGGTAAAGTAGAGCACAGAATTAGGTCACGTTAGAACACCTCCAGAATAACGGAGCGAGGTCATAGAAATAACTCATTGCTTCCAGGCTTCAGCAACGCAGTTGCTTGGATAAAAGAGCATTTGGCGAAGGTACGGCTGTAAGGAGAGATAAGTCCGAACGTATTCATCTGACGAATGTCTGCATCATCACACGCGCTGTACAGCCAGCAGTGCGCGTGCAAATCGGAGGCAGCGACCTTAGCCCATTGTGTCTAGTAGACTGAGTACAACGAAGCTCGCCCTACCTATCATGGAGACTCACTTGTTTGTATCGTGTATTAGAAGAGCACAAAAATGGTGGAGTAATAAGTATTCAGTGAAAGGGCGAATTTGCTAGTTGATGCATTTGTTGAGGTTCCTACAGTCAACGACATCATTACTAGAACTTGAAGCCACTAGAATAATATTTTCATAAGTAGACAGCACCATTACGTGCAAAGATTCTTGTGGCGAGTGAAACTCTAGTTAAGATCTGCGCGAGTGTGTCCCAATAGTGTAACGATGTCTATGAACTACAAATGCTCGTGAACTACAAAATTTCGCGGAGCAGGAACTTGAGAATTCCCCCAGCATACGCTGATTCTTTGGGGAAGAACTTCCTACTCTCGATGGTATATTCTCGAAGTTCCTCCAGAGATGAGAATAGCTCGGGATCGTGATCTGATGTATCCACCAAGTCTACGAGGTTGACATGAATAGTCTTTATCTTCTTTTCACAGTCAGTGGGAAAATGGCGAACCTAGCGTCTCGAACTGACCTCCTTGCACTGAGCAATGGTTACGGGCATTGGCTCGATGTGGACCGCTACGCAAAGTCTGTGCCAATGTTCGAGATTGTTAATGTCGGTACCATATAAGCCATTGAACCGAATGACCATGGCGTCTTTAAACCCTTGGCGAGCCTCTTCGCGCTCTCTGTCGTCTCTGTCCCAGGCAAAGAAATCACACATACGATAGAATTCTTCTGCTAAACCTCTCTTGCAGTCGTACGAAAACTCTGGGTACCTCAAGAAGAACATGGTAATTGCGTCCGAATTCTCTTCGATTTTATAGCGCTTTCTCTTCTCCTAGATGAAAAGATATAAGAAAGAGAGTACAGAGATTCCGTCATTTCCGGACACTTACCGCATTACCTCGAGAGCGGTTGGAACCTGATTGCGAACCACCGTTGTGAGAGAACTTGCAGCTTACTCCATAAGGGCAGGAGCCTTGGTCTCTGAACTGATAGCATTCCGCTCGTGAGTTTCTGTGCATTGTATTTCTTGTGGTAGAGCGGCCCTGAGCGTGTGGTTATACTTACTCATGAAAGCGGAGGATCGAGTAGATATAGCTATTGTGGATTGGACCTCAAACCTGCTTGGTGTGACAGCGGAGGTTGATACCGAATGACACCTTGCATGAGACTTTTGGCGACTGAAATATCGCCAAGAGATTCATAACCGTGGTGTGTGTTATATTGACTTTCTGCCATGTAAGGTAGTATAGTTGAGGTCTTTCCAATCGAGAATTCGCTAATCTTGTGTGATCATTGCTGCTAGATCAACTGGCAGCGATATCGCTTAGATCTTTAGGGATGAGGGTCAAGTAATGTAGCACATGCTGGCGTGGTAGTATTGGCCTGGTTGCGACTACCCAATTTCCGAAGGAAATCTTTCTATGAACAATCTCATCAAGGGCTCTCTTACATTTTAGATACGGGGAGCATCTATGCAACGGTGGAGTGTCTTGGGATATATGCTGGATGAGGTGTTTGTACCCGCCAGCGCTAGAAGTAGCCGGTAGCAAGGATTATCCATCTCGTGAAGTTGCTGATGCTCAACACAGGCGATACTACCACGTGCGCCTTCTTCTTGTAGCAATCAAATGCGCTCTAAATAGTTTCCTTACTATACTATGGCATCTACACTATTTGGTTATTGAGATGAGCGCCTTGTGCAGTGCCAGAGATGAATACAATGTGACCGGTGTAGTGTTCAACATGACGTGACGAGCTCAGTCCTGTTTCAGAAAGATTATTCATAGGCATTTTTCACAACATAGCGCAGCAGATACTACCACAGACTTTGATATCAATTCGGTCATGCAACCTAAATTGTGATAACCTGCTACTAGAGGTTCATAGCTATAACGATAAATGGTCAGCACTTTGACGTAAGTGCACCGATGCACAACGTGTAACACTACGTCATCGTATGACTATGACCAGGAAGGAAATGGATAGCCAGACACCAATACGGGTGTACACGCTAACACTACACACATATTCGAAGCACGTTTAAATTCTCTGCCCTGATAGGTAGCTATGCACCCCTGAAACATATACGTCCTATTTTTATAGAATAGTTTCTATATGTGCGTGTAGGTTAGTTGTCTAGAACGTATAATATATTCAAAGTAGTTATAGTTGTTGACCAAGTAAATACTATCATAATTGTCATATTAACTAGTTCACACTACATGTCTATTGCGTCATCAAAGTCGTTTCAATTCTTGAACTCGGGATGACTAGGGTAAGTGCAGCCCAAAACAAAGCTGTCGTTCCTGGCATCAACAGATTGCTCAACTGGAATGGAGTAAGCTTATCTACTTCCCGTCCGGGTACATGTGAACGTTCATAAGATCGCAAGTTGATAGTGACAGCATTTACTAGAAAGCTTGGCAGGTGACACGGTCACTAATGTAAGCAGTGTAGAGCAAATATGTGGTGGCCTGAATAGGCGTACTAACGTAAATGTAACCGCCTGTTAAGACGTCACATGCTCTCTCGGGAGCTTTTCACGAATGACTGTATTGCACAGGAATGAATCGGTTCACAAGAGCAAGAGTTGGAATTTGAACTAATGCAAGGTGCCTGTCGTACACACATGCGCACTAAGCTCTTTCCGGATTGTTACAACTGTAAGCATTTGCAACGTTCCTCATAAGGCTAGACTAACTTCCTATAAGTAGCGCTTGCAACATCAGACTATATCCCAGGATGTATCCTTAACTAAAATTGTCTGACTGGTTTATTCGGGTCTTGTGATCATGTCGGCGGTAATCCAAAGCAGAATCCAATACACTTTTGCGAACGACCAACTTCTTTCTTCTGCACTAAAATCAGCTCACAGAGACAAGGATGGCGATGCCATTGATGACGGGAACAGGGGTTTGGCTCACTATGGAAATCTGGCAATGCAAATGGCAGAAGCACATGAAGCGATTGTCGAGAACGGCAAGACACTGCGTGAGTTGCCTATTTTCTCTGGAAAATGCTGCTAAGGACACATACAGACGACATCCATACTCGGAATCACTGGTCTCAGTCTAAGAAGGGCCGAGCACAAGCGTGTAGGTCGTTAGGCATTGAGCCTTTTATTGAACAAAGCATCCGGCAACGGCACCAATCACCTTCTGATACTGTGCTTGATCATGCCCTCAGCGCTCTGCTTGGAGCAGTTTGGCTTGACTGCGAACGCCAGAACCAAACCACAGCAGCAACACGTGGAACGATCTTGAACGTCTTACGAAGCATAGATGCGATCGTAGACGTTCAATCATCGTCAAAAGGATCCGAGACGCAGCCTCTCAAGTCAACGAGTAATCAGTCTCGTGTAACGACCGACCACTCTGAACCGCAATATAGCAACCTAGACTTGAGTTTTGGACAAGAGCTGGGAAGTATAGATGAGTTTATCAATGATTGGTTCCAACAGGAATTTGGTGGAATCTCCCAGACGATACTCGATTCCGGAGCTGTTGGTGAAGATCTGCGAGACTTTACTGTTGAGGCCGAGGGACGTTTGTCTCCCAGAGACAATCTGACAAACGATCCGAGTGAACTAGTCCCAATCACAAGTATCCCAAGACTGGATAGCCAGGTCCCGGTGGTGAGACAGCAGCAAAGTGACTATGATAACGAGCTGTACGACACACAGAGGGATAATTTGCGCCTTTCTGAGCCGCAGAATGTATGTAGCGCAACACCGGTGACAAACACCAAGAGGAAATGGATGCCCGACAAAGACACCAAATTGATCTCGGCATATCGCAGCTTTCTACAATCGGAGCTGCAAAAGCTGACGAAAATCCCGCAACATAATAGACAAGGATTAGCTAGATATCTAGAACATCGTAAACTCGATAGAATGGAGACAGGAACTACGATCCTGCCCCAATTTCTTTATCTGGCAATCGGTAGCTGGCAGACCATCAGCGACTACAGGGACCTGCTTCGACGGGCGAGGTGTACTTCCAACGTTCTCAGACACCCGAACGTTCTTGCATGGAGCGCTGCTGATACTTACAATGAGATCTGCCGCTTGGATCAAGAGGAAGCGTTGACTGTCTTGCTCAGAAGATATCATACCATCAAACTGTGTGCAGAAAATCAGCCATACGATGACGATTACGGTCGCATTATCGTACAGACTCCCGATACAGTGGGTTTGGTCGAGACAGCAATTGCAGGTAATCCTATTTACGTACGAGACGCCCGTCTGACAGACCAGCTGGTATTGAAAATCTTGCCAGACACACAGCCTGGATCAGCTGAGTTTATTAAGGCGCGTCGTAGAGTCAAGCGTCTTCGAAAGTTGGCAAGGTACCTTAGTGGCTTGGTTCAAACCTATGGTTTTGGGATACTTGCGCTCCTTCCTTCGGGGCCATCATTCGGAGAACTGTCTTTGACCGATACTACGTGGGTGCACATGACCCCTTTTTCTTCAAAGACTAAATAATCTAGGTTGACATCAATAACCGAGAAAAGCTTCGATACTCTCGCGCAACTTCTCTACCAGGAACAGGGCGCACTGCTCCAAAATCTTAGCAGAGCGATTGAACCCTCTTTGCTAGCTCTAGTTCAAGGTGGGCTAGAGTGTCATACGACATATCTTGCCGAAAGAGTAGATCCGTCACTTCTCATTGATTTACCCAAGGGTCTGTTGCACTTGGAATGGAACTGTTCAGATCTGGAAAGTTAGATGTAAGGCGATACTATGACTCAATATCACAATCAGCTTTAGATGACATCTTCAAGATATACGCCCAAAGGTTCATCATTAACACCTGTTTTCATTGAGTCCTTCGAAAGAATCAAAAGTTCTGCATTTGATGATACTCCACGTGTGTGATTATAATACTTGGGGATCATATGGTGGTTTTTAGAAGATACCTTTCGTGCACATGTCAAAGCACGCAAATATTGAATCAATTTGGAAGATAGAGACTTGAATACGATGAAAGCAAAGGTAATTTAAGTCCAGAACATTCGGTTGCGACACATGCTTTATGGCTGACAATTGGCTTGGTTTTGCATATCAGTGCGAACGCGCTGGTTCGTGAACGACTGAAGTCACATCCTGAAAACTGCGACTTGATACCTTTTGCTGTACAAAGCACAAAAAATACGACAGTATCCAGCACCTAAAACTGTAGTCATTGAATTAGCCCACTTGCCAACGTGATACTAGCTTCTAAATTGCCATGATTCTTCTAGAAAAAATAGGGAATGCATCCGCTTCTTGATGCCCTTCTACCCTTCTATTGTGCCGCCAGTGCCATATGCCTCTCCCAATTTCCCAAGCCTCGCGACTAGCGTCGAATTTTCGCGTCAGTCTATTTAGTCTCACCCCAACCTGATTCTCTCTTGTCTTCATTGCAGCGTCAAGATTCTAATAACTGAACATCTCGCCGAACGTCCTTTACCAATATACTGACACCAGAAAATAAGAACTTGGCAAGTTCCATGTATTTATCGAACAAGCTCTGGTTTAGACGACTGCCTGTCGAGCAATTTCTAAAGCCCTCTGGAATCAACTAGACTCGATGACGAATTCGTTTCTAGCGCTCGAGGTTGTAAAGTTCTCACCCGCAATATCCATTAAGTTGGTTTTTTCGAGGTTTGCGATTATGTCTGGAGACAGTGTCTTTACCGAACCTCCTGCCTCAAGCAGATGTCGTTCAGTGATTTGCAAGACGAAATTGTTAGTGAATTGCTTTATAGCTACTTTGTAGTAAGCCTTTAGAATGTCATGGATGTTGTTAGCAGCCTGATCCTTGTTGCTAAGGTGCACTTTCTCTATTACTTCTGCCATATTGAAGCGGACACCATCCTTGAGTGCAGCAGCTTTCAGCCTAGCCAGAACCCGCTCTTGCCTATTGTTGGACAGATTGTCGGCAGAGTAGTGTTTCACAGTTTGGAGGATACCGCCTCTCTCGTCCGTTAGAAGTTGGGCCAGCTGTTCTTTGGCCTTCTAAAAGGCCTTAATATCGCTTACAGACAGCCTTGCCTTTAGCTTCTGTTTCAAGTCGGCATCTGATATCATCTCTTATAACACAGACTCGTTGTAGCTCTAAATTACAGCAACGACCCTTTTGATGACGACCATTGCAATGTTCTTCCATGGGCTTGACTGCTGACGACACATGTTCTTAATGACTTTTGGATTTATGGTACCAGGAAGCTCAGCTCCGCGAGATTTCTGGTACAGTAGACGGATCCAATCCATGATTCCGCCGTTGTTACAAATCAATCAGGCATGATTCTGATCAATGCCTCCGCGAACGTCCTCAAAGACCTTGTCGTGATCTAACTGCGTTATACATACTGCAAAGCCGTTGCTAAGCCAGGTGATATGCATACGAAGCTTAACAGTGCTATTGCCTTCTATGTCTGAATTGTAGTTGCCGCTCGAGGCATTTGAAACGTTTGGCTGGTACGCGTTCGCAAGACGCATTAAGAAGCGCCTCTGTTCTGCAGCAGTCTGATGCGAGGGACCAAGCAGCCCTAAGTCCTTTTGAGTACTTGCTGCAAGCCTTGCGATCTCCTTGACCATCTTGGGAAATTCGTTTCGGATATGATTATACAGAAGACCACCTAATATGGACTTAACGGCGTAGATTCTAGTTCAATCCCTCTTCAGTTCCGTTCAGGGGGCGCGTGTTGCGAGAAAGTTTTTTTCGCGTTGATGGCGCTCTTTGATCGTAAAGCTATCTACAATCTCCTGAGTGGAGCGGTTCTTTACAGCAAACCAACCGTGCGTGAGCCTCTCGATCTCGTTCTTTGCTATTCTGACAACCTGTCTGAAAGTAGTGCTTGCGCTTCCTCGATCCATCATCATATCCACACACTCCAAATTCATCGCCAGCCTGCAATGCATCGCATTTGAAAACGATTCCTACGGTGCGCTTGCCTTCTGGATCGGCTGTACGAGCCATGGAGAATCTAGGCTATGTGAGTTTCAGTACATCATGAATCGACACGGCTTACACTTCTTGGTTGGCCAGGCTGTTCCGAGCATTCATGACAGTCCTACAGACGTATTAGCTACTATCGCATCCTCATCTTAGGGTGCACATACAATATAATGGCACGCTTGTCTGGGATATAGGATTGAAACAGTTTTCTGATGACTGCTCGATCTTGTTCAGTTTGATATTTGGTGGGGTCTTGAATGTCAGTAATGATCTCTTCCCTTAAAATTTTTTTACCCTGCTGCTATAAAACATCCGTGTTATCAACAAAGAAAAACTCCGCACTAACAAGTTACTACGGTTTAATTATAAATTTATTAATTAAGAGAGCATGGATTCTTGGAAGGAAAATTAAGATAGTTGATTGTGACATGTACTTGTAATAAGAACTTGATCCTCAAGTGTAACGTCATTCCTGCCCGCCTCTTCGCTCAGATAAGCTTCGATTGATAGGTCATACCAGCCTCGATAATCCCATCGTATCCAAATTCATCGAAATCTCTTTTGCTGTACAGGTAAGATATTCACCGGTCAAGCCTACGCCGTGACTGATGGCGCAGTATCGATTCTTCCGGTGTTTCTCAGGGATAAGCCAAGAACTATCGGCAAATTCTTTGAACGCCATACCTGGACGCAGGATGCTGATGTTGTGATTCAACATTTCGTATGCATCGCGATAGAGTTGCTTTTGCGCAAGCGAAGGCATGCCAGGACCCGCACGGAATGTCTGTGAAAAATCTGCATAATACCCGTAGCATCCAACAACGTCCGTATTGAGACAAATCAGCGTATCTCTATCAATGACAGCATCGGAGGTCTCCTGAAACCACGGGGCTGAACGCTGTCCAGAGTTGAGCAAGCGGGTCTCGCAACAATCGCCGTTGCTCTCAATGACCGCTTTGTGTAGAATAGACCGGAGCTCATTCTCAGTTTGGTAAGGCTGAATTACTGTGCGCAGTATGCAAACACCTCTTTCTGTTGCGCGCAAAGACTTCTGGATGCATTCAATCTCCTCTGAAGATTTGATTGCCTTTGCGAGCTCGACTAGTTTCTGCGCATCAACTATGTAGTATCCCAGCTTTTATATCGCGAAACCTACGCCAGCATTCAGACGCTCAAGCCCAACGACTATGTTCTGATGACGACCAGTGAGCTCGTATATCAATTGCCCCATTTCAACCAACCATGGGCGCTTTTTCTGTTTGATGCCGATGTCCAGGTTGTATTGAACACCCTTCGCTATGCTTACCTCGTCAATAGTATCCTCGAATCCGTTGGCGAGATAAGCACAGCCTGAAAACTCTAATAGAATGGAGCGGTCCTGCGTAAGTAGGAGGTAACGGACAGGTCCGTTGCGGCTACTCCAAATCTGCATGTTTCGGGTGCTAGCTTGAATGCTAAAACGTCGCGTTGCATAACGCAAAAAGCAGCAGATTTTGACCTACCGGTATTCAAAAATGAGATTATTTTGGGAAATTGCAATCACCGCTCAAGCCAACCACATGAACCTGGCCCCGACTCCCGGTCCCATTCCCACCCGCCGCAATCATTGTCAGATACGTCTCCAAATCGTCTCACGCAACAGTCACTCGCCATGGACCCATCTGTTCGCTTCTTTGGATTCAGCGAGTCCCCGCTGCAGCCGCATATATGGCCCGCGAGCGTTTCTTCGCCGGGTACTGTAGCTGATCATAAGCCTGCAGGGCCCTGATTCACACCACAGCCGTGGATCGCGTACAAACCGCACAAGGTGCCATCGATTCTGCCGACGCGCCGCACACTGTAGCGAGCGGCGCGCGGAGATGAGATTGCTGCGCATTTTGTCAACACACCCCACGTAAGCGGCCCGGCATCCACGGGTGGACACCATACACGAGAAAGCGGGCAAAGAGGTTTTGAAAATTGCTGTAAGCACACGCTAGGTCACGCGATGACGGCCAAGCCTTCCACTGAAAGCGTTTCCTCAACGTTATCAGCTTTCGTTCCGACGACGCTGTTGCCCTATGGCGACTATACGAGCCCAAACGAGAACGACCAGGAGCATTTCCCGAGTCCCAGAAATACCGGAGCTCACTTATGTCCCGAACAAACACAGTCTCACCACCGCACAACACGTCGCTCTGCACCTGCACAGCCTTGGAGGAGAGAGCGATGCGGCTTTGAACGTCACCCTTGTCTGAGCACGGTATCTTGTGGTGGCATATCTGGCAAATCACTAGTCAAATGCCCCCCACAAGATGGCAGGCTGTAGCGTTGCTTGACTCTTGTCTTTGAAGATATTTTGTGTGCTGAAACCGATCCATGACTGGACGCAAAGGCGTCAGGCACTGCCTCCCGACTCGAAATTCTGCTTCTCTCGCAGCATTCTGCATCCTTGATCCAACTACGGCCATCAGATACAGCAGTGATGCCTTGCAGTAAAGTAAAGACAGCTCCCCGTTTCTCCGCTCACGCGATGATCCAAGTCCCGTGTTGTATTGTGCGCAAGCGACCAATTGCAAACCGAAATTTTTGCCTACCTACATTCACCTCATCAGTGGCAAAGACGGCGAGCGGCCGCGTGACCAGGGCCCATCTACGCCGTAAACACTTCATCTCCACAACCACTCACTGACCCGTCAGCTCATGGCTCTGAACAGCACTGAAAGCTTGTCCCCCTCAAATACCATGGACCCGCAGATTGACAGTGAACGCAAGCTGCACCGGGCACAGCAACTCGATCGCGCCCAGGTCGCACATCTGGCGGCGCGAATCAATGACCTCATCGAGCAAAACCGCAACCTCGAAGCCCGCATTGCGTACCTGCGTTCCACGCTGCCTACCGCCCACCAGGCGGCGCCTAATCCGCCACCACCCAGCGCCAACGCGCTCCAACTCCCCGCCGCCATCGACTCCCTGATGGCCGCGCAGGACGTCTACCGTTGCAAAGGCGTGCTGATGCCATGGTAAGCACTGCCCTGCCTTCGCCACCACTCTCTGACTCCCCAAGCGCGTGGAGAACCTGCAACAGACCCGTATATGACTATCGCTGCATGATGCAAGGCCATTTGGCGTGGTGTGCGGCCCACCGCCGTACGATTCTGGGCCTGTAATCGACGGCCTGCACGGTCGAGCTGGAGTGGCGCATCGACTGCGTGCCGGTGTACTGGGAGTAGCGGTCCTCGGGTGTGGGGGTGGACTGACTGACGCGTTGCATCGCCGTTGAGGACTCACACGTGGCACGCGCGGCGTTGGGGAGTACCAGTGGGATCAACGAGGCTCGAGCAGAGCTGCCGGGGAGAAGCTGAAGTAGACACAACAGCGCCAGCTACTCATGTAATCTGTTCTTTCTCAACCGAAGCTAGTCGCACGAACGGCTTATTCTGCATTACTCCATCAGGCGCGCTTTGTATCTAGCACATGACGGCACGTGGGACTTGCGTGCACCGGACCGATCTACAAGACACGAACTAGTTACTGCCGCTCCAGCACCCGCTCCTACTCCAGTTCCCTCTCCTGTTGCAGTGTCTACTCAGACTTGGACCCCAGCGCCACCAGTGCCCGTAGGACATAATCAGTACAGTCCAGAACGTTACAGAAACAAAGACTGACAGCTCAACGTAATACATCTACAACCCTCCCAACGTGTCAGAGCCCCTAGGGTCCCTGCAGCACGCGGAATCGCCCGAGCTCCAAGAGGTGCAAGATTCAGTGAATAGAGCCATCACGCCGCCAGCGGCAGACAAGCTGAACCCATACCAAACCCTCACGTCCAGATCGCAACTACCAGCGGGACCCCACGAAAGCCGCCTTGACCTACTCCCACGCACGAAGCTTCCGCACGCCATCCCCTCGACCTCTTTGCGTCAGTCGCACAAATCCCCGCCGCCATCCGTCGCCCAGGACTCCGCGGCGCCACATTCAGCCCCTGCGCATCTTCCTCCACAACGCTAGCCCCTCGTGACGCGTACATTGCACAGCATGCAGTCACTGTAGCAGCCATGCCCCAGAACGTACACCTGTGGCCCTGCACAAGCGTCTTGTCGGCTGCCTCGCGCAACGTGTGGCGACGGAGATGGAGTCTGCTGAAATCGATCTAGTAGCTGGTAAGGACGCGGCTTGCCCGTTGGGCCGGCACCTGAAGCGAGTGCGGCGACGCGATGGTGCTATGGCGTTGGGTGTGGAGCGGGCCGTGCTGGCGATGTAGTCTGGATGATGCGAGTAACTACCTGCAGGAGAACTCACATGTGACATGCGCGATGGTGTCGGAGGGAATCCATGCTTAGGTCTTTTTCGCGCAAATCGGCGGGAACTTGGCTGAGGAGAAGCTGGCGTATCTGCATGGCTGTGGGAACTCGCCTGGTTCGAAGACGTGCGATCCAAGTAACGGCATTTTGTATCTATCCTGCATCACGTTATGCTGAGAACAGCTTCTTACAAGTAAAACTGTTACGCAGACATGACAGTATCTCGAAACAAGAACTACAGTTGGCCGGAGGGACCGTGCCGCACCGAAGACGAACTACAATTGGTCTGAGATACCGCCCAAGGAGATAAGAGGAGCCCAGCGTACACAGGGCCGCCCCCTCGTCCACGGCTTGCACGCGGTTCGGCAAGCAAGTTGTCAGCTCATGACAGCATATGCCGTGGATTTGTAGCCGCGCAGACGCGCCAAACCCGACGCGCCTGTATGTCCAAGATCGCAGTTGCCGGTGAGCCGCGGTCATAAAGCGGGCCGTACCGGCGATATAGTCCCGGCGTGGTCTGGAACTGGCTTCGCGAGGCGACGGGCGCCGTTGTGGGGCGGTAAGCGCGGTCAGGTATGGCAACGTTCGGTGTGGATGGCTAGACTGGCGAGTCGCCTACAGAGGAACGATATCCCCGTGAAGGGCTGCGACGAGATCGGATGAGCAGGCTCGGAGAACGCTGGTTCTGAGACGCGGATATAGTCAATCTCCGGTGGTGAAGGCAGTGGGGTCGAGGTACTTGCTACTGCGAGTGTTTCGTGCTGGGCGCGGGAATGTCACTCTACGCATGTGCAGTACGCGGCTGAGACCAAGTAGAACTCGATGAATGAATAACAAGTCAAATTCGCACCGGCTTACGTTAAGTAATCGACGCATTTCCCTAGGCGCGGAGAGACAGCACCGACAAGATACGTTGGCAACCGGGTTCCGACACTCCGTGTGGTGAGTAATCACAACGAACGCCGAGGCTCATATCACTGATGCCAACGTACCCGCTCTTAACCGGAATTTTCACAGAATCATTGCTTCCTGTTACGCCCGTAAGTAGACGTTTCAGAAGACCGTCGGAGCAATTCTTCAACATCTACAGGCCCTGTGCAATATATCTCGAGAGTTGCTAACAAGCATACAGATAAGAGAGTATCGGGCTCCGACTTGCCGACGTGTCTGTGCGTTCTCTCTATGAACATCTACTTTTTTTCCTCGTGTAGCTATATGTAAAGTACATATATGAAAAGTCTCGACTACTTCTAATCAGTGGTTGCTGTAATGCAGAGTTGTAAGTAGAAGACCTAGATTAGCGTCGGTAGGTCGGTGATTTTTTGAGCCGATAGGGCAGCTTATTAGTTGCCCATGCGTCTCCGATGTGGACCGTGCATCCGGTCTACAGAGCTACGTAATCGAAGTGGGATGGAACCCATATGTACCCCGGCACGAGCCATGCTTGGCCGATGCTCTAGAGCTCGTACAGCAGAACCAAGTCACCACGCAATGGCTTCAGTCAACAGCATTTGGGCCATTGCGTGGCAGGATTAGTGACACAGTATAGATCTGATATCTGATACGAAAGCCACGGTAGCCATCGTCGATCGCTATTCACGTCCAGGAGGCCATTGGACTATTGCCTATCCATTCGTCACTCTTCATCAGCCGTCTCTTTGCTACGGCGTCAACTCTCGAAAACTTGGGGACGAGAAACTGGACCGGGTCGGTCTCAACAAGGGCCTCGCTGAGATGGCAACGGGAGACGAGATTGTTGCTTACTATGGCAAAGTCATGAATAGCACTCTTCTTCCATCCGGCCGGGTGACCTATTATCCTCTGCACAACTATACCAGTGACGGACAGTTCCAATCAGTTGCAACAGGCAAGATGTTCCAGGTCGGACCAAACACCCGCATCGTTGACTCCACGTACATGAAAGTCAGGGTTCCTGCCATGGGCCCACCTCAATACGAGGTGGCGGACAAAGTCAGCCTTATCACGCCAAACGACTTAGCAACTATTAAACGACCCTATGGCGCATACACAATTGTAGGAGCTGGAAAAACTGCAGCAGATACATGCCTATGGATGCTAGCACAGGGTATCGATCCAAAAGACATCTCCTGGATCATGCCGCGCGACTCCTGGTTCTTGGAACGCTCAATCGCCCAGCCACCAGAAGCTACCCTAAACCCTGAGCAGCAGATAGCAGAGAGAAAAGAGGCTACTATGAAAGCTACGACATCTGATGACATGTTTCACCGCCTGGAGACCTACGGACATGTGCTGCGTATCGATAAGAACGTAGAGCCTACCATGTTCAGGCACGCGTATTTATCGTCAGCAGAAATGGATCAGCTGAAGAGGGTGAAGAACATCATACGCCAAGGACGGATGGCGCGCATTGACCCTGACAAGGTCACTTTGGAACAAGGCGCGTACACACCGGTACCTGACACACTCTTCATCAACTGCACCGCTCTTGGACTATCAGACCAGCCAGTCATTCCCATCTTCAACGGCAGGTATATTACGCTCCAGGTCGTGAAGTTTAACCAGCCTGTGTTCAGTGCTGCTCTTGTTGCACACATCGAGGCTACGTATGATAACGACGACGACAAGAACTACTTCTGTGAGCCTGTCCCGTATTGTTTCAAGCCGAAGGACTACGTTGCCACCTTTCTGCCTAATGTAAGGAACAGGATGAGGTGGACGGAGGTGTCTGAATTGAATGCCTGGTGTGAAAAGGCTCGTCTTGACATGGGCATCTTGGGTCTGCCACCTAGCAATCCCGAGACAACCGAGTATTCCGATCCCGAGCTTATGGATAAGCTGAGAGGTGTTTACGAGAAGTTCAACGAGATTGCCAAGGCCGATGCTATCGCTGTAGCATAGATGTACAGCTTTTGTTCAGAAAAACCTTTTCTACCAAACAATGTTTTGATAAATTAATTTTCTTCGTCTCGTGAATTCTTTGTTGATTTGGGTGACTGTTCGAACTAAAAGACACCCACACCGAGTACTATCCATATTTATTTCACCTGCATGAGTTGGATACAAGGATTACGAGGCCAGAGGCTGGAATGGTGCATGGTTTGGTCGCACGAAAATCGCCTCAAAACACACGAGCGTAGAGATAGCGAAACCAACACACCAACTCAGAAGACTCAAGATAAGCAATGAATTTGAAACCTGTCACAGCGCTGAGCTAGAACAAAGCCGAGACGTGGTAACTTATGCTTGGCTCGCCAGAGCACAAGTTTCAGTACACCTGGACCTGTTCGCCAACATGATCACGCCCCACGAATACGGCCGAAGGCGTTAGTAATCAAATGCCGATCGATGAATGACAGCCTCGGTATCTACAAATATTAAACCTTGCCTGTATCGTAGTAGCAGGCCCCCTAAAAGTGTTTGCGGCTTTAGTTAGCGGGTTGTCTGTTTTTAAGCAGTGGAAACCTCCTTGAGTTCCACAACGATAAAAGTTACCCCGATTAGCACTGGCCTTTATCCTCTGGCTATGGTCACGAGTTCTACTTACAAGGCCCTTCTGCTAATGAGTAGCTTCATGTCTACCTTGGGGGCGACACATCGGTCAGAGGTATAGGTCCTTGGCAAGACGTTAACAGCGATACTTACACTACGCCAGAACTCAATGTGTCAATTCAACGTGAATCTCAACACCGTACGTCCACAAGTCCTCAGGTCCCAGCAGCGGTGCTTAAATACTCATTCGCATTAGGCGGACATCGCCAACACTAGTTATGTGCGTATGATGAAGAACGTCAAGCTTCCCATTTCGGGACGAACATACCGCTACGCCATCAACCCTCCTCTCGATGGAGAAAAGCCATACATCTTATTCCTCCACGGTTTTCCCGAGTCCTCGTATAGTTGGGTCAACCAGATTGACTACTTCACCCGGCACGGCTACGGAATCATAGCGCCAGACCTTCTCGGGACCGGTGGCACCGACAAGCCCACCGAACTAGACGCATACAGCTTGCGGACCATGTCATCTGAAATAGCCGAACTGCTCCAGTGTGAGGGCATTGAGAAGGTGGTCGCTGTTTCACACGATCTGTAAGCAAAACACACACGCAGAACCCTCCTTCGTGTAGAGACTGTCTAGGCTGACTTTGAACCCTCAAGCGGATCTTTCCTGCTCTCCCGCTTCCACACATACCACCCTGCCTATCTTTCCGCTCTGGTGTACCTAGACATCAGCTACATCCCGCCCGGCCTAGACCTGAACCTCACTACCATCGAAGCAGCCAACAACGCTTCGCAAGCCGGCTTGGGCTACCCTTTGTTAGGTTACTGGCCCTACCATAACCAGCCCGATGCCCACGTCCTCATGGACAAACACGTGCGTGGTCCCCCCTCCTGTCTTCTCCCACCCCTTAGTTTTCCACGCGCTTGACAATCGCAACAGTTAGACTCCCTCTTCTCCCTTTACTACACCTCGGCCACCCCAACGACCTGGATCGAAAACTTCAATACACCAGGCAAACTACAAGAGTGGCTAGCAGCAGACAAACGCGCGGAGTTCGGCAACGAATACATCACAAACTCCACCCGCGAGATCTGGAAGTCCATCGTCAAGGCGCAAGGCGGTTTGGAAGCGCCCTTGAAATGGTACAAGGCCTTTTTACAAGGTGTGAATTCCAAGGACGAGACTGGTACGGAAAAGCTTTCCTGCGTTGACAACGCGTGTTTCGATTCCATGGATAGCTAATGTGGGCGTAGAGCTTGAAGATGCAAATGGGATGATAGAGCAGCCTGTTATGTTTGTAACAGCGCAAAGGGATGCGGTGGGTGTGCAATCGGAGGAGTTGAAGAGAATGGTGCCGTTTGCGATGGGGATGTCGATTAGGAGCGTGGACGCCGGGCATTTCGTGCATCTTGAGAATGCGAGAGAGGTTAACAGGATAGTGCATAAGTTCTTAGAGGATATTTAAGACAGTGGTCGGATGGAGGCGGTGATAGGACGAGAAGGAAACGTTGATTTGGCGGGCGACCAGTAGCAGGGGAGGGCGAGGAAGAGGAAGTGGAACGTGTGATAGGAAAGTAGTACGTACATTCGCAACGGCTATCTTCCATGCTGCGCAGACGATGGGTAGGTGTGAGACGAAGACGCAAAGTAGACAGAACAGCGTCCATCAACCTTTCTAGTTTGTTATTCCTGCACAAACAAAGCCAGTCGTATAGAGGGGTCACTAACACAACTGCATCAGGTGCGCTCGAATCAAGTACGTGACCGTATGTAGGGTGCAACGGATTGCTGCCAGGTATCAGAGACGGCCAGCATGTCGCTAGATGCACGACACAGAGCTAAGGTATCTCGGTGGCAGTGGTCGCGTGGACCAAGATCAATTCAGCAGCTAGTGGGCGCGGGGCGACAAGACGACAGTGGACATAAGTACATGGCGAGCAATTCCGTTGAGCATAGAAGCAAGGTTGTGCAATACCAAAGGGCATATCACGCATAAGAAAGCCCTTCGTTGCGACTCGCCATACAAAGTCCGCTTCAGGTAGCACCTATCTCTCAGTCTGAACTTCCTTTGGAGGCTAGTGCCTGGATCCAGGAAACACCGTGTCTTCTCAGGCTAGACGTTACTGTTGCGAGAATAGACAAGATCGCGAAATACAATTTCCTGTTTTGGTTATCCCTCTATACTGCTCTATACTCTTGTTTTTACTTCCTTAACGCCTTCCTAAGTGTCTTTTTTAACCCAGGTCCAGAGTAAAGATAAAACCCAAATGTGAACATCGCCACATTGAACACTGTGTATGCAACCAAGAACCCAAAGTTCCTCCAGCGATGGTTATAACTCATATTCAACGCAGCCAGGTACACATCCCCCAAAGACGCCTGGCAGAATTCACAATCATGTGTTGCCTCCGGATTTAGTAGCGTAGCCAAGCTCGCGTTCGCGAATGCGCCCGCATAATCGCGGCAAGTCTGGCCGGCGGGCGGCTGGAAGATGTTAATCTCCATCGCTGTGCACTGAACGGGCACGTCGTGCACGCCGATGGACATCATTGCCGAGACAAGCCACGTGAATGGCGAGACGTAGTAGGCAAAGTTCCAGAACGAGACAAGCTGGCGGAGGGGTTGCAGGACGCCGCTGAAGGCGAGGACGAAAGTGTAGAGCAGGACGGTCAGCATGGCGGCTGTTTCGGCGTTGGGTGATACGGCGGCGACGGCTTGCGAGAAAGTGGTATAGTAGATCTGGTAGAGAATGTAGACTGCGTACATAGAGATGCCGCGTGCGGGAGAGATGTCGCGCCACCAGCCGATTGGAAAATACCAGCAGATGAAACCGATACTTGACGCGATGATGTTGGCGGGTATTTCGACGATTATGTTGGAAACGATGAAGACGCTCCAGTGATACATGTTTGAGTGCTTCTCGCGGACGTCATAGATTTTGCGGAGATCGATCAGCCGGGGCTGCACAAGGACCATCAGTATGAGGCAAATGATCAGCATCATGAAGATTGCGAAGACCTTGTTTTGTAGACCCTGTATGGAACTAGGCTCTTTGTAGAACGTGAAGGCAATAAACAGTCCACCAAGGATGTTGATTGCGAGTTTGCTCTTGATGTACCCTGCCGAGCGCCACTGCTGCACGAAAAGCCGCTTTTGAACGAGGTTGTATTGCTGGAACCAATTCAGCGAGAACGAGCGCTTGGGAGCGGCTAACGGCATATCTGGACTAGGACTGCTTTGCGCTTGGATACGGTCGATGCGCTCGGTGACAGCTTGGCGTTCAGACGAAGCTGCCCAGACTGACGGCCAGTCTAGCGTCGCCTGACCTGTAGCTCCTGCTCCAATCTGCTCTAAGACGTATTCGGCCGGATTTGCACCTGCCGGGCACGGTGGGGCACCGTAGCTCGTGAAGTAGTCGAGGACCTTCTGCGAGTCTTTGCCCAAATCTCCAAAGTACACCGTCCTGCCACCTTTTGCTAGTAGCAGCAAACGATCAAATTGGTCGATCAAGGTAGACGATGGCTGGTGGATGGTGCACAGGATAGACTGGCCTGCATCAGCGAGATCCCGGAGTAGCTTGACTATGGACCATGCCGATTGTGAGTCAAGTCCAGATGTAGGCTCATCCACGAAAATAAGGAGGGATGGTCTTGCAACGAGCTCAAGCCCGATCGTGGTACGCTTTCGCTTCTCGGCGCTGAGACCGTTCCCAGGGACGCCGATCACCGCTTCTGCGTATTCTTCAAGACCGAGGATTGAGATTATCTTCTCCACGTAAGCGCGTTTGTCGTCGTCGGCAACTTCGCGAGGCTGTCGCAGAAAGGCAGAGAACTGAAACGCTTCCCTGACTGTCATCTCAGCGAGGTGTATATCTTGTTGCTGCACATATCCAGTACGTTGCTGGAATGATCCGTCAAGTTCGATGCCATTGATTTTGGGGTGCCCCGTCACGATACCTACTTCGCCCATACGCTGCGCGAGAACGTTCAGCAAAGTGGTTTTGCCTGCACCAGATGCGCCCATCAGTGCCGTGAGCGATCCAGGCTCCACGAAACCTTCAACGTCGGACAACAAGCGACGGGTCTCCCCCTTGATACTGATGTCGTAATTGAGATGCTTCCACGAGAAGACATCCCGGCCGCTTTCCGCATCAAGGGTATCACCACTACTTTCAATCTTTTCGCTCCGGCTAGAAGCTCCAGATTCCACGTCGTGCAACCTCCCTGCAGACGGTGTGGTACCTTTTCGGAAGACCAGCTGGGATGAGGCAGAGCTGCCCGCCTTTTTGAACTCGGTAGTAGCAGCATAAAGAGCGGTGAACGCTAGGAAGAAAGCAATCGATATGCCGAGGTTGCGCCACACATGATCGTACGAGAAGTCCAGCGACAGAGCAAGGTACTCGTCTCCAGACACAAATGAAGCACCCGGACGAGCCCCGACTGCGGCACACACCTGATTTTCAATACTGACATTCTCATACCCAGGCCCGGATGGAATCAACTGCTGGCATGGTGCCTTTCTTCCGTGGAATTCGACTGCCATCATCGCCTCGATTGTGTAGTAGATGGGGTTTACATATGATATCCACTTGAACCAAGGATGCATCGAGGGTCGAGGAATGACATAGCCGCCGTACATGGCAAGAGGGAGCATCGATAGGCCTGCCATAGCCAGTGCGGAGTCCATAGTCCGAGCGAATGCCGCGACCACGCGGAACCACGCGGTCATTGTGACCGTGGTCAGAAAGGTGAAGACGACAAAGATGAAGAACGGACCGGCTTCCCTTTTCAGTCCCGCCATAAAATAGACAATGACTGTGAATACCAGAATGTTGAAGATCTTGATCGGAAATTGCGAGGCCATGTTGGCGAGCGCGTCGACATATGGATGGTACATGCTGTACGTATGATGTTTCTCAATTATTGGTCGTTGGGAGAACTGTGCCAGAATCTCGGCGAAATTGACGATGATGTTGAAGAGGACGATGAAGAAGATTACACCACCTTTTGAGAAAAACCCACTCGTTCCAGGATCAATCTGATAGAACATGGAACCGATAACCAGCGGTATGATCAACATAGTTCCCGTAACGGCCAGGAAATACGCGTATTCGCCTCGAATGCGGTGGTAGGCTCGTTTGAAAGTCACGGAGAACTGTAGTGCAAGATTGAGCGTATACGGCGAGTAAAGCCGAGTGACGGGTGCTCGCTCAGCCAAGCGCATGCCTTTGAAGCGCTCAATCTCCTGGCCTTGCACTGCCTCTGCGTTTGCGAAGTGCTCTTCGATTGCCAGTCTTAATTGTTGATATTGTGAACTGCGTCTCCATTGGTCTCGAAATTCTTCAGCAGTTCGAGGAACATGGTTTTCTTGCCCCTCTAGCACCACGCGAGCACTGGGGTCCGTTACGGACAGCAGAAATTCGGCAATGGTCTGTCGTGAACGACAGACGAACCCCATGTTCTCGAAGAATTGTTTGGCGGCGACCAACCCGCCAAAGTAGATCTGGTGACCTTGATGTAGGAGAAGCACCTTATCGTAGGTGCAGGCCAGCGAATCGCCAGGCTGATATAGCGCCGATATTGCTACATTATTGGTGAGGTCCGTAGCGGTGCGCAATGCTTGCGCAAAATCCAGGGAGGAAGAACTATCCAGACCCTACCATGGTAAGCAGCTGTTGGTATATTGCTACGACAGGGCCTCACCTTTGTTGGGTTGTCCCAGCAAGTCACACAGGACCTGTTCAGAAGCTATTCATTCCGGCGTCAGCTCATATAGCACACACGACAAATTTGATACGTACCATCTCGGCGATGGATACTCGACGTCGCTCACCACCAGAAACTCCTCGCACAAAGTCATTGCCCACACGCGTGTTCGCGGTATGCTTGAGTCCAAATATCGCCATCAAGATGTCTCGTGACCCTTCAATATATTGCTGCCGCGACACTCCATCAAAGCGCATTTGCGGGGTCTTCGTACTTGCAGCAAACGACAACGTCTGAGATACTGTGAGGTATGGAAAATGATGATCCACGGCATCATTGAAGGTAAGCATGCTGGCAAACTTTCGTCGCATGGTCTCTAGGGGAATTCCGCTGTAGCTAATGGATCCGCACCATCTGTGATAGCCGTCGAGTCTTCCAGAGAGAACTTTCAGCAACGTAGTACACCCGCTGCTTGGCGGCCCAAGGAATAGCAACATCTCGCCAGGCGCGAGGAGTCCGTCGATGTCGGACAAGATCCTCTTCTCCGGCAGCTTCTGCCATAGCCTTCTAAATTTGGTGATGAGGTTGGGAACAATCGACACCACGTCTTCTAGCACGACAGTGCCGAGGTCATCGCCATAGATGGAGAGATCCTTCCAGGCGAGAGTCACGTGTGGCGATACAGGACCACTGCCCGCCTGTGCCGCTCTGTCGATGATGATGGGGAGAATTTTCTCGAAGTTCCAGTCGGGGTCGTGCACGTCGAAGGGTTCGATCTTTCGGGCGGCATTGTGATTAGTATGGCGGCTCGCATCAAGAGTCGTTGTCTCTGAACCCGTCTCGTACGTGGCGTCGGTCGCCATGATCTAAGGGAAAAGGAGGCTGAAGACTTGGCATTCTGCTTCGACCGTGACGTCTGCAGGTCTTATATGAATTCATGGTAATCATGTTCTCAATCAAGTTCGCAGACAAAAGCGTTTCCAGATTTCTCCTGCAAATTCTGAAATGATGTTGCTTCGGTAGCCACGTACGACGAGTTCGCGAGAGTGGGTCTGCGCAATGTCCACCTCGGCTCCGAGGATCTAGTGCCATCCCTCTTCTACACCCAAAAAATCTCGGGAAATCGGTTGGAATCACCATGGAGCGCTGCCAGAAGCTAATGAAGACTTGTGACGCATGCAAAACCCGCAAGGTCCGCTGCAGTGGCATTCGTGAGTGAGCCGCGCTTCCGCCAGAGCGCACCTGATGATTCTGACCACCACGCAGCATATGCAAGTGCAACCAAGTGCCTTAACTGCGTGCGACGCAATGAAGTCTGCCATTTCAGCATCAGGCACCTGCCCCGAAGACGAGATACGGCGGAGACGCGTCACGTGCCCAGTGTAGGCTCGGAGCCGACTGCTGACAATGACGTCAGCGGCGAGGCTCGCGATGAATCCCTTTCCTTTTTGGAAATGTCAAAGTATGATGGACTGCAGGAGCTTTATGTCGACCGGCTTCTCGTGGCAGACGACAACACGGCTGCTGTTGCGGCGCAGAGCCCGAGCCTGCAAGACCTCGGTGTTTTCGGTGGGTGCCGAAGTTGCCGATGTGCTGGGCTGAACTCACCAGCTCCACAGGGAGCGAATACAGCTTGACTTTCTTTCCGGAGGCTCGTCTGAATGCACTCGCTGTTCAGCTCGGCCATGATCGCGTGTCTCATGTCCGAGCAAGGGTGACCAAGATCATCGGCGAGCGGATGCGAACAATCGAGCGTGTGCCGGCTCCTGCGCTGGATTCCGATCGCATCCGAGTGTTTGGCGTGGAATACGACTACATTGAGAAATATGTGAAATGTAATTAAAATCCACCTTGCGAATTCAAGTAAGCTTCTAACACACACAGCCTACTTCAAGCATATCGACCCAATCCACCCCTTCCTCGAAAGGCAAAGCTTTGAGAGAATCGCCCTCGGTTCTGAGCTGACCGAAAAGCTCGCCAGCGACAAGTCGTGGTCGGCGCTCTTCTACGCAGTCCTCGCATTGGGCTCACAGTACCATGATGGTGGTAGCTACCAGCCAGCAAACACTGGAAGCTGGCGTTTCTTCGCCACTGCTCTTGCCTTCTTTCCCGATCTGCTCATAACCCGAACAACTCTAAACACAGTCCAGGCTCTGACCGCTATGGCAATATTCGCTCTGAACGTTTCTTGTCTACAGATAGAGTACACAATGGTTTCAGAGGGAGCCAGAAAGGCACAGACATTGGGGTATAATCGGTCGACAGCTCCTGGCGACGACCCTAGAAACCGCACATTCTGGGTCTTGTACTTCCTCGAAAAACACATGTCCTTCAGTATCGGTCGGAGTTCAACAATCATGGACTCCGACATTAGCAGCGCGGTCCCGTCACATCTCCTTCAATGGAGCAGTGTTTCGTTCGACTGGACTCTGGCCTCGGTTCGGATATCACGATTACTTAGCCGCATATATGCCTCGCTATTCTCCGTTAGTGTACGAGATAGACCAGCCGCGTACTACATCGCCACTGTTCAGAGCCTCAAGTCTGAGTTGGATGTATGGACGATGACATTACCTATCGAGATCCGGCCTGGGCAGCCGATACGGCCTCACGCAATCCAAGCATCTCAAACGGCCATGGACATAACTATCAAACTCCACTATCTCTACTACAGCACCGCCCTGCATCTTGACCGCACTGCTCTCCAACTAAAACAAGACCCCAGCGTGAGCTCCGCCGTGGCATCAGCCATAATGCGTACTGCTCGCACCATTCTCGAGCTCACAAAACACATCGATGTCCAGCCCTACACACCTCTATGGTAATTTGACACACCTCTTTCTCACGTAATTCACTCTAATTCCATACAGGATCCTCGTCGGCACTCCTCTCGCCGCGTTTCTCGTGCTCTTCGACCTCGTTATCGACAACCCCAATCACCCAGAGACAGCCGCCAACCTCGCCATCCTCGATGTCGGTAGCGGCCATTTCAGCAGTTTGGAGTACGCATCACAAGGAACTCTCCCAGGGTCAATCACCTCGGAGCTGACGCAGATAGCACGTGCCTACGTGCGAGAGAGGACAAGCGAGGGCATCACAGCCACAATCACGACCACTACCACAAACACATCCACGACCAGAACCACGGCTGCGACCGCGGCTGCGACAGGCGTCGCAGCGTGTTCGCAGGGTACGGTACCGCCAGATGTGCGGTTGCTGAACACGATTGTCTCGGATTCTCTACCTGCTTTTGGGCCGTTTCCTGACTTGCAGTCTTTCCCTTTTGGGTGGGATCCAAGGAGCGACAGTGAAGCGTTGCTGGGGACAAATATGCTGGATTTGTTTGGGTCGTATGTTCCACTATGGGGCGAGGATGGAACATATAATATCTAGAGGTCAAGGACTTAATTACATAGTGTTTTGTTTAGATGACAAAATTAAGAAGCGTATTTCATTTTCTCTTGTGTAATATAGCTAAGTATGTAGAACATCTTATTCTAGCATCTATTTCTCAGGCGCTGGGAGTAAGACCGGCTTGGACCTGCTTCTCCCTAACACTATTTAAGAGAGTTACTATATCCTTATCAGCTGCCTCAAACGCTTCCACAACAACCCTCTTGTGCTCCATAGATCTCGGTTCAAAAATCGCGACGAATGGTCTTGGCCCAGACACAAACCCAGTGGTAAATATGTCTTCCGACACCTTCATTTTCATGCTATCTTTCGAACGTATGTTGAAAGCCCACAGAAGTCTCGCCATTGCTATCGCTAAGGAGTTCCGTGCGATAAACCTTCCAGGGCAGACTCGTCGACCATATCCGAAATTGCTGGGCTGAGATTTGCCGATCCAGCGCTCCGGCCGGAATACCTCTGGCGAGTCAAGAGCAGCGTTATGACGCATTGCTGAGAATACGGGAACCACGACCGAGCCCTTCGGTATGAGGTAACCTTTGTGGTAGTCGTCCTGAGTGGTTGCATGCGGGATTCCCGCAGGAACAATGTGGCGCCATCTGAAGTTCTCCTCCACCACGGCCTGGAGATAGGGCAGGTTGCTTAAGTCCTCGAATGTGGGAAGGCGATCTGCGCCAACCACCTCATCGAGCTCTTTTTGCGCTGTGGCAATCCACTCCGGATAAGCGACGCATGCGAGGATGAAGATCTGCAATTGCACTTGCGTCGTCTCGACTCCCGCATCACAAAGAATACCGAGATCCCATGCTATCTCTGTCGCAGTTAGAGTGGTCGCCTCTTTCGACTTGTTGATCTCTTTGGCCCAGTTCCATCCCTCGCGCCCCAAAGCATCCTGCATGTTTGTCATGTGAAGATTTGTCCAAGATTTGAACCACGTTTCTGCAGTCTTCTTCCATGGTGTCAACGGTGCTGGCAGATTATTAAGAACTGGAAATAGATCAACGATCCATGCACCAACTTGGCCAGCAATAGTAAAGTTCTTGAGGCATTCGTGACTTGTCTGGAGCTGCCATTCCTCGCCAGTGATGATGCGCATTCCAAACGTGATTGAGTATACGATGCTTGCTGAAAAGCGTTCGAACTCTCTAGGAAAATTATTTGAGTGAAGCAAATTGTTGACAAGTTGCTTGCTTTCTAGATCTTGAACTGCTGTGTAGCAAGCTGAAGCACGTGGACTAAGCAGTGGAGCTTCGAGTCGCTGGTGGAGCAGGAAGTCTTCGTTAAATGGCTTGAACATGATGTGCATACTCTTGCACGTCAATTCTTGTCCCATAACCTGTGTACGTTAGCCTCGTGTTAGATCTGGCCGACCTGAGAGAATTGTGGCTTACCATGCGTGGCCGACTGCTGTAAATATTAGCCTTCTTGTCGAGTAGATCCTTGGCCACATCATGGTCTCCAATGAGAAGCACATTCGTACCGCCAAAATTAAGGTACACGAGAGGACCATACTGCTCAACCCATTTCTGATATGTGATCCACACGGCCTCCTTGGGGGCCTGGTGCAGATTACCAATGAGAGGCAGACGCGGCGGTCCAGGAGGCAGCTTTGAAACTCGTTGTCTACGAATCCAAACATACAAAATCGCGAGCAAACTGATTAGGAAAAGGATTGTTGGTGACAACATTGCAATGGTGATCTGGTCGAAGCAAACTACAACGAGGTAATGCTATTTAGATGTGGGGCTAGCCAGCCTTTATCTTGACCTTTGGCGCGACGTGATCGCGGGGCTCAATCTGACCCTCCCGTGTCGCCATCTCATCCGAAGCCTCAATGACCGAGGCTGAGTGGGGCAAGCTGTGGTCAGTGCGTGGATCTAACCTGATCTTTGCAAACGATGGAAGAGGCACGAGTGGTTGGAATTTGGCGCCGTAACACAATTAGGGTACGTGATGATCACGAACGGGGGATCAAGGTCAATGTGGAAGACACTGTCCGGACTGCTTTTTCTTTCAGTTGTCGACCGCGGAGCAACAGCCATGTTGGCGTTAGCGTACTGTACAGCGACTAGCGAGCAGTTATGTGGGGCGCGTCAACCAACTTGCCCAGTCAGAGAGCGTGCGGCAACGGGATGAGTGCGCGTAGTCTAGCGTAGCGCCGCACAGGATTGCGGCACAGTCCAAATCATGAGAGGGGATATCGAAGGATGCTCCTGTAGGATTCGCGGAAAGGAGAAAAGCGCTGTACGATAGGTCTGCGTATGCCATGGGCTGCAGCGTTTTCTTTTGATGAGACGCGGCATAATTCAATCAATCCAGTCGTGCGGGTTTCGACATGTTCAGTATTGGGATGATGCCTTGTCCCGTGGAATCTCACGTAGGTGATGCTTGACTACATTTTCACCACGTTTCTGCACTCATCGACTCAGCATGAATGATTATCGAAAAGTCCTCAATGTCGTCGGATGGACTCTTGTCACGATCTCAACGCTCTTCGTGGTGGCGCGATCATATACACGCACACGCGTCGTGACAGCAGACCTGGGCTGGGACGACTGGTGCATGGTTACTGGTCTGGTGAGCTTGACTTTTTACTTGACAACCTCAAATCACAGAAATCAGCTAATGGTGGTGTCAGACATTTGCTTTGGTCTGCACGTCACTCGTCACGGCCGGCACTGCGCATGGCCTCGGGCAACATGTATGGAACATTGATGATCCAGAAGACCAAGCTGCAGCTACAATGTACGTGCTACTGGCGCCGTGCTTCTCCATTGTTAGCGCATTCTTCACAAAAACATCCATCATCATCGCATTGATGAGGGTAAGCGCAAGGTCCGGTGTATAGCACGTTCCTCTCAGCTGAATAGTCCAGATTCGAGGACACACAGCAAGTGTATCGCAAAAGTGTATCGCATACGTGCCACTAGTGATCCTTCTGATAGGCTCCATTCTGTCATGCTCAGTTATGATATTCTTTTGCTCGCCTGTGCAAAAGTCATGGAGACCTCAGATGGAAGGCACCTGTCTGCAACCGGCTATATTAGATTTTGTCGGAAAGTCGGTTTCAGGTATAGTCGAGTGCCTTTCAATATACTGATATGCTAATCTCCCTAGTGTACAATGCCATAATGGACGTGTTCTGCGCTATCATGCCGTACTTCATCATTCGAAGTCTGAACATCCCGTGGAAGGACAAGAGAAATCTAGTTATCTTGATGGGAGGTAGTATTCTGTAAGGCACCAGAAAGCTAGTAGCGGCATAGTTACTCACAGCCACAGTGGAACATTTGCTACCGTTATGAAGATCGTAGCGATGGGCAGCATTTCAAATGTTGCAGACATGACCTATTCATGGTCAGAGATTACAATCTGGTATCTGTAAGTCCAGGCTGTCAATATTGCGCGTCTTCGACTGACGTGGGAAGGACTGAGAACAACGTACTCATCATCGCGGGATCATTTCCTGCACTACGGCCATTCTGGCGAATTGTCGTCGGCAAGTACATCTCATACGCGTCGTCGGACGCATCACGAAAGGCATATCGGCCGTCCGAAACCAAAAGGGCAGGGGATAGAGAGCTGCAGGTGTATACTGTGGGGTCCAAGCCTAAGCCAACAAGGGCCCCGAATCCCTACTCCACAACGACCCGACTTAGTAGTGAGGAGAGTTTATGTCCGCGGGACAATCTAACTTCTGGGGAGATAATTGAAGATGTCACGCGCAATCACGGGGACAATCGGTTCGAACCCCTTGCCAACATTGCCAGCACGCGTAGGGATGGAACGTCACCCAGCGCCGCGATGAAGATAACGGTCACGACTGAGGTTGAAATTAAATGATGTGCCACCAGTAGGGAACAGGGCTTTTACCTCTTCGCACGATCACCCGAAAATGAGTTTAGCACGGCGACAAGCATGTATCTTCAACATGGCGCCGCTCTTCGCCAATCCAAACACCACGCAGTCAGCACACCATCAGATTCCACGCCTGGATGACCAAGTTGCTATCGACGAAGCGCGAGAGGAAAGTCATAGAGCACGCATACAGTGCACATACCTAGGGCTGCGCTTTACGTGTTCTACCGTGCGTGTGTACGTGTGGTAGGGAAGGAGTTCGTCGTGCTGCTCGGCGCTAGGCGCGTTTGTCTTCGACTCTCTGTGCCTACGTTATCCCAGCAGTTCTCTCCGCAGCCACTCTTATCCCTCGTCCCTCGATGATCTTGCTTCCACCCAGCCGCCATCGCATCACGACTCGCCTCCCGCCGGCAACTGCATGACACGCACGACCACTCCGCAGGACACCCACATACTTTTCTGCCCATCTCTCTCAGTCGCACGTAACTAGTCTATGGCCCAAGCGCATCATCCTTGTGTATTTCAAGCGACCGCTGGCAGCAAAGGTGGGCGACTCTGCAGGTTGCTGAGCGTTCATCTGTTGCCGTCAGCGAGGCGAGTTCGCGATCATCTACTGCGGTCGCGTGTGCAATGCTGGTAGTGGACAGGATACAATAGAGTCAAGACTGATCGCAAAGCCTAGGTGGGAGGGTCCCCTTCTGCCATGCACTGTTAACGGATGCGCCGCTTGCTTACTGCAGTTATTAGGGAGGATACAGTGGGTTCAATGCGTACTGTAGCTTGTTGATGCTGCGAGGCCAGAAAATGGTCAGTATTACGCTGATTCTGAGGTTAACTACGGGGAACCTTTTGATGGTATAGCAACGGCAGTGGCTGGTTGAGGCAGGCTTTGCCGAGACGAAGTACTGCCATGATGGCTCTACTCAGCGCGCCGCTAGCAGATTGAGCGACATCAAAGCTTCAGTCAAGTACGTTTGGCATCGCGGCCTCCGTCGGCGGACTCCCACCTTGGATGAGCAACCGCGGAAAGCGCCTGCTAGCCGTGAGGACGGAGAAGAGGTTGCTGAAAAGCTGGGGGTTTGATTTGGCAGTAGCAGCCGATGGCAATAGTGTACAACCCCTGCTTTGAGGCTCTGTACGGATCAAGGCTATGGCTGCGAGCGCAACAAGACCACAGAAGAGTTGACGCATACTAAACAGATACGAGCCGGTAGGTAACAAGAAATACTAGGACAAGGAATTAGAAGAAACAGGAGAGATGAAAAAGTCAGCTGACCACACTGCGAGCGTTCTGTAAGCTTCTGGCGCTTCGATTTACAATTGGATTGGGTGTGTCAGAAGCTTTCCCTCTCAGCCGCGGTTGGCTTTGTACGCACAGGTGTGTAGCTCCAATAGGGCCAGTCGAGACTGCTGTTCAACACGGACAAATGAATAAGCCAGCAATGTCATGCACTGTCAGTCTGAGCTACACCGATAATGTGCGACGCTTCAGATTGTCTCCGACAAAATCAGTAAGCCTGCTCTTGATATCGAGGCTGAGCTCAGCGCCATATCTTTCAATATACTCCGCAATGTAAGTCATTGCCCTATGTCTGGGCCAATCTGAAGATACTGTGACTCCAGCCATATTTGAGCATCTGATTAGCATCTGAGCTAATCTTTGGGACTCGATCAATCGTTTGTGGCCAGTCCATATCATAGTATACTTACAGATGGACGCTCTGTGCAGCGTTCAATCTTCTATCACTGATCGAAGCCACTAAGTCGCTTTCACGGGTCGATTTCACTCCCAAGCCACTAATATCGTTGCCTGGCTAGGCGCAAGTACTGGCGTTGAGTTTTGACCGTGCAAGAGTATAGTATCACGTGGGAAGTGGGGTTCAGTGGGGCGCACAGGCGAGCGAGTGTTAGAGTTCAAGAGCTTTGTCCACGAATGCTGTGGAACCATGATCTCTATCAGAGTCATGGGAATGCAAGAGGGGCGTTCGATCATGTGAAGCCGAGCAAACTCAGTATGATGTACTGGAAAGTCTTCATGACGTAGTCAGGATTCTTTTTGTGCAACTCAGAAGATTCGTGGATGTACGAGACCGTATCTACGCCATATGTACCTTAGTTGACCTGGAAGGTCCCGAAAAGATTCTCCTCGTGGTAGAGTACAGCTTAATTACACCTGTGCTACATATGTGATAGCAAGTCAAACATACACCGTAGTGTGAGCTAAGCTTTGAAGGACTTTTTTCCTATTTCGGAGTTCTCTATGTTGGTACTGGACGTCCTTGAAATCTCTCGCGGCCACGAGGTTGCTAGCACTTCGGCTGGGAGATTCATAATCTATAATCAAACCAGAAGGGATTGACTTGTACTCTGGGCGGCGATGTTTGCAGCCAATGAAGCCCAGTCACACTTATTGTTGTCGTAATTCTGTGTGGTTGGTGGCGTTCGATGCATCTGGCACGTAAAGAGGTGGGAGAACCCGGGTGGCATTTCAATACACTCCAATGCTGCCAACGCTAATACATAGTTGCCCGTTCTCCAAAATCACCATCTTTGAGTCAAAAGAAACAGTATGTGAGCTTCGTTGTGGCTATATCAAGACGTACTGACTGGCTTAGCTTAAATGATCTCTCCCACGCACGCTCAGCCTTCCGGCTACTATACACGATCTACTCTTATGGAACACATCAATACTACTTAAGAAGCCTGAGTCCTCTGCATGACGACAATCTTCCAGGTTTCTATCCGGTTGCTGGCATCATATTGAACGAAGTAGGCAGTCGCTATTTACTCGTCCACTCTCCACGCAGCCACTCCCTGCGCAATCACACTTCGTGCTTTTCAGACTCTGCACAATATCTGTTCCGACGATCTATCTCTAACAAAGTTTGAGCGACAAAATACTGATTTAAAAGAGCACGGTGGTGGGCTGTATGCCGCTCACCCTTTGAACGTTGTGAACAGCCAGAACATACGACTTATCAGCAGCATCACACCGAGTATCGCCACGCGCATGAGGAGGAAAACAATGGAAATCTCTATCGACATGTGCGTGGTATCAGTCGACGTTGTATCACCATTTATCGCATTGTTTTATGTGTGTGCAGATGCAGCGTCTGTACGAGACATTATCGTAGGCGATCAACTGTTCACAATACGCCAGAATCTTTGGGATTTCCTTCACCAGGCTCAGGAATCAGTTGAGCAGGGACCTGACTGTATTAATGCACCTTGCATCAATGCCGGAACGAAGCCATCAAGTGTCGATGATGGGACAGATGTATCCTAAAGCAGCAATGGTTGCTACATGGCTGGGCACAGATCTTGCAGAGTACTAATCGCCGTACGGAAACTGGGACTAACGTGTCCGCATCAACCAGCAAGTGATAGCCGAGAATTGAAGATCCATAGAAGACTTCAAGGGATCTTCTGCAGCGCGGAGTACTGGACGCGGGTCTGGATCATCCAAGAATTCGTGCTGGGACGTGAGGTTGACATTTGGTGCGGACCAGAGACTGTATCAGGCCAACAATTGAGTGCATGTGTTTTCGCCAGGACTGTGAGTCCTACAGAAGCACTGAGTGGCTGCGGGACATTTTAAGACAGCGACAATCCCAAACGTGTATCACTACGTTTAGCAGCTCGGTCATCCCAGTTGTTTTTCGTCTAAAAAAGATGCACCGATGTCAGGGATTACATATATTGTCAGGGATTGCATATATCGCTCATCGATCCGCATTGGCTTGTTCACGACCTCATAGTTGTAGACCACAACAGATCCCCTCTGGAACTCTATCACCAATTGAAGGACAAGTGCATCCCACATGATCTAGGACTGGTTTTGAATATCAGGGATCAGCCTGATGGCGAGCAGATCATGGAGCAACTAGACAGATGATCAATCTGGTAGACAAGATGAAGGACAAATGGGACGACAAACCATTCAGATACAACCAATTCGGAGTCAAAATCTCACCGCATCCATTATAAATCGCCAACGAGTGGGTGACCAAACCAAACTTAATAAGCGAAGCGAAGCTCGGTCTCATTCTCGGACAAGCTCTATTGATGCTGAGCGAGCGAACCGCCTTGAACGCTTAACATGTCTTGAAAGTATTAGATTTCGCGGCCGCACAGCTCAATACCTCGTCTTAGGCCGCGCTACTACATTGCTAACTAGCTATAGTGGCTGGCATAGTTACCCATAGATTCTTTAGTAGAGGAATAATGTTCTCAACTTGCCGTAGCTATCGCACGTACACCCTCTGCAATTCGACCATGGAGCCTGACTGAATGAGCGAGGACCAGACTGAGGAGATATCTAGTGTCAGCGACTATATCATAAGGCGTCTCTTGTTGATCTTGGCCGAGGAGCCACCAAGGAGGTGAACATCCGCACTTGTCTACATGGAGAAGTGTCCCACGCCGAGAGGCCCACTGTGAAATGGCAGGTTATCGATATTGAGAAGTGTTAGGGTCTGAGAGGAATCTTGATAATCTAGCTATGTTATTTCGATTGAGGCTATCATGGATCGGAGTATCGTGGTAATGCTATCTAAGCATTGCTGGATTCGGGGCTTCGCAGACTAGTCTGATTATACGCTTGGTCATAACCATACCTCACACTGCGCCACACAACACTGCGGCCACTTCTTCAAGCTAATGTACCAGCCCATTTCACATTGTCAATCGCCACCCCAGCATTTACCTCCGCGCTCGCCGCGTTACCAGCGCACTCGAAGGCAATCGTAACAGTGCCTCCAGAGGATCCAGTGGTGAACGTCTCCTGCACAGAACCCGATCCACCGGCGGCTGCACGCCTCGTCCAGCTCTGCACCGTCATACCACTGTATAAGCTCGTTTGGAGCGTGCATTGAATGGAAGGTGGTCCGCGTCCGGTCGAGCTGACGAGATATCTCCAGTCAAAGCTCAACGACTGAGGTGCGACGTGCGAAAAGCCTGAGACGGGCGTTGCGATTGAACTCCCGGTGTTGTTACTGTTGGACCAGCTGAGAATGCTGCAAGTTCGTTAGTATCACGTGATCACGAAGGAGAGAGCTCACTAACGCAAAGTGGGTGCCTTCGGGTGCGCTGAAGCGCCATTGGTTGGCGTCCTCATTAGAGACAATACTCGCTGGGCCAGTAAGTGTCCAGCCTGTGGTACCGGATTCAAAAGAGCCGTTCTCGACGCCGTCGGTAGGTGACTGCCTGCGTAATGTATTGGGTGCGGCAAGTGCAGCGGCAGAACCGAGAAGGGCAAGTGCGGGTGAGAGCTTCATGCTATTCAATCTGTGTGATGTGTCCTGTATCTTTAATGTGGCAAAAGGTAGGGCTTTATTTGGAGGCATTGAGAGTATTATATATGGCTTGCCACTTCTTGGACGTGACGATGGTATGATTTCGTCCAGAAATAGAATGTCCCACTCTTGTGGATTCTGGGGTGCCTGATTATCGTGCAGGCTACCACTTCAAGCCTAACATGTGGGGATGACAATGGGGACCTGCATACCGTCTGGGGACCTTTCTCGAATAGCGTCGCCGCGCATGTCCTGATTGGTCAGCTTCTAGGATCAGAGTGGCTTAGCGCCACCGGTGAACGCAGGACGGCGTTCAGCGCACGCCGCTATCCCGGAAAGAATTATGTTTAGCGGCAGACAGGGGACGATTCGAACACTGACATGCTAATACTCGTCCGTTGGATTGGAAGTGATATGTCAGTGATTCAAGCTTCCGTCAATGGCAGGCAGGAGATGATGGTGGAAGTGGGGAAGGCGAGAAAGGACTTCACAAAGCTGTCTTAAACACCCCATCGTGACGTGGCTTGCACATCACCCTCCAAGCACGTCACCGACATCTACAAGAAACCCCCAAACGCGAAGCTTAGGAAATCGTACAAAGTGGCTCAAGCTGCTCAGCTAGGTATCCTACTCTTTTTCGGGGCTGTCGAATCGGTCCACTGTTTGGCTATTCATATCCCTGTGCACTGGCCTTGAGCAAAGTGTCCAGAAGCCGCATCCAACCAGTTGGCTTGACCGAAGCCAATGTACCGCGCCAAGCAACGATGCCATCAGGCCTTATTAGCACCCCGCCCTATACATTAACTCACTGTCACTGTCTTCATAACCCACCCACATTGCATCAGCTTTCCTCACCGATAGCTACAACCTCGGCTGTGTTGTCGGGTATACCGGGATCATTTCTTACTTCTAGAAGAAGAGTGAATACGTTGAGATTCACGAGATCGTGAAACGGCTACAGATTTACCGTTGCATGGGTGTGGAAGATGATGGCCTGAGATCGCTGACATGAAGTAGGTGTGATGAACGAGGGTTTTGTCTGGTAGTTGCTGTCCGCTATGCATTGCCCCACTCTCGAAATTGATGTCTGCAGACGGTAACGACCAACCGACTTCGTAGCTAGGGGCTTTGAACCTGGCAATCAGCTCGCGCAACGCCGGGAATGCATCATCGTGATTCTACCATGCTACAGCATGGCCAATGATCGAAGGTCCGTTTGGAAAACTGCTGGGTCTCAAGTCAGTATAGTCGTGTTGTTCATCACAGGCATTGGCATCGCTTCCCAGCTCTCATGCGTTCGATGGCTACTCGAAGGTCGCCAGGCCCGCAGCGTCACCACACAAGCATCACCCTTCTGGGAGATCGGAGCCGAAAGTAGAGTCGGCGCGATCCTCCTTCGCAGCTTCTGCCGAGGACTGCAGGTCACAAGTTCTGGCCAGATGCTCCGACCTTCTAACTATGGACGGAAGTTTGTAAGTGAAGCGATGAGATCGGACGATGTTTGCAACGAAACTCACGCCAAGGCATCGTGGATGCTGCGGGTTGACTTCTTCGTCAAGGATATCTGGGCCGAGATGGGCATTGACACACCAGCCCAGGATTGTAGCAGTCAATAGATGTCGTCACTCTAGCCCAGCATTGTAGCCAGTCTGACATAGACGTCGTTGCACCAGCCCAGAGTTGTAGCCGGTCAACAGATTTTGCACAAGCCCAGGGTTTTAGCTGATCGATAGATGTTGACATGTTGTCGCACCAGCCCAGAGTTGTAGCTGTCGATGATGTCGTTACACGAGCCCAGGATTGTAGCTGGTCCAGCACGGACGTTGCTACACACCCCAGAGTTGCAAATGGTCCGAGAACAACTCGTTGTTTTCTTCCCGGCGTCGCAAATTGAAACAAGCGCAGGACGAAGGAGTCAGCGGCAGCGGGCCTCTGTCTCGTGATGCATATCGGTCGTGCCGTATTATCGCGCAAGGACTGCAGTATTTGTTTGCGCGGCGTAAGGCGCGATCTCGAGATGAAGTCGTAGATGGCGTTGCCCGCGCCAAGAGAGAGCGTCGCACTTGTCATGGTGTAGACGACGCCCTTGTTCACGGCCGCCTAGCTGCTCGGACGGTCCTGCAGCGAGCTAGTGTCAGGCTCGGGAACGCCAGAGAGCGGCCCTGGCGCGCCGAGTACCGGGGCAGGCTCAAATCGCGCGGACTTTAAAGCAATAAGAGTACAAAGGCGAGCGTAGGGCGCAGTGTCATGGTGACGGGTCGCGCAGCAGTGCGCCCAGCTGCACGAGCTGGATGGACGCGGCGCCATTGCCGGAGCCCTTGTTATCGAACTCGGCGCAGAAGTTGGCGGCGACTGAGTCAAAACAACCAAGTCTGCTTTGCTTCTAGATGGCGACGGGAAGCTGGTAGCGGAGGATGTGTTCCTACGACTAAAGGTTTGGGGTCTGGATGGCCAGGGCTCGGCCTAGCGAAAGGCATGCAACAGGGACGCTTCGGGCGCAAGGCCCTCAGAGGCGAGGCGGGCGGCTAGCAGCTGGGCTAGGCGGGTGGTGGACTGGACGGCCTCGGTGGAAATGTAGACGGCTGTCTTGGGGAGACCACGCGGAGCGGGCAGCTGCAATGCCAGCAGCGGATGTCTTCGTAGTTGTCCTTGCCGAACACGTCAACACGTAAGCCGCCAGTTTCCACTTTTTGCCATGCGCCGTTGCGAGACTCCACCTCATTCAGCCGACGGCGCGGCGAAGCAAAGGGCCCACCCGCGAAGAACCCAGCGCAGCCAGATCGCGACTTCTTCCACAGCGTCTCTGTCGCTGACGTCAGAGCTGGGGAGCAGATTGCGAACGCAGCTGGGAGAACGGTTGTCGATGGTGAGTCGTCGGTTCAACTTGGTCGTCTCCGCGCGAGTGATCAATGTCGCAGCGCCGATGATCGCCTCAAGTCTGTTCCCGGACAGCTACCCCCAGACGGGCCCGGTAAGTTGTACATTTTACTCTCGGTGCGGCGCAAATGGTGACTCGGACCTGCACGACACTGTTCGCTTCCAGCACGGTGTTTGAGCGGATGCACAAGAGCGCCTGCTACGAGGCGAGCAGGTCCACATTGGCCCGTCACAGCGACTCGGGCTTTGTGCTCCTCGACGCCGTGGTGAAGCAGATGAAGAGTGACATGCAACGCCGCTTCGCAGACGTATGTACTGCAGTCGCACGTATCAACGTTCGCCGTGGAGACAACTAAGCCCGCCCTGCACAAACTGCGCGCCTTCTCTCGCAGGCCGCCTGTCAGGCTTCCTCACGGTCACACCGTGTGCGAGGACTGTGTGTTATTATGGAGAGAGCAGCTCAACGAGTTTGCGATGAGGCATGTCGCGTGACAATTGAGACGCGTGCCGATGGTGTCTGGTACGCGCTCTCTGATTGGTTGACACCGAGAGAGATGTCTATCGTCGACCACTCCCCATTTGCACCACGTTGGTCGCGGTTTCCTCTGCGAAATCGACGCTGAGCACACCAGCGCTCGCGGGTGCAGGCGCGCTCAGCAGAGATGGCAGCAGCGGGAGGCTGCCTATGACATGGCAGGCAATGGTGCGGCGTGGCCGGCGACGGTGCGGCCAGCGACCCATAGTCGGCGCAGCATTGACATGGCTCTGCAGTCTCAGCGCGCGGGCAGTTGGGCCTCTGTTGAGGGACCGGGGCGCGGCGCTGGTCACGGCGGTCTCTAGTCGCGGTGCCGTTCACGTCATGGGCCGAGGAGTCTTGGTGGGCGGATCGACGGCGTGGTCAGCCTGCAGCTCTCGACTGGGTCTGCTGGCTGTCGTTCAGCACGACTAGGAATACCCGTAGCAGTTGTTTGCTGGCTGTCGCTGTGTCTTCCTTAGAGTTGTCAGGTAGGCATTAGTCCGTCAACATCAACGGCAATACCACACTTCCACGGCCGCCATCGCCCTGCTTCCACCACTGGGAATGCCTCCGACAATGACGTAGCTGTCGCGATCTGAACCTAAAACTTTGGTCTGCGCATCGTTCGTTTGCCTCCTGCTATTGCCACACCGTGAACAAACCATCTCCGTCAGCTGCCGCCTGTGTGAGCACTCCAACCTGTCAATTCCCTGCCATGCAAGCATTCGCCATAGCCGTGTCACCAAGGTGGATGATGTGAAGGATTGTTAAGGGTTGATTATGTTATTGGAGCGGATCGAACGACATCTAAGGCCACCCCTGGAGACCGAGCGTGAGGTCATTCGAGGATTGCAAGTGCTCTTTCTTGGCCTTCAGCTCTTCGATGTCCCAGTTCGACCAAACGAACTTGCCCTTCAGAAATTCTGCCTCGGGGCTAACAATCCAAACCGCAAAAGAAGCGGGCAGTTCGACTGTCTTGCGTATCAGCACGTTGCATGGCCTCAGGTCTCAAGGGTGGTAGTGAATCAGGCAACTTACTATCGTCAAATTGGAAATCCATACCCCCCTCAGAGCTCTTGCTGTACATGTCTGTCTTTACGACACCCGGGTGAATGTTATGAACCCGGAGCTGCGGGTTTTCGAAAGCCAAGTATTCCATCAACCTAGCGGCGGCCAATTTGCTTACTGCATATGCACTGTTTGCAGGCATGGGGTCAATGTGACAACCACCAGTTGACACATGCACGAAGGTTGGGCTCTCGGCGGCATGGTGAAGGAAAGCTTTAGCAAGGTTCAAAGTACCTTTGACGTTGATTGTCATCCCCTTGAACCATTCCTCAGTATCCGCTTGCGCAATAGGCTTCATGTCAGGTAGGTAACCTGCGTTGCCAATAACTATGTGAATCTTGCCCAAGGCGTCTGAAGCACCCTTGAATGCTTTGTCCACCGCGTTTGAATCAGCGATATCAGCAGTCTCTATGTGCACCGTTACGCTAGCATGGGCTTCCTCAATCTCTCGCTTGGTCTTTTGGAGGCTGGCAACAGTCCGTCCAACGATAGCGATCTTCGTGCATCCAGAAGTTGCAAACGCATGGGCTATGCGGATTCCAATACCAGAGCCACCACCTGTAATAAGGACGACTTTTCCTGCGGTGGAGAGATCGGGACGAGAAGGGTCGATACCAGGGTAGGAGGCTGTGTGGAAGGTTTTCGTGTAGGGAGGGAAAGACATTGCTGCTAGATATGCGTTGCGGCGCAACTGATTGAGGAACAAGTAGATGGATGTCCGCTGTAGGTACTTTTGAAAAGTGCCCTTAAGGTGCATAAATACGTTGTAAAGCTGGGTGGAAGAACACTTCGCATGTAAGCGGGGTTAGCCGACGTCAAAACTCCGTCAGCTTCTGCTGCCAATCGCCGGCCTAATCGCCGCCTAACCGCCGCCTGATCGCTGTGCGAAAAGAACTTAGTTGGACTCACCAACTGGTAGTTTACTGCCAAGCGGCCCGGAGTGGGTTCTATCATGCAAGCCGCTGACCTCCCAACAGGCAAGTCAAAGTCATCAAAATAACGCAACGAAACACTAACAATCAGACAACAGTATTAGCTAAGAAACAGGAGCAGCATTGACGGCGACATAGATATCAGCTTAGCTTAGGTTCGGTTGCGTACATTACCTTATTGTCGTTTCTCGCCTAGTTCGCTCTCGCTCTCGCTCTCGCTCATAGGTAGCTAGCGCAGGCCTATTGTTTTAATTGGTCAATCTCAGCTACGCTTGGCTGACGTGACGCTACCACTCTTGCCCGTGCACTTTGATCTCGAGCGGACTTTAGGTGCTCCAAGAGCCGAAGTGAGTTACATTTTCAGAGATCTGCAAAAATATATATCAGTTGCTGCGACGTAAAGTGGAACTTTTACTGGATCAGGTTACTAGCTATCTGTGATCTTATTGAACTCGAGATTATTATCTAGAAGCTTTCCAGAAGTACCGACCGGAATAATGGCAAAGCTAGCTAAGGTATGCTCTTCAATGAGAACGGAGGCCGCAAGCTCCTGACGGCCTCTATTCCAAGTTTGGCTTGTGTACCACAGCCGCCCTAGCTCCGTCCACGTTGACCAGTCCCCAGTGCCAAAGTGCAGTGGGCAGCGGAGTGGTTGATATGGTAAAATAAAGCCACAGCATTCCTAGTGTGCGGTCTGGCCGGCGCAGGAAGAGGCGGTGCGTCAATAAGCGCCCTGGCTCTCGTTAACATGACGTCAGAAGATGTGGACAGTTGAGTCGTACTCTTGAAAGACGAAGTTCATCGGAAAGCCGATATCAAAAGGTGCTGCTTCATCGATGTTTCTCATGTCCTCCTTGGTCAGTGATACACCCAGCGCATCAATGTTGGATTTCAAGTGTTTGACGGCCCGCTGACCGACGATTGGATGGACTTAGGGTGTCTTGTGCATAACGCATGCAAGCGTCTGCGGGAATAATTCAGCATGCAGCCGAAGAACAGCAAACAAGACCAACTCACGATTGCATGGAGACTGGTGTTCTTCTTCTTGGCAATTGACTCGAGTGCATCGGAAATCTTGATGTCGTTCTCTGACAAGTCGCGTACTGCCCTTCTCGCCTGACTTTCGTGCATCTGATGACTTGAACTTGCCTTGCCCAACAGGCGCCCATGGACAGATAGCCATGCCTTGATCACGGCAAATTGGTATGATCACCCTCTCCATGCCTCTGAACCCAGCGTCCCGCTTGCCCTGATACACAGAAAATGGTCGTAGGCCGTGGGCCTTAGCGTAGTCGTTTGCTTTCACCACAAGCCAAGCAGGAGTGTCAGAAACTCCAAGATACAGCACTTTACCAGAATTGATAAGGTTGTTGAGGCCATGCATGACCTCCTCCACGGAAGTGGTGAAGTCCCACCAGTGAACGTACAGGAGATCTATGTAGTCGGTTTGGAGTTTCTCAAGCCTGTGTTGGACCAAAGTTTGCATGCTCTTCATAGAGTTGCTAACGTAGTTCGACTGTAGAGGCTCCTTGTCGCGATGCGCATTGCGGAAACCAGTTGTGTACTTTGTAGCAACCCTACGTGGTAAAAGTCAGATAATTATGCAGAAAGGTTAGGTCTTGAGGTGCCTGGATACACAAGCTGCTCTCGATTACCACGAGCCTTCATCCATTCGTCAATCCAGATCTCTGGTTCCTCGTTTTGGTAGTTGTTCGCGCTTCCATGGTGGTTAGCCAGCCAGATTCTTCGCGATCCTACTGAGCTACTTACGTATCGAGAAAGTTCCCTCCCAAATTGTAAAACGCATCCAGTACCTCGAAAGATTGGGGTGGACTTCCTGGTCGGCTGCAGGGCTTGGGATGCCGGGGTTCGCGAGTGTGGGGGGGCTTCCGTGGCCGAGGGCATCATGTGCATCAGGCAGCAACTCGATTGACGGGCTTTGGGGTGTAGTACACGTGAGGCACGAGACAGCAGATACTTCAGTTTGGCATGCGTCACGACATATCTGGGCAGAGCACGACACGGGACACATTCGGAGAGTCATCTCTGTCATTCCCGCTCCATGACTATGCCGAGAGCAGCAGCACTATCTACCTGCAGTACAAGACAATGGCACATTGTTTCCATGCGTAGACAAGATGGAGGGGTAGACAGAGAGGAGAGTTAAAAAGGAAATCGTAAAGCCGTACCCCCAGCCGTCATCGACGTCAACAGCTTGATCATCGACCGCGCCATTGCCTGAGGGTCGGTGGCCAAAAGGCCTGGTCACCTAAAGCTCAAACCCTGAGCGCAGTCACCAAAGGGCTGGTCTGGTGTAGATTAGCTTGACGAAAGCGGCAGTCGTGAATCTGCGCGAAGTTAGCAACGTCGGATCGACGGCAGATGTGAGCCTACCCATAGAGCCACTATCGCACCATCACGCAGTCCGTGTCGCGCGCACGTGTTTAGTAGATGTTCTCCCTCTCACTCTGCAAGGCGCGGAGCTGGGTGACTGGAGGATGATCTTCGGCGACCAACTCCTGCAGGTGGGTCAGACACGCACCCAACGCATGCGGGCAGGACGAGGCGCTCACCTACAAGTTGTCCTTCGACATGACCACATCTTCGTTGTCGGTGGTGGTTCGCTCACACCCAGCGGCCAGACGCTCGCTCGCCTCGGTCAGGCACTGGACCTGGGCTCGTAGGTCTTCATTCCTGGCCGCTAGTCCCTGGTCACGGGCGGATGGGAACTGGCGTTTGTTAGCGCTGCGCTTTGCTCGTGGCCAGGTTTACATACTGTATTCTCTTCGGCCGCGATGTTGCTGCTGCTTGAAGAGTGCGAGTCGCTGAGCGATCCGGCAAGACCGGGCACATTCTCAGGCTCGCCCTGCACCGCAGGACCATGAGTGAAGAAATGTTTGAGAAGCTCCCTGAGCTCGCGCTGCTCTCTCATGGCGATTGCGATATCACCATTCAGCATCCTTAAGGGATTCTCAGGACCGAGGCCATAGGTAACCCCTGAACGCGCACGCTCTGAACGCTTGAATGTGTCCATAGCTGCAAAGATTTAGCCCACGCAGACTTTGAAAGATCCTCTGGAGACTTACTGGCAACCGAAACTTCTAGCATGAATTTATTGATGTCACTGAAATCAACCTGCTGTAGTCCGATATCCTGTCGAATCATCTTGGCGCCACGCATGATCTAGTGAATGATATTAGTATGATCCTAGGTCATTCAAAGTGCGACAGGCTTACGTAGGTGAGTGCCTCCAGCGAGGGCCTGTACATGATGACCACTGACTTCAGGCCAGGAACATCGATGGGAGTGCTACCGTGCTCTTGGGGAGGAGGAGAGCGGGGAGAAGGCACCAGGGGTGGAGCCAAGGGCCGCGGAGTGTAGTCCATGGCTGAAGTGTGAGCTGCGATGACGAAACGAGCACTTGACGATTGTTCTTGCAAAGTCCAACGAGGGAAGAAGTGGTGATGAGGGAGGAAGCAAGGAGAAAGGAGGAAAACCCGATATGGGCACCCCTTTATATGCCTCCGCCAGCGCTGTGCCCCCGAAATCATGTGATGAGCTTGGCACCCTCACCGCAAGTCGCAGAGATTGTTACGCGTCGGCTTCGTTTCGTACAAGAAGTGTGCGTTGCGGATGCTGGCATCTGGCGAAGAAGTGACAAAGATGTCTTCAGCCAGCATCAATGGCCAACCAAGTACCCCTGACCTACTCCACCGCTTCGAGCTCCCCGAATACCGGAAGCTTCGTGCAACCCGTGCCTGTCGCCTCGCCGTTTGCAGGTCCACAACCATATGCAGCGTCGAAACACTGCATGGAGGCAGACTCACCCACGCTGGGTGACAGAAACTCACAGATGACTCTACTTTCCTATTAAGGAATTGTCTTGAGGCGAAGTTGGAGGATATTGTAGAGTTGCTCACATCTTCCTGTTATTTGAAGGACGCTAGGTTCTGACCTGAGCAAAGTCGGCTGCCAAAACAAAAGCAACACCCCTGGCGATGTGTTACTTTGGTCCATGCTTGTGCCACTTCTCTCCGCGCATGGCTTCGGGTCCGCTACATATCGCCCTGTCTTGCACAAGTCACGATAGGCCGGTGGAGAGTTACACGTAGAGGGTGTGTATTCACCGCTGCACAAGATGTCTGATTGTTTTTGGTGTCTCACGCGTCTCACAGCCGTGGCGCGGTGATCGCGGGGCTCGCCAGCCGACGTGACGCAAATAAACGATCCCGTGTCTGTGGCCCTGCAACACTACTAATCAGGTCCACGGGTGCTAAACCATGCAGATCCGCCACGCCGTGCAACTGAAACAGTCCGTGGGCGTGACATGGCAAACGGGTTGAGACGGAGTCGCCCTGATCGGCTCCCAGGCACCAGTCCCCCGGCCCGGGATGAGCGTCCCCGGATATTAGGAGATATCCGGGCCAGACGAAAAGGTCGTAAAGTGTTGAAACTCAGACAGCAGTGTAGAATGTTCAGGACTTAGACTGCCTCGTAGCTGACGTGATCTGAGGACACTACGGCTGCCATATTACCTCATCTCCTTCCTAGTCGAGACGGACGGCCGGTCCCTTACTTGAGGGCTTGGGTCGCGATCCACAGATCGTAAACGAGACGGCACGGGCGAGGGTACAGCCGAGGAGCCTCCACCAGACGTCGCAGGTTGGTCGTCTGCTGACTTGGAAAGACGTATAGTGATGAGCAGATGAGACTGTCGCGGAGCGGAGAATGCGAGACAGGAGTCGATGTTGCTGTCGTGGTTTGACTCTGGATGAGGTGGTAGGTGTAGTAGGGGTGCACTGCATGCCAACGGCAGCAGCATCGCCTGACGCATCACCTAACGCAAAATTTCTCGTTGCGCGATTGTTTACCAGATCGAGTGCTATGGAATGAGCGATGAGAAGTCGGGGTATAACACGTCGTTGTTGAACTATTCGAGTGTGTAGATCAGTTGTGTTCATAACTTGACAAACGTCGCGCGGCGAGTAGACAACGACTTCCAGCCGAGCCGTCATCAAACGCTATAATTGTTGAAACGAGAAGCGTCACTATATATCAGGCGCAACGCGTACAGATAGTGCGGCAAAGTGGCATGCGTTGATGTTGTTGTCGTTGTCGTCGGCGCGTGAGTCTGCCAGCCCCGCAGCCTCGCGCTGAACCTTCCAGCCGCCTCAACCATCCAGCCGTCTAGCCGCCTCAAAGTCGTGCAGGCGAGTTCTCCGTCTATAATGCGTCCGCGTAAGAGTGATTGAGTGAGAGAGCAAGCTAGCGTTATGGACATGTTGACGCGCGCTCGATGCAGCTGCCTCAAAAACCTCGGTCGGTTTTGCCAGTTTTCCCAAAGGCTCAGCAGCTTTTCGAACACCTCGCAAGCAGTCAACCCACGTCTCCACGTACGAGTGCACAACAACAAACAAGTCGATCGATAGGCCACGGCCAGGTCGCGACCGCCAAACAACGCACACATGCGACAATTGACATCGTGTCCGTCGAAACAACCTACGAGCTCGAACTCCGCCGCGATGGTAGTAGTCGTTGATTACATGACCAAGCTCGCCTACCTACCCACACGATTCCCCGCGAGTTCCCTGCACGCGAGACAGAGGAGGAGAGGTGTGGTAGGAGGGAAGCTCGACTTATAGTGTGTGTGGGTGGGCGATGCCGGGATACCACACGTCTTCTGTGCAGACATTGAGTGTAGAACGTCGGAACAAGACGATAGCATGCCGTAGACGAAGAACAACACATCTGAGTGTCAACTTTCGCCTGATTCTGCTCTCTGGGAAGCTGCACTTCAGCATGCTGGTCGCAAAATAGCGCCATGTTCGTGCACATAATGTGTGCCCTGCACTTGTGCAGTGCTTGGTTGCGTCTCAGCGCTGTGGATGCCCATCTCTTGCACATTTCCACATATCACATCTTCTCCTCTGCCCTGATCGACGTCATGGCATCGCTTGCCTGGTCTGCTTGTCTGCACCCAGGCAAGGCTTAGCCGAATGGTAGTAGTGTCGACATCTGTGTGCACGCACCTGAGGCTTCTTCGTATGTTCGATCGCATGTAGATTGATACAAGTTCTGCCTTTGAATATAATGCAGTGGACATGTTGCTCCACTATATCAACATTTTTGCCATGTATCATGCGCTTTGAGTCCGCTGCAGTCTCTACGCTCGGTAGCTGCATGCCACTCTCAGGCATGTGCATACTTTCCACAGCCGCAGTCTTCCGACCCAGACGCACAAACACCTCACTGTGGCCAATGGTGCACGTCGCGACAGTGGCGCTTGAGGCTGGCTTCGGTCTTGTACGCGATGTCGTTCTTGCGACAGTCGTTGTGGGGGCAGTAGTGGCCATCCGGAAGTACAGCGAAGTTGCGCTGCGTGCCAGACAAGCGATAGTGCTGCTTGCCCTTGCCCCGACCTGCCTTGGTGTAGTCGACGACGGCCTCGCGCAAGATCTGGCGCTGGATCTGCTTGCGGCCGATCTTGTTGAAGCAGCGGATGGCCGCGTTACAGTCAGACACTGGCGATGTCAGCTTGGAACTAGTCTGCATGTTGGTGCACTCACGGATCTTGCTGGTGTCAACAGTCAGGTCCTGCGCGTTGAGCGAGCGTGCAACGCCGTCGCAGCCAATTTCCGTCTAACCCATGTTCCAGATGGCGGCAAAGGTGCGCTTGCGGAGGTCCTTGACCGCATAGAGAAACAAAGCGTCCAACCGCTTGTTGTTGCGTGTGTGAGCATCATGGTCAAGCTTCTTGTCCTGGGCGTTGCGAACGTAACGAGATGCCTTTTTAATAAACTCTGCCACATCGTTATCAAGCGTGTTCTCCTCGTTGCTGGTTCCAGGTTCTTTATTAGTTGGGATGGGCTCTTCGTTGTTCTCGGCAGTCTCATGGGCCAGTTGTGGAGGCGCTTCAGACTTTTCCACAAGCTCTCTAGATGCAAGCTTAAACTTGGATGTTTCCGACGTGAACGCAGACTGTTTAGATGCAAACCGAGTACCATAGTCGGACTGTCCGGATGCAGGTGCGGACTGCACAGACACGGGCGCTAGAACAGGCGCTTCCAGCGTGGGCTCCTCGACCGATGTCAGCTCGGCCGGAGGCGCGTCCGTCATGTTCACGTCCGACGTGGGCACCGATGTGTCAGATGCGGGCGCCGACTCACGCGCATATGACATCGCCGACTGTCCAGACACAACCTTAAAAGCAGGCGTGCTTAGCCCAGGAACCTACCCTTTGGCCGCAAGCATAAGAGCATGTTTAGTCTTACCCTTTCTGTGTTGCTCGAACCACTCATGTACTGATAATTTCCTCCGGCTTGCCATGGGGCCAACTGGGGTGTCATCACCCATGAGATCTTCGTACTTACGTTTCTAGCCCGCAGAGCTGGACGACTGGGCAGGCGCTGATGCGTTTGGAGCTGTGGCGTTGTTGAAAGCAGGCGTCGTAGACTCCATGGTGGCGTCGCGGTGCCGCTTGTGGTTGACGCAGAGAGGCCGCTGGCGAGTGGTCCTTATGTGTAAAATCAGAGCACAGTGGAAGGCAAGTGAAAAGCCAGTGAACGTGCCGGAGAGTTTGACAGGCCGGCCGGTGAATGGCTTTAGGGCCGGGATATGGGGCTCCGCGCATTGGAAGTCACTTGACCATGGCATGGAAGGAGCGCGGATAAACCATCTGCGGAATCTTAATCGGTACAGGAGATCTATGGAGAACGTTCCATCCTTGGTGAAAAGTTTCCCAGGTCTCAGCTGAGGACGGGTATCGTGCCCGACTTTGAGTTTGTCTCCATCTCATGAAGTGCTGAAACAGCAAACCGGGCTACTGGGCTTTGAAGATGTCCGTTGATAGATGGAGATCCCGCGATGGAGAGTTTCGTGAGTCCTGACCGTGATGTTGTACACTGTCCACCGAAAGACGATATGTGAGGCTGTAATTCCTCCACAGATTTGGTTGGAGTACTGGTCCTGTGATGAGCTTGTCGGACGAAACGGCCATGTTTGCGAGCATGTTGTAGTAGGAGGTCGGAAAGTGGTCGATAGATGTCTTATGCGCACGAAGATTACGACCGACTGCATGGCAGGCGTCAACTCCAAATCCAGGTGCAAAGTCGCGATGTGAAGGATGAACCGATGTTGGGCAAGAGCTTAGGGTTCTTCCAAGCTTGGTCCAGCTGGTACACGCCGTGTCGCACGCGCTTTGTCGAAGTTGCTGACGTACAAAGTGCTTCGAGCTTCGTTGGGTGCGCCTGGTAGAAATGTATAGTATGTAAGCTCGTCGTGAGTGATTGATATTGAGGATGTGAGTGGCAGACACGAGCGCTGGCGTCAGTGAGTCCGCTGGCACGTGATGAATCTCAAATTTGACGAGTAGTGTCTCCAGCTATTAACGACGATACGTGAGCACTCCATGGTGGTGATTGTACGCCCCGATTATTGACGGTTGGCCAACTCCCCACGATGCGGATGATGCCGCCTGCCGCCTTGGTTGCCTTACGTCAGCGAGAATGTTTGGACCCACTGACACTAGTGCGAGCCAACACGCGTCTGACTGCCATGACTAGTAACGTTGCAAGCGACCCATCTCCACCAGCATAACTATACTTGCCGGTCTATGCTGCTGCTTTCGGTACCTGCGCAACTGCTGCGGCATCTCCCAAAACAAACTCAACCCAAGTCGACACGTCCATTTGCGACGGACCGTGTGCTCAGAGCTCGGTCGTCTGTGTCTGTACCTTACAAACAATGTCTCGCCGCTGTTTCTCGCTCAGCGAGCGCTAAGGACTATCATGCGCACGTATTCACACTGCACGTATCTGCACCTGCGCCGTCGATACGGTCCGTGCCGCGACCTATACTCCACCCAGACCGTACAGATGGCCATGTCGCCTTTTCTCCTACATACATCCCGGCAGCTGTCTCAATCACATACAATCAAAGCCCTTGCTGGCTTCACGGGATAGATGGTGTGGTAGATTTTTGTTGTGTCTACAAGTGCGATAGTTAAGCTTCTTGTCATGGGATCCGTGACGTGGCGAGATGCCCGCCTGATGAGCTGTGCCGCATCAGCGAGTATGACCTTCTTGTCGCTTGCTACAGGCTCTTGGACGTCCTCCGCAGTCGCTAGCAAGGCGTTTAGAGGGAAATTCAATGCACGGCACGTAGAGAATGTATGGGGGACGCGACTGGAGTCTGTACAAGCAGCAGTGGAGGAGACGTCGTTGTAGTAGTAAACTAGTATTAAAGATTAGATTGTTTGTTCCAGCCCAGAGGCCGCGCCGTTGCCCCATTTGCCCGTAAGACATGACAGGACGCAGTGACTGGAGTGTTTGTACGTCAGCCGTCGCATGAAGCGCTCTTGAGACCATTCTGCAAAAACATACGCATATAGAGGCCGGCGTGTCTCGTAGGTCTAGATTTAACATACCAACTCGAGGTTCAAAGGAAATCCGGCCTGAGAAATTCAACACTCTCAAAATCAAATGCCCAATCGATATCGATTCCCGTGTTGATCAATCCTTCAGCCTCAGCATCTTGTGGTAACGGTCCTGTTTAGTTTGGGAAAAGTCAGCACGCTTTCACACCTCAAGTTCGTGGTAAGAGGAAAGAGGAACTACCTTCTGAAACTCTGTTGATGACTTCAGATCGGAGCTTCTCCTGGCAGCTCTCGAGCAAGCTCACAGCTTTTACGCACGCTTGCAGCTGCACTTCATTGTTCCTCAGCATCTGTAAGGCTTTGTGCCAGGACGTCTGGTATGGTTCGTGAGATAGGTCAATGCCCCCGCTGGCTTTGGGAAGGAGAGCAGCTGCAAGAAGAATGCTAGCAGCGGCGTAGAGAACTGCGGAAGCGGTCAATTACTCGAGAATCTCATTTTGAGGGGTTCCTTACAGTACACCGCGTGCCAACTAGATGTTTTCGGAGCACGTGTCTCGGCCTCGTAGATGATGTCAATAGTCTGCTGCGCGGACACGATACACAGGCTTCGAATCTCTTGGAGAGTGCTTGCGCCAAGCGATGTAGAAGTAAAACATTTTCCTTCGAGTAACCATGGTCGCAGGATGAGGAGGCGAACGTAGTGTATTCTCAACATTGATTAGTTGACATCGCGTCTTCAAATTTGATGTGCACCAACCTGCAATGCAGGACCTGGGCCTGCACGGAAAACATGTCCCTTGATCGGGGTAGTACACTCTCGTTCGTGTAGGCCAACTTGAGGCGATCTGGTATGTTCTCCGCCAGATCTTCAAGCCGGGAGTTCAGCGACAAGGTGTCAACCAGTCTGAGTACAGGCTTCCTTGCCCGGTCCCTGTGATCACCACCGGGTTCGTCGTCGTGCAGGTTGTGAGTCACGGCTAGAACGTCGTCGAGGATTTCAAAGAGGTCGATAGTGTAAACGAAACCCTCGAGATATGAAGGAAGACCTGGCGGCTGGGAACCTTCGCCTGCATGTTGGAGAAACTCGTCATCAATTGCTTTGGGCCGCGTTGTCTCCCACGATCTGGGTAGGGTTGTAGGCCGCCCGAACGTCGCCGCAGAAAGTCTACATGTCTTGTTTAGCAACTACCGATGCGAGTAAGCTTAGGGTCGAAGCACTTACTTGTCCAAGACCACGCAGCAGTACCAGATTCTGCGCCTCATTTCCCGTTTCAGTTGAGATTCCTTACCGTGAAACGAGCCGCCTTCTCGGAACAAACCCAGCCCTATCGCCACGCGAAGCCCAGCACCAACCATGTCCCAACAGCGGTTCGCATGTGCGGTGGCATGCAGGTAGACAGCCGTGAGTAGGAACAATTGGACATGCGCACGTGTAGGATGATCGATGGCGTTGGAAGACACATAACCCAGCGATCTCTGGTAGAATTCGTCTGCTGTTTTGACACGCTGTTTGAAAGGGAGTCGTTTGTCGTATTGGACGCCGAGGGCAAGTACAATGTTCAGAATCGCTTGGAAGGTATCGTTATCTTGATAGTCGATTTGGGCCTCGGCTCTTTGCGGCTCGCAGTGCAGTTCATATCTTTGGAGGAAACTCGGCCGGTGCAGCAGGGGAAATATCGGATGGATGTTCTTCCAGAAGATTTCCATCAGGACAACATCAACGTCCATGTCTGATGTGGCGTCAGTCATGGCTGGTGGATTGCATAGCTGTGGCGACCAATCGAAAGTCCCGCTGTGTGATGAGGATGTGATCCCTGGGTCTGTTTCATGCTCGCGTACGTTCGCAATCGAGCTGACTCGGCTCAGAAAGGAATCTGTTGAAGCATCTCCATGGGCTGTCCGGCTGGTGATGCCATCTTGCAGCGTTCGACCAATCATCTCTGTCTGTGTACTACGAAGCTGATACAAGGCATTCTGCCTAACATCCGGAGGGTGCGGCTGCTGTGTAGGGTAGAGGCCAGAACGATCTGTGCGAGCGTTGTGTCGTTCGAGCGATCTCAAGCGACGCTCGGTATCATTGTACAACCTTGGAAGATCTTAGATGCCGAACTGGCAGAATTACATGAATTTATATTGACCTACGGAGAGCTTCGGTTCAAAGCCTGTTCGTATCGACATTGCAATTGTCTGTCTTGACATGATCTGCACAGAGGGCGGTCTCCACTACAACGGGTCTTACGGTCTCGACATTGATTACAAGCCAGCAACGTCTTACGACGCCTGTGGGGCTGCATGGTTACGCCAAAATTAGGTCTGACACTTGGCGAGCTGAGTATGGAATATGTGGAGGGGATCGAGTTGAGTTTTCCCGGGGTTCGTGGACTAGCGTGCCAAGCCGCGGAGATCGGGATCGGGATCGGAACTAAACTTCGTCATCCGGCAGCACCGAGGAATTACAATGTCAGCTACCATTCGGAAGAACCGAAGAAAATGTTTTATCAAGCTTTACTGTATTATAGACATGGGCGAACTGGGTTCAGGCCGTTATGGTACCTGTCGCGGACATCCCGATCTCCCCGAGTATTAGTCAATCTCCCCGATCCTCTTAGGTTTATATGCCTATGCTTTGCGCACCCCGTTGCACTCACGCAGCACCAAAACAAATTACCACTTCTGTAACCTCAGTGCCTATCTTTCCTATCCGTGGCCCACCTCCCAACAATGCCTTTCCTCGACCTTCCAAATGCTAAATTGCACTACGACACCTTCGGTACCGGGCCGTTGCTGCTCTGCATTCCCGGTGCAGATGGCCGTGGGGCTGTCTTCCACGATGCAGCCAAATTTCTTTCGCGCAGCTTTAGAGTGGTGTGCTACGACCGCCGAGGATATTCTCAGAGCCAGCACATTGGCGCACAAGACCTCAAGAACCGGCTCGCGACAGATGCCGACGATGCCGGCGCCTTAATCTCTCACCTGTCCACTGAGCCTGCTGCCGTCTTTGGCACATCCTCCGGTGCGATCGTCGCTACGCAGCTCCTGATTCAACACCCGGATCGAGTGCACACGCTTGTCGCACATGAGCCTCCAGCATTTGCGCTACTGCCTGAAGAGTCCCGTACTCAAGCCGCCGGCCTCATCGAACGCATATACAGTCTATATCGCGAGCAGGGCGTGCAGGCAGCAATGGAAGTCTTCTCTGGCGGCTTATCTACAGGCGAGGAAGGCGCACGGATGAGATTCTGCATGGATCCCACGCGGGGAGACGAGATCCGCGCAAACTCTATGTTCTGGTTTGAGTTTGAGTTACGTCAGTACACTTCGGCTCTGCTAGATGTGGAGCGTATCAAGGCCGAGAGGACGAAGTATGTCCCGGCCGCTGGGAGCTTGTCTGGAGATGGGCCTGGTGTTGGGCCGATTGCGCTGCTTGCTCACATGCTTGGTAAGGAGGTGGAACGGCTCACTGGAGGTCATATCTCATACATGTACGAACCCGAAGCTTTTTCTGATGCCTTAGTGGCTTTGTTGCAGAGCAAGTCCCAGAAGTAGAAAATCTCCGTTATGAGAATAAAGACTTGGGTCAGATAACACGAGCCGTTCCCTCTTACACCTTTGAAAAGCTCCAGCCGTGGAACCATAGGCCCTTCGCTCCTTTGAAGACGTCAGATCGTAACCAGTTTCAGAGGCCAATCCATGGAGGCGTGGACAAAGTTGGCAAAGAGCATTGCATTTGGCTCGTACTGCGACACCAGGGTGCTCTGACGACAGCGTCTTTTCTTGCACATTCACAACGTGCTCCAGCAGCTCGACCGCCTTCTGCAATCGTTGTCTGCTCCGTACATTCCTGCAAGCTTGTGTTGGGAGGAAGATAGCTTCGTGTCACCGTCCGACATGCTTCAGGGACTACAAGATCTCTCCAGCCACGCCATAGCTTCTCGCGTCCTCTTATTGACGTCCAAACAACGATCAACTCACCAGCACAGTCCCGCCTTCTCTCCTGCGTTGCAGCCTTGCGTATTCCCGCCCGTTGCTCTGAGCTGTAGAACATCAGCGCGTGTCAAATTACCCTCCCCGGGCTTGCGCGTGGTGTACACGGTCAGGACTTGCTTCCTCTCCAGTAGGTGGTGGACGATGTCCGGCGAATGCACAACCCACACAGTACCTGTATCATCAGCGTCATCCACCACAACTGACCCGTCTCCACTACACTCAAATGCCATTTAACCAGCTCTTCCGCATGATCGTTTTCTTCTACAGTCCGTGATATGTGCAGCAGCCGCGGTACCGTAGCACACGGCTGCTTATATCTATCTCTCCATGCTCACCATAGACATCTATAAGACGGACCACTATGGGCGCACCTGCATGACTTCATACGCTAACTGCGGGGCTATCTGCATCTTCCTTGTCCCGTTGAGCCGCACGATAGACATCTTCTGCGCGCAGGCTCGGGGTGGGCATTGCGCGACTCCGGACGTCGCGCGCACGGACACAATAAGGCTCGCTATACCCGGTCGAGAGGAAGAATCTTACTGGCCAGCGAAAAGCCGCTGGCGCTTAAACCGCAGTCGGTTTCTAAAAATAAGTCGAGAGTTGGTCACAATTCCCTCTCTTGCGCCTTCGTCTTCACTTACTGGTGTCCATATAGCTCGTTCATTCCCCCCTTGCACAATGGCTGTTCTACTCTCACTTCGAAATGGCTGTACCAGACCCAGGTGTAGAATTTTTCGTTAGCTTCCACGACATCACCCCGAATGAGCAGGGAAAATGTATATATTTCGTAAAGTCTCTCCGGGAAGACCGACGATGCAAGTTTTACCGTTCCGACAATAAGCGGGCAATCGAATTGCATCGGAACATCATCGAAAGCGAGTCAGCAAATGTTCCTGTTGAGGATATTCAGGAGTATATTCGGTCCAACTGTTGTGCCAAAGCGGGGCATCGGGATCTTGTCTTATCCAGCCCACTTCTAATTCCATTAGTAGTACGATGGCTAGATGAGATAATGATGCAGAAATCCTTGGAAGATGCCTCAAGGCCTTCGGCCCAGGATACCACCCTTATATTAGCCAAGCGGACGCTGCGCGCTGAAAGTGTAGTCCCAAGCTCATGCAGAACATCTACTTTGTCGCCTATCAATTCAGCTACTACAGTCAAAACACCTTTGTCTAGTCCATCATCTACCCTTTTCGATGGCCCAGATGCGTCTATTGTCAGACCAAATCCGTTGCAAAGAGACGCAAGTTCATCATCACTTCCACATGTCCCTTCGACAACCACACCAAGTACTACGTCACCTATTTCAGAGCCTTCAGGGGCACAAAAACGATACAATCTTCGTTCTTCCGCTATCGACGATTCCCTCGCACAACTAAGGAGCCAAGCCGAACGTTTCTTGTTGGCAGAATTCCATCCTCATATAAAAGAGCCAACATCTGAAGATACTGTTGCATGGAGATTTTGTGCGGATTTGAGTAAGGGAGATAATAGGCGAGACTTTCAAACAGGGTCGGTCTATATATACAATCGCGAATCCTCCCCTGGTTATGTCAAAATTGGCTGGACGTCTAGATCCGTCAACACTCGTCTAGCAGAATGGTCAGAATGCGGATATAAACCAAATGAAGTGTTCAGGGTGACTGGAGTTCCGCATGCGCAGCGTGTTGAGACGCTCACGCATTTTGAGCTGATCAAAGAATGGCGTCGAGAGCGGCCTTGCCGAGGTTGTTTGGAGAAAGGAAAAGGAGAGATACGTCATCAGGAGTGGTTCGAAGTGAGCCCTGAAAGAGCGGAACAGGTGGTGAGCATGTGGGCACAGCTTTTCATGGAGTCCGATCCGTACGAGCTAAACGGATCGCTAAAGGACGATTGGAAAAACGTTATAGATGTCATGAAATTGGACGGCGAGGCCATTACTTCGAAAAGACTGTTGGAACACTACAAGACGACCGCCGCAAAAGATACAGCGCTCGCTGAGACCACTCGATCCACAAAGGAGGCGACAGCCGCAAAGGAAGCAGCGATGCCGGCAATCGTCAAAGATCTACCAAAGCCATCGCCTTCACCAAATTCCGGCGAGCAGAGTCTTTTTCCAATTTGCAAAGTAGAACAAGGAGAAGAGAAGCCACAGGCGATCTCTATCAAGGGAACGATGTGCGCATCCTTAGAGAGAGTTAAGACGAATCCATCTCAGGGCGAGCTATCGCCATCGAGTGTTCCAATAGCTGACATTGTGAAGATTGAAGCAGAGGAACAACTAGTCTATACTCACTGACAGAAGATCTTTCCTACCTCCCATTAGATGTAAACCACCTAAATCAGCCTCAGGTATCTTTAGCATCTTGTCCGTAAATATCGAAATTCAGTTCTGATTTATCTTCCCAACCAGAAATCCTCACTAGATGATTTGTCTCTAGATGAGGTATCTGTAATAGAGCTGTCTTTAAGATCAATGAACAATTAGTCGTCAACATGTTGCCCGCCTGCTTGTATGGAACGCCAGGCGGTCACGGCCTAGATGAATACGTTGCTTGCATTCTACGCTAAAGCACGGATACTTCTGTACCCAGCGGGTCCATAGGATAGTAGCACTCATTAACTATGATTCTAGCGTGGTGCTCAAGGCAGCTACATTGTTCAGAGTCTGCGATCTGCCGGAACTCGCATCGTATCGGCACTTCTGGCCGACTTGTTACGAACATCCACGGTGGAATCTTTGGCAGCGATCGATATTTGGCCACCGGCTACGCGACGATACGGATATTGACGCCGTTGTCGCATTGTTCGACCGCATCGACAAATACAGCCTATGATCCGGCCTTGCGCATCTTGGAGCGTGTACGAATGACAAGGTGATGGCACTAGTCGCGCAAGTGCATGAAAATGTCGCTGCGCTCTGCAATACTGCCTCAGAGCCTAGTGGGATATAGTGCCGCGATGTCGTCGACCTCCGAGGCTGGCCTTGCCCCAGTCCTCCGCTCTACACGCAGCGCAATCTACGAAGCGCTGCATGAATATTGTGTTAGTCCAAGTCAGTTAAGGTCCTTCTTTGACGTGCCAGCGAGCCGAGCGCTAACTGTTCTATGTTAAAGGACTCATGAAGTTGACGCCAACTAATCCGGGCGCAATTGCGGAGTTACCACTTCCAAAATCGAACTCGGATTGAGACCATCAAGAGTACTCGTGACATATCTACGAGACGAATCCCACATAGCGCTATCCACATTCAAACACGTGTTCCGTCTGTACAAATGCGGGCTTTTGTTTGTGAATAAGTATGAGAAGATCACACTTAAGATGCTATGATAATGATCAATTTGCCGGAACCTGCAATGTCACTGAGGCACTTGCGCTCGCATGGGCCGAGGCATACCACTACATGTGCAGATCTCCATGCTTTCCGAGATCTGAGTTAGTGTTGCTGGACCTACACTTTGAAGTCTTCACGGATGACCGCTTCGAGACTCGGTTTCTTCTCCCTTTCTTGTCTACCTGCCATCAATGGCATATCGGTCCACCATCTCGTGGTGTCTGATGCAAACACAGTACGCACCCAGGCACCCGGGTGCCTTTTACATCCATGGCCATTATGTGCAATGGGTCTCGTTCGCTTCCACTGCCTCTCTCAATCTAATAGCCGTAATTTGACCTTGCGATCAACGGTGGGAGAAAGCCGGCCCGTCAGCGGAACACGTCGCGTACGGCCGAGATCTGCAGGTTCAAGTGCGATACTAGTAGGGCTGTCACAAGGCCATTCGAGTTGTTTTGTAAAGGCTCGTAGGTACTCGTGCGCTGTTGATGTGACCGGACCGCGCGGGAGATCTGGTGGCGGTGCTATCAGTGAAGGCATTGATGTGTCCGAGAAACCAAAAACAAAGATGGGAACCACAGTTCCCTGATTACCTGTAGTGTTTGAGCAATAGAAGCTCAATTTTCACGATGATGTTGTCGTATGAACAAGAAAATAAAAAAAAAACAGCGGGTGTTCGCTAGTTGTCACACACCTAACTACTAATCCCCGGTACGTTGCTTGAATAGGGCTGAGCGAACGGGAAGCCTTGTTTTCGACGTCCTAGGGTCGTATGTGGAAGGATAGCTTTTAATTCAACCTTATGTACTTGAATGTTGTTGGCTGCAGATTGTCCTACTGCTAGCACCGCGATCCACATGAAACTTCTTTGCCTCCACAAATTGTGCAGCGATGTTTCCGTAGATTGCGACTCCATACTCACGTGCAGACAGTAGTATGATTCCAGATCTGACGCCTCCACTGGTGCTTACGGTCATTGTGGATCCGAAGCTCATGTACAATGAGACAGAAGGATTACTTGGCCAACAGTCATTGCAAGAACTCCCAAGACGGCAACTACAACAACAAAATTTGGCCCCATACGAATCTCCGTTTCTCCACGACTTCGTCTAAAATGATTTCAGGGATGTATGCATCTCCTATCTGCTCGTAGGTTGCGCTTTCATCAACCACACCCTGAGGCATCTGTCTCAACACCGGTGGCACCGGTCCGCCCTTGACTATTGCGATAATGTCGCCTTTTCTATATGTTCTGGTACAAGCGCAATTCGGTTATCTGCGCCATGAATGCAGAACCGCCTGAAAGGCACTCATTGCTCACGACTCACGGTGCTCTGTTGTAGTACATATACCACCTGGACGTTGTCCGTCTCATTGACGATCCTCCCTTTCTCCTATGTGTAATACTGATGATATTCAGGCTGCGCGGCGAATGGGTGCGGATCATTCATAAGATGAAGAGGTCAGGAACCGTCTTGTGATTTATCGATGTGGTGTTGCGTGCGGTTTGTCTCCGCGACCTTGGTGCTGCAAACATGGACTAGCGGTGTGAAGGAGCTCCTTTGCGGCACTGATGACCTGCAATCAGGTTGACACCGTGGGCATAGACTGTCCACCGATCTCCTTATGAACGGTTAGAGCCGAAGTTGTGTAGGTACAGTCACACAACAGACCGCGCTAACGACACAACACATCTCAACGTCCGGGAATGAAAGAGTTGGGCTATTTCGAACAACCAAAGGCAAGTGGAGACTCATTGATATAGTTCGCACTTGTCGTGCTTCAACATGGGCGGCATCCATCCATGGTAGGGATGCCGGGCCAGGAGTCGGAGGGAAAGAGATATCGACAGCATGTTCGTATCAAAACCACTCATGTGCTGCAAAAAGGAGTCTTCCTGAATAGAATGGTGATACAACGTGGAGCAACTGTCCCACACGGCTGATTTCGAGTGAACGCAGCGTGGGTTACCTCGAAAAGTCTTCCGGCGCTATGTGGCATCAGATCGAGCTTAGTTTGTTACCGCGAGAACGATTGACGTCACCCCCCATTCCAATGCAACCTACTGAGTTCTTAAGTGCATCTTAGATATGATTCTTGCTGAGGCGAACACAGTACATCTGGTCCCATGACAATTTGCGCGACGTGTCCTCAGCAATCTCATGGTCCAGCCTTCAAGAAGTGTTGATATCCAACGAAGCGGGGATCGTGGTCGTTTGCAGTCATCATTATGCGTTGAGACTGTGAGGATATAAGAACACCTGATATTGTGATGGTGTTGATTCCGGGCCATTGGCTGGTCGTTCGACTGAGTTTGTTTCAACCTCACGGACTATTTCAAGGATTGATCAGCTCGATAAATCAACCAGCTGAATAGTGTATGTTAGCGTAAGTGTAGAGCACATCTTAACAACATTTATGAAGATATAGGGTGCGCTATGATCATTTGATTTGCAATTGCAATGTAAGGCTGCCCCTTTCGTGAGTACCATCTTAGCTTTTCAGGCCTCCCATGCATGAAACACTTTTGCGATTATCAACCACTTTCCGTCTTGTTTCAGGAGCGTGTGATTGTCTGTGTAGTTGACGCCGGCAGCATCTCTCTCCATGTCGACCTTGACTACAGCTGTTGTTGGCGTGATCGAAATGATGTCGCTATGGGCGGTGATGTGGGGGGCGGCACCGTGTGTATCCATGAACAACGACAGGTTACTGATTGGTCCTCCGAGAAGTACGCCATCGGAGCCAAAGCCATACATAGTTGCGTCGTGGTGGAACGATTTCGCAACCTGCTTCGAGTCGCCAGCTTTGAGTCCTGCGACGTAGTTATCGACTACTTCGCGGACTGCGGCATAGTCGCTAGTGAGCACTGCTTTGATATTTTGTGAGGGCATTTGTGCGTTCATTCCCATTGAGAATTAGCAACCGTGAGTTCGAACTTGATCTATGCTCTGACTCTTACCTCTTCTTGGTGCGAAGAATTTCAACTGAAGCTGATTGACTGTGATGGGATGAAGGCGTAAATGTGTGGGAAACATGTGCTCCCAGTGAAAGATTAGGTCTTATAACGAATCTGTCCTTTCGGTATAAGCATAGTTATTCACTCCTTCACCCCACAAATGGACCCGAATATCTACCCCATATCTACCCCGACCACTTACCCCAGCAAAAGGGGTTCGATGACGAAGAGATTGTAGGTGAACACATCAGACTAACCAAGATGGGGCTCTCAAATGCAGATCCATGTCAGATTTCGCCGCACAGAGGTCGGGCGTCGAAAGCTCTGTTGACACTTGTTAGCGTCACAAAGGCTGATCCAGATACGCTCAGCAGGTCTTATTCGTGACGCGCTAGTATTTTGCGATCGAATTCCTTGATGGCATGTTTTCAGGGCTCTTTTGCTCTCAATGATGATAGAAGCCGTTACTGCAGGCCTATCTCATTACAAGCAGGAACATTCTAAGATGTCATGTGCGAACCGGCCGTCAAAATCTCTAATGGTCTCGAACAGATTCAAGGATTGGGTTGTGCTTATATCTTACATGGATATACTGTTCATGCGCCTGAATTATACTATGTGATCATTCCAACGACGTTTCCAACATGTCAGCCATGATAGTGAGTGTTGTACCAATAACATCGATAATACGAAATACGTGTGAACTGCTGAAAGCGCCAGCCCACAGCCTGACGCTGGTCGCAGCCATACGGCGTATAGTTCTTGCGTCATCCTCGTTTTGGTCGAGAATGCTAGCGAAGTCAGTCTCTTTGATTAAACCTGCAACCATCCCAAGCAGACTCCTCTCATCCTCTCGTAAAGATTGGATGCCGTCTTCAGCAACGAATTCTGCAATGGTGTTAAGCCATCGACTTAGTAAGCAAGCACACTCAAGATTGCAGAGCGCGTGCTGGACACTCCGCTTTGATGCCAGTGTCCGGGCAACAAAGGGTATTCCGATGCGTACGGGCCTGCACAATGCATGAATGCACTGAAGCACAGCCCTATCAAGGTGTGAAGAACGCGTAAGGCGCAGTACGTCCTTGGAAACGAACGCGCGCGCAATTATTTGTGGGTCCTTTGACATCAGGTTGCGGTGAGGCCCCATATCGGCATTCAGTCGAATGTAGCCAAGCCACAAGATAGCCGCTGCGTCGAAGCCGAGAGGCCCCTTCGGCGAGGACGGATCAAGGGACGACTCCTGAGTTGCTTCCCATGACTGGTGCCATGACATGAATGCTGCTTCGTAGGACTTCAAGTTTTCGGAACTCAGGGACAGTGTTCTGCTAGAGAGCGACCGCAACACGTGCCTTTCGAGGAAGATTTGCTGAATCAGACCAACGATCAAGACATAATTTCCAAAAGCGGAAAGTGGCCCAATGGTGTGAACGCTCCGACCGTGTAGAATCTCTTCAAGCGCTACCTTGAATAGCCGCTCATCATGACCATAGATGCGTCTCAGACGCATGAACTGTGATGCATTTGTTGCCTCCCACTCAGACCCGCAATGCGGTAGGCAGAGGCACACATCTTGATTCCAGATCGCCGGTGGGACGTTGAAAGCAATGCTCTGCATATTGAACAAGACATAAGCCACAAAAAGGGTGCGCCGGCGTTCTTCGCGATGTATCCATTCAAGCCACTCGGTTCCCTCGGCTATTTGGTCATCTATCGAGATGCCACCTTCTCGAACAAGCATCGCTAGCTGACTGGAAAGCATCAGCGCTTCTTGAGTCATAGGTTTGCCTGACCAGGACGCTAAAGCCGTGTTGATCGCAAGAGCCTGCATAGTTTGCAAAGCATTACAATCGATAACACGTGCGGTTATTGTCTCTGGCTGCAAGCCATCGATCTCTGGCTCCATAACGCGAGGAGGGAAGCTGTGACCTGTGGCAACCACGCTGGCGTTGATCTTGTGCATGATTATGGCTTTCGACGCAGCATACAAAGAGTGCCATTTCTTGTCTTCGAAACGATAACAACCTCCTGCAGCGGCCATGGCAAGCACTAACTCGGGCGCCAATGCGCTGACTGTCGTCGTTGGTACGTGAAGGAAGGGGAAGTGTTGGTGAAACTCTTGAAAGTATGCCTCAAGAAAGCGGGAGAGCGTCCGTCTGGAGGGGAAGGAGAAGGTATCGTCAACAAGACACACGTATGGGAGGAATGCGTCACAAGTACTTTTGTATGATTGTATGGAGATGTTCCACGGCAAGGTAGGGGCTGGACTTGGCTGTGTAACCGCCATAGTGCTCGGTCGAAGATCTTGTATTGGTAGCCTCTCGTTGTTGGGCAACTCATAGTCTGGCTCAAGAGGTGGTAGTCGCTCGTATAACGGTAGCGCAATTGCAGACTGCTGAACACCAACATCTTGCATCACGGGGAGACCATCCAGAGCCGTGGACAGGTTGTACTGGGGTATATCCAATCGCCAAAGGTCTGAGAGGGGCTGCTCGGAATCAAAGAAAGTCGCCGGCAGAAAATCATGCGCACTAAGATCCCAGTCCCAGAGGAAGTCAACATCATTAAATGCCCCAGGAGCAATATTCCCGAGATGCTGTGGAGGAACGATGGGGTTAGATTGATCATGGACTTGATTCGTGAAACCCGTCAAGATTTGTTCTTCATGGCCGCGCTGCATGTTATCGGGGACAGGGATCGATTGAGCTGACGACGGACCATGAATGCCTGATGACTCGTGCGGGATGTCTGATATGCTCGTCGTCATATCTGCGAAGCCAGGTCTGGGATTAGCTGGTTGTACACTATCTTGAGATTGACCCGGACTCGCAGGCCTCGATACTGTCGCGTGTGCGTTCATTGCTGGAAATTCCTGCTCTTGTAAGCCGTTTGCTATCAATGAGTTCTCGACATCGTTTGGGCATCTTTCCTGGACACCGGCGTGCGAGAGTCTCGTATGCCGCGCAAGCAAATCCCTATGTCGTCTTCAGTTATGTTATCAATCTGTTGAACATGCCGGTTGCCTCACTTTCGCGAAAAAGCCTGTCCGCATCCACATCTAAAGGGCTTTTCTTGGGTGTCTTTTTTGGCCCGTCAGCACGACTCTCACGCTCCTTGTGTTGGAACTTGCGAGTTCGCTCATGTCGGCTGAGGTGCTCCGCCCGCTTAAAAGTGAGTTGGCAGAACCGACAAGGAGAGACGGGTTTCCGAGGTCTTCCCCGAGGCATCTCGCGACTGGAATGGTAAGAAAGTGCACTTGGTGCAACCTTAGCGCGATGTCAGAAATCGTCCCAAAAGTGTGTGGTTTCACAATAACGACGATTATCAAAACGTATTCGTCGGAACACAAGTTGCATGGCTACTAGTGGGGCGAAGATTTGTTGCTCGAAGCTGTGTCCAATCATAGCGGTTAGCACCCGCTCAGCGCCGATTAGTAAGCCGTTCCTCGCGTGACTCTCATCCGCCATCTGTGCTGCCGCCTGTTGTTGAAGCACAACGAGACGAATTGACACTGTGAAGCCTGTACTCATATCTGTCTATTAACATTATATAAGGGAAAACCCATCCGAGACCCCGATTTTCGTCTGGGTGCGCCTCCTTAGCAAGGAAAAGGGATGAACGAATTGCGACAGGCCACGTCCTGCTCATCGGCATGAAGCAGCTGCTGGGCTCGCATATTGGTCAAACTCGAATTACAGCACTACTGCTATTCAATCACGCTCGATAGTAACTCATTTTGGCTTGCCGCGTCAAATACTGGCTGTGTGTGCATCGATGGGGTAAATATTGTTGGGGTCAAAATTATCGGACGTCACTGGGGTCGAAATACCTCGACGTCATTGGGGTCATTCTATCAGGACAAATCGATGCCATTTCTCTCAAGTAACAAAAGGTACAAAATCTGGCATTTGTTCCCGCTCAAAATATTGAGGTAGCCTCATCGAAATTTACTACACAACAGCATTTCGACCTTTTCAGGATCTTTGAAAATGGCCTCACATAAGCAGCCCATCCGTGTCGGCATCATCGGGCTCTCTACCAGCGGTGGATGGGCAGCGACCGCACATCTACCGTATCTCCAGACGACCACGAAGTACAAGGTCACCGCAATTTGCAATTCGTCTATTCAGACTAGCCGCCAAGCCATCCAACAGTACGGATTCAAGTCTGCCAAGGCCTTTGATTCCGTGCAGTCAATGTGCGCAGCTGATGACGTTGACCTTGTGGTGTGCGCCGTTGCAGTTTTCTCGCACTACAAGCTCATCAAGCCCGCCATTGAAGCAGGCAAGGACGTCTACGTAGAGTGGCCCCTTGGCGTCTCAACGGATGAGGCCAAAGAGTTGGAGACACTGGCAGAAAAGAAAGGCGTGCGCACGATCATCGGATTGCAGGGGCGCGTTTCGCATATCCAAGCAACTCTGCGGGACCTCATCGACAGCGGCAAGATCGGTACACCTCTTGTCACACAGATATCAGGATCTGCGACCACGGGAGAGACGGGTACACAGATTGTCCAGCGATACAAATACTTCAAAGATCGTGTTGCGCAAGGTACAAAAGGACAGGTCATGCTGACAATCTACGTTGGCCATACATTTGACCCAATCAGCCAGTTGTTCGGCGAACCAACAAGTGTCTCGAGCCAGCTCAAGACAACATGGCCGTTTGTCAACATTCTGGATGGAGACCGGACAGTTGAAACAAATGTGCCAAAGACTGCAGACGACTATGCAAGCTTACAGGGTGTGATGAGCTCAGGCCTAAAGTATACGTATAACTTCCGAGGTGGTGACGCGTTTGAAGAAGGAGAAGGACTTGTGTGGGATGTTATCGGGGACAAGGGCCAAATCCGACTGACGGGCAGCTCGATCATGCTTAATCTCGGGGCAGAGGATTATCAGGTCAGACTGAAGGACTACGCAACAGGTACAACTAAAGTTGTGGAGCTGCAGCCCAATTTGGATCTACCGCTCGCCGCGCAAAACATTGGGCGTCTTTACGAAAGTTTTGCAGACGGTGGAGCGTATCCAACTTTTTCAGACGCAGTGCAGAGACATGAGTTTATGGACGCCGTTTTTGCTTCAGCAGACAGTGGTGGGGATGTCCAGGTAGTCAAGAGATAATGTAATTCCTCAGGTTGTCTAGTAGTCAACCGGCTTCTCTGATCGGTTCCAAATCTTCACGTACGTAATTTTGTCGTTACTGAACAGCACGACCCAGGGCTTTTCATATGATGGCGTCGTGTCGATGTCCGGCAGCGAGGTGTCGTCCATGTAGGTCACGTCTTGAGGTTCTGGGGCCGGCAGAGGTGGAAGACAAGAGGTACAATCGAAACGATCGAATAATGTCGTTGCGTTGTAGTCCGATGGCGGAATGTTCTCCTTGCTCTCAGAGCTAGCCTCAGGAGCCAGGGCTTGAGGATCGTTTTCGCTCTCGTCGGAGGTCGATGCAGTCTCGTCGTTCGCTAGAGTTTCGACTTCTGTAAGCGGCTCACGGTTGAAAGGGTGCAAACCTAGAGCGGAGCTCGCTGGCTGGCCGATGACAGATTCATGAGCGCCGTCGTCGGCCCAGAGCGCGAAGCTGCCTACATCGTCGCGGGGCTCGTCTCTGTGGACGTTATTGGTACCAGACTGCTCTACATACTGTGACTGGGTCGGTCTCTCGTCTTCGACCAAGGGCGGGAACATGTTGAACAAGTATCTATCTTCCTCCATAGCTGGTACGGTGTTGTTGGTGCGGTTGTACTGCAGGTAAAGTGAGGGAGTAACGGAGAAAGTTTTTTGGCCGGGCGGTAAGGATATTTCTATTGTAATGATGAGTGCAAACGCTCCAGTGGCACAGAAGCCCGATTCACCTCGTTTGTCTCCTGGCTCGAATAGGAGATGTCTGCCTTGAAAGAGGTGATAGAGGATCCGCAATCGCGAAGCATCGCGAAAACTCGAGATTATTGCGAGGATGGGGCATAATTGCAAAAATCATCCATGTATTCGAGCGCCATGGAATTGCGCACAAAGAAAGTAGTTACCACAGGGCACGCTGCATGCCACTTACGAACCACACGCCCAGGCGCAACACGCCAATGTACTGCAATTCCTTCGTAGTCATCACCTTACTCATTCCTACTTTTCCTAATCGTGCGCTCTCTTCTTTCTTTATTCTGCGTTTGCGTTTGAATTTGCGCAATGTCTCGCTGCCCTCTCTTTCGCACTATATTTACTGCGACTGGCCCCGCTTTTAATAAGACAATCGTTGGTACGCTCCCACATCTTGCCGTTGCTGCCTGGTGGATTGATCTCATTGGCAGAGGATCCCCTTACCGCCTGCTCACCGCCTGGGCACTTGGGGATGGGTTTTCATCACCGTGTTGGTGAGGCTCCGCCAAGACCTTGATGATAAAGGAGATGTTCAAGCTAGCGCCCTTCCCCAACACCGGAGACCGGCGCCTCCGCCTCCGCGCCCCCGCCCTTGCGCTTCGACCAGCGTCAGGCTCAACGAATTTGCAATTGTCAGCTTGAATAAGTTTGTCAACGTATTTACGATCCCACGCCCTCTTGACTCTCCCGGGTGAGAATTTGCCTCCTCACAGCTGGCCTCGATCTTCGCCCCTCGCCGGTTCTTTCTGGCCGCCTCCGGACACGCGCAGGTACAACTGGCCACCGACCAAGTCTCACGAGACGCCCGATTCACTCGAACAACGCCATAGTCGTCGCGCGCGATAGACGGATGCGCAGGAGGCATGTAGGAGACACCTTTGTCCAGGGCTGCCCCTCGCGCCATGTACATACAGACGCATCGATTTCTGTCCGACATTTGCACAACCTTGAGCCTCGACGCTTCGTGCATCGTGAGTCTGCCAGGCGTCCAGGAATCACAGCTGAACACCTACTCACTGAGGTGCGCCGTGAGGCCGAGCACATTCGGGAACCACATACGCGCAGGGACAGGGAGGGAGACACGAGAGACGATCCGTTGATGGCAGCAGCAGCCGCTGGTGCATCGAAGGAGCGTTCTTGCTCGCGAACATGGCGAGACGGCAAGACATGGCTGAGTGGACGACCTTTGCGACGAAGCCTTCAGCGAGAGCACGACACAAGCCCTTCCTTGGCGTGTGTTGCGCGCCTTCGTCCGAGTGCCTCACTTCTCACTGTCGCTGATCGCTATGTGTCAATACAATGACTTGAACCATGACAGAAAAATCTACTTCAACTCGTATTTTTGGGTAACACAACCACTATCGACCCTGCTACCAAGTTCTCATGGCCGCCCGTCAATCACATAGACGCGCGCCGATCTGGCACATCCATACCTCTAGATTCACTCCTGGCCCTGACATCCTTCGAAGCCACCACCGCACCTCTACTGACATCTGGACTACTGTGCACCGTTGTCTCTCTGCGCACGTGGTGGTGACAAGGTATTGCCTATGACAGAGAGTCTGGCCTCAGCTCGGGTGGAAATGTGGCGCGCGCGCGAGCGCCGACCGAGGCCTGGCACTTCCGTGCACGCACATCCAGGCAGCCTCGAAGTTCGTATCTGCCAGCACACCCCGCCCATGCTCACCACCACATGGAAAGACCGTGCAAATGCGCATCTACTTCTCGCATGTGCTTCCCAGAAGAAGCGACAACGATTAGACTGTGTTGATGGATGTCAGACGACCTAAGCCACATAAGCCTGGCGCGCAGATGCAGAACCTCCACATGCGCGATCTGAATCTGGCCAACAATAGCGGATAACATCGAGCATTTTGCAGTGACTTTCTAACGTGCCGACTCCTTTGCTCTCGTCGGTATTGGAAGACTTTCCTTTGGCCGCAAGGTACTCCGGCCACCAACACGCTAGTGCGCCCTTGTTGTACCTTGCAGACGGCGGCGCCAATCCAGCCTCAGCAGCCTCGTATTGAACTACGCTAGACAGCCTCGCTACACCGCTTCAGTCTACTCTCCTGCAGTCTCTCCTTCCATCTCAGCTTCGCTCACCCCGCTGGTGTGATGAGTTTTCTCGAGAGGGTCGAACCAGTGCCTCGTTAACGACCGCTTTAGATCGGACTCTCCCGCTTTGGGATGGATTGCCACGTTTTGGGGACCACGTGCCGTTGCCTCTTCGCACACAGCAGCTCGTTCCTTTCTGACCTTATTATCCAATCCATGCATGCCGGATGAATCACGTAGGTGATGCTATGGCTACGACACCATCTCCGTCTGCCTATTACTCGACCGACTACGGCAAAGCAAACAGAAAGCCTGAACGCCTATCTCGACCTTGAACCGTCATAGCGATCATGCGCTTCGTTGCCTAAGCTTTTACCCTACCTGGCGCCTCACAAGACCGCCTAATGCTTAGCGAGAGCCTGCTACTGTCGCTAAGCTTCCCCACAAAGCGTAGTCTTCTTCCGTGTATATGCCTCCAGACATCCAGGGTGGGGCAGCTGAGCTGTAAAGCCCCGCAGAGTACGATTCTTCACGGGGCGTCCGTGGGCCTCTTACAACGGCGGAGGTGGCTGCTCTGACTATACCGCAGCAGGGCCACCATGAATGCGCTTCAGCAAGCCATCAATCGTGTGTGCCTTGAGTCAGTGTGTATAGCGCGTTCGAGATGTGGAAGTCTTCGGTGTCACCGCTCCTGTGCACGAGCGGGTGTCTCGCGAGTATAAAGACAGTATGCTCTGAGGACTTTATGCAGCACTTCCAACAAGACTCTCATCGTTCACCTAGGAGGTCAATCTCGTCATGATGCGCAGTCTTACCATCGCTACCCTGGCTGGGCTCAGCAGTGTTGTCTCTTCTCAGGTCATCGATCTAGCCTATGTAAACGCACAGCCTGATCCTACTTACACGATCGTCCCCGATCAACGCGCTCAAACAGTCACATACAACCAAGATTCAGCTATCGCTTCCGTAGTTGCAGTTGCTCTTCAGACCCCTGTTCCCGACCCTGGCGAGGGCGCTCTTCATAGCCGCAATGTCTTCGGCAAGCGTGCCGGGCCTTGCGAGGATCTCCAAAACAATGCTAACACCTACAACGCGAAGCTCGACCCCGCCGAAGCTTTCTTGGCGGACGAAACCCTCCAAAAACAGGCCAAGGATGCCAAACTACCAGCTGGCTACACTCAGGTCTACTCTAACCTGCAAAAGGCCGCTTCTGCCAATGGCTACATGGGGTGAGTCGCTCTGGCTTTGTTTCTCTCGACACAACTGACCAGTCTCCAGTTACACTATCATGCCAAGCTACAACGTCCAAACGTGTGCGGACAAGTGCTCCAGCACTCTTGGGTGCCAGGGTTTTAACACATACTTTGAGCGAAGCCCTAGCAAAGCACCAGCGGCCGGCTGTCAGGATCCTCCGGGTAGCGCCAACCCGTTCTGTGTGCTCTGGGGTGGTCCGGTATCAAAGGACAACGCCCTCAACGAGGGTCAGTGGCGCGAAAAGTACCATGTTGTCATCACAGCATCAAACGGCTACGTCCTTACAACCTCGATCAATCCTCTGTCCGGCAAGGCCATCAACGCGCCCCTTGACTGTAACAAGAACGACGCTTACATGGGTATGCGCCTCCTTACCGATAACGCTCCATTCGATCCGCAAAGATGCGCCGCCATCTGCGAAGCCACGACCCAGTACAACATCGATCATCCTGAAGCCGGCAAGGCGCCCCGTCTATGCAAGTTCTACAACACTTACATCCTGAACAAGAACTACATCTCGCAGGGTCAAGCATGCTCCATGTACACCCAATACTGGGACCCCAACACGTACGCTACCAACGACGGTCAGTGGGACGGACAGGGCAATCATTACACCATCTCTTCGAGCACATTCTTCTCGAACAAGACCGATATCGTGACACCTGTTTGCCCCGCAGATGTTGACAAGCTCAAGACAAACTCGGACGCGACGTCCTTTTGCGCTTCGTACATTTCCTACGTTGCACCTACCACATCCACTGTCACTGTAGGCGGCGGTGCAACCACCGTCGAAGCTTGTGGGCAGCCTACTGGACGCATCAGCAAACGTGACGACAGCGATCCCGCATTGATCGAGGCTGTTGTTGGTGTCTTCCCTAGCAAGGTCGATAACACCGCTGTCACCGGCACTGAGCCTGCCCTTGCGACCATTCCCGCTCAGGATGCTACCGATGCCGAGGCTCTTGCTTCAGCCACCTCGGCTGCCATCGCGCAACTAGAGGCCACTGCAGGTGCCGCTACCTCCGCCACACCCGCACCCTCAAGCACACAGGGAGATGCAGCTTCCACCCCCTCAGCTACCGATGCGTCGAAAACCCAAGGTACGCCTGCGGCCGCCACCAATGCTGCAACATCGTCAGCACCTGCTCGGAAGCGTGCGGCGTCCACGCCTGATGTGCTTGCTGGCCGTAACCCAATCGAGATCTCTAGCGCCTGCTCACAGATCGTCGGGAGCAGCACCCCCACCGTGACGGTCACCGCTGCTGCGTCCACTACCACAACATACAGAAAGTGCAACAACTTCCCGGCTAAATGTGCGGACAGCTCGCCTGCCAGGGCCTTCGCTGGGGACTTTAGTAGCTCCCCTGCCAGCATCGATGACAACGTGTACACCCTTGTACTGCCATTCCAGGTTTGCATCTACGATACGTGCAGCACCAAGGTCAACCCCACTTCGAACGGCATCATTTCACTAGCGGAGTACCGCAACATTGGCTATTTGAACGACAAAGGTCTTCCCAATTTCGGAGGCAAGGCAGTAAGTACATCCAGACTCACAAATTCCAACCGCCGTCTCACGCATTCTAGGTATTGGCCGCTCTGTGGCAAGACATGTACATCTACCAGGACGAGGCTCAATACATGTCCTATACCACATGCGGTGACGTGGGCAAGCGCACAGTAACCTTTGACTGGCGAATCAGCGCATTCCAGGACGTGCCCCAGTCTTACCGGTTCTCTGCGACCTTCTACGAGGACAAGCCCGGCCGCATCCTGCTCCGCTACTTTGAGCTCAGCGACAAGGGCACAGGAGCTACGATCGGCATCGAGGGCTCAAGAAAGGGGAAGAGTAAGTACATTGATGTTGCTCGACAGGACGAATCACTAATGTTAGCCAGCAACTTTCTCAACATACTCGCAGAAGAAGGCCGTCGCGAACGGTCTTGCTATTGTTTGGGATCCTGTTTCGTTCTCTTGGAGCACTACCGCTTAGTTGCGACGTGTATAGACGTTTCTCAACGCAAATTACGATTTTCAATGACATCGCGATTTATCTTTCTGGAGACATGTCCGATTTTGGTTAACCTAACAACCAGCTCTTCTGCAGATGTCTCCTGTTTGAAGCATGGCCAATTCAGCAGCCGCTTCCACAGGATCGCGTGTGACATGTGTCTTATGCAGGCGTAGCAGACGCCGAGGAAGCAATTGTTCTAGATCTCTCGAGTGGTGATGTGTTCACAAACAATCGTGTCTTTCTCTTATCGGAGATGCGGACCGACCAAGGGTCAGAACGATTCGCAGAAGCGCTGACTTGGAACCAACCCGTTCGCCGTGGGCCGGGGCAAAGAGAGCGAGTGGGGCAACAAGTTTTATCAAGATCTAACGTTGTCTCCAGCATAAGCATGCTCAATTCTTCTAGTATTCTAGGCGGAATTGTATTCGGTCTGATGGTAGTGCACTAACACAAGATGGAGGATGTAGAGAGCAATCGCAGTATGGTTTTGAGAGTCAAGACTACCCTGATCGCAGTGGTATCGTCAACTGTGACAGCTAAGACCGCGGGACACCGATGCTCGAAATGTAGCTGTGGCTGATTAAGCCTGGCAGTACTTAACTATGTTTGGCTACTATAACTGGGTTCTATGCTACTGTGGCAGCAAATCTAGATATCGATCGGTCCTATATCTAAGCAATCCCCATTCGCCACCATGACCACACGAGAACGGCCAGCAAGATTATTCCTACAACAGGGCCTACTCCACAAGACTCGTTAGAAACTTGCGACGGGGCTCTGTAAGCCCGAGACTGTTGTATAGCGTATGGTACAGGCTGGATGGGCCGTAGAAGCGGTGCACGTTCCGCCCGACTGCTGTGTGTGTGTGGAGAGTGGAAGACACCATGCTGTTCACCGAGAGGGAAGAGGCGCTGCTGGATTGGGCGAGAAGGAAGTGACTGCTGGACATGCCCATCTGGAAGCGGCTTCACACGCCGTTCGATCGCCGGGACAACGAAGCCAGGCAATTCGCCATAATCCCGTGAGTTGTTAGGCGTGCTGGGGTTTCTCTGGTGGGGTGTTGTAATTGGAGGATGAAAGGAGATGTGCCTCACAAGCTGCTTGTATGAGTCCTTCCTGAGAGCGCAGGCTCCACGACGGAGAGGTACGAGCAACACTGTTTTGACATTCCGTTGGTGTTCAATCTTCACATAACTGTTCCGGTGGAGTCGAGCATCGTCCTTGAGGAACAATCGGGATCCATTATCTGGGTGGGTATTGCTAGGATATATTGGAAGGTGGAGAGAACGAGCACGAGTGTCGTGAGGATGTCGAACATGAAGGTCTTTACCTCCAAATGAAGTGATCTAGACGGTTAGATCTTGGGAAAGAGCGTTGACAATTACACGAACTAATAGTATGATGGCATCTGTCCCTGATGAATTCACCCAGAGGATGAGTGCGGGGTGGTTGAAGCAGCCAGATTCGATGTGAATGGTTGCGTAAAGGTTTTCAAGAGGGATCTTATCGCGTGCTGGAAGCCAGTATATGGATCCAATGTCGTACTTTGGAAGAGTTGGTTGCATAGTAGAACTCAATACTGTAGAACTAGCTAACAAAGAGCTAAGTCCTGAAGCTTAGCTCAAGGGGTGGGACTTATGATTGTGATAACAGAGTCACACCGGAATGCGGGGTAAGCGTTTATTCGCTTGGCGTTTCACACAAGGATCCTACGCAGAGGTTCAGGTTCTAGTTAGTGTCGGGCTAGGTGTGGGTCGGCTGCTATAATCTAGAAGTAGTCAGGTTGCCATAAAAACCTTTAATGTATGGAGTAAAGGTATAACGAGTGACAGAGAAGCTAATGTACACTGGAGGACGACAGGCAATCACAGATGAGTAGCGAGCATTTGCTATCGCAATCCTCTCTTTCAACTGATCATGACCCCTACCCCTGGTGCTAACTTCCAAGCGCCCGGTGTGCTGTGCCACAGTGGCAGAGGGCCTCCGCAGGGCCCTTTTAGAGCAACCCAGTGGTACGAAAGGGGATCGTATAAGCCCCAGAGTAAGCATGTATGGAATGGTCCCTCGGGTAGTCTGACCTGTGAAAAGATGATAGGGAAATCGTGCTACTCGACCTGGCCTTGATATTTTGAGGAATTTTCGAGAACTGGGGGCGAAAGCGGAGCAGTAAACGCCTGGAGTGTGAAGCGATTGACGGGTCGGCGCGTTAGGAAAGGCAATACGGGACGATATCTGATGTGGCGTTTCCTTCCATAGGGCAGCAGGGACTGGTGGGAGTATGCGACTCCACCCCACGGCTATTGGTTTCAGAAGCCCCACTGGGCGCTTACCGGATCTCAAAATGCACCGAATTGTGAAATGCTCTGGCTGCAATAAGCATCCGTCCACCACTAGGCTATCATGGTCTGTTACCGCGACAACATGCTCTGCCTGCGAGCACACCAGCCCTCGAAGGGCACATTTATTGACCGGGCAATGTCCAAGGTTCTTGCAACAGGACCGAAAGACTGCTTTCCTTGAGCATTGCCAAAGTCCCCACCAAACGCGAGAGCTGCTCCAGATCCCGCCTGGAGCATAGCATGACATGGGTGCATCTGGAGAATCGTTGGTGTGTTTGCTGGTCAGAAGAGATATTATCTCCCAGCACAAAAAGATGAACCGGGCAACAATGCAAGCGCGTCAGAAGAACTTCGTGACGAGGAACAGATGTTGCTCCAACCTGTGACAGAACACGCGTACCAACCTAGTAGAGTAGACAAACGCAGTTGTCTACGTGAAGCTTGTGTTTCTTTCACTTCCAGTATTCCCAGTGATCTGCTGCGAGATGGGCCTCCGCGTTATAGGACCTTCTCTGTAAGAAGTTCGGGTTGATCCATCTCGCCGTGGCCGTGGCGAGCAGGTGGCTGGTCACGCCGATCTACGGCTGAGGCTCATACAAGACGAGCCGTTGCGCGACGGCAAAGAAGTGAGGCTTATGTAGGCCAAGTGTGCTCCAGACACCAGCAGCAGCAGCAACAAGCAGAGCCTATCCTTTCCATTCACATGCGACGTCCAGTGCTGATAGCACGCCCTACCCTCTTACGTTGACCTACAGCTGAGAAACATATATGCATGAGCCGTTGAGCGACGGTAAGGATGTAAGGTTTATAAGGGCCAGTCGTGCTATAACAGCAGCCGCAGCAGCAATAGCAGGATGATGGACGGCGCGAAGCGTGCCATGCGCGAGGTCTGCGGGGTTGGTGAGGCTCTATATCAGGCTATCCAGGCTGACCTTCTAATCACCCTTGAGCTGGCATTCGTGACCATTTCTGCGCGAGTCGGCCTCGAACGTCGATGCCAGGCCACGACTCGAGTTGCAGTGTCCGCCGCACCCCAGCTTCAACCGCAGGCGGGTCAACAAGGGCGCCGGCGCGGTACATGTTGCGCGTGCGGTACGTCTGCAGCAACGGCTTCTTGCTTGGGCTGAGCGTTCGAGAGCCGTGGGAGCGCACGGCGCGTTTCGCGCTGCCGTGTCCGCGGTCGGCAAGGGAGGCGTTACGCGCAGTGGGAGGTTGTTCCATCGTCTCTAGGCCGCAGGTCGCTGTGCAGCTGTCCAGCTAGCGTCGGGTGCTCGAGGGCGGTGGCGAAATGCTTGGCAACGCCGGGGAAACCTCGGCGTTGACCCTGGAAGCCGTCTCGACAGCCTTGCTCGGCGCTTCCTCGAGGAGGACCCTCAAGGAGCAGCGGGCGCTCCATCAGCCCGACCGAATTGTCATCAACAAGTGCCGCTGCTTGAGGTTTCAGAGAAGCGGCGACTAGGCGTGCTCAAGCTGACGGAGATAGCATAGAAGGGCACGCAGGCTGTCTACCTTGAGTCTTGAACAGAACTCGCAACAGGGCCTTGCCCAAGCGTTGTTGCGTCATGTTCTGAACCAGAACCAATCACTCATCCCGGCTGTGCTTCCTCACATGTGGACAGAAGCTCAGAACGGCAATGTGAAACTCGAGATTCCTTCAAGGGCCGAGATGCAACGAGCTTTTCAATGCCTGGGCACAGAGTCCACGAACAGCGCATGTCTTTTTCATTGACGGTTACGTAGTAGTAGACTACGTAAGGCACAAAAGTTCTTAAAGGGCCCAAGTATGGTAATCGTATCCTATAGCGCCCTACTAGAGGTTAACTTAACATGTGCTAGAATGATATAATTAAACTAAAAACTACTGGAATCTTGCTGATTCTCTCTTAAAGTCTCTTGCTGATATCCTCTCATGGAACAAATGATCTAGTGTCGCAGGGGACAGCCCCTTTGTCTCCGGTAATCTAAAATACGTCCAAACAATCATGCACAAGGTGAACACCGCACCAGGAAACGCAGCCTTGCCTTTGAGATCCCATCTGCTTGGGTTCAGCATATATGGCGAGATACCGCTGTTGACAATTGCTAGGACATAGTACACATTGCGGCCGAGCGCTATTGTTTTGGCGCGGAGCTCGGTGGCACCGACTTCTGACGCAATGGCGTACGGAATGGGACCAATTGTGCTGCCGTAGATGAAGAACCAGATCATCAGTAGCGCGGACTGGATCCATCGGATGTTGGCATTTGTGTGCGCGTCTGGCATGTATTCCAGGCCCGCGACGATCCACATAATGGGTAACATGCATATCAGACCCCAGAGATAGATAGTCCTTCGTCCCATATGGGTTTGCAATACCCATGATAAACAAGTGCCGACAAAAGCCATGCCGAAGGTGCCCATAGACATGTTGAAAGAGTTCCTGGGGGAGAGTCCGGCGAGGGTGAAGAAGTAGGTTGTGTAGTTCTGAATGACAAAGCCGGGGAGGATCTGTAGGCCCCATGAAACCATGGCGATCTCGGTTCGACGCAGGTTTGTCCCCTTGAAGCAGTCAAGATAAGAGCCACCAACCTTCATACCACGTTCTAGCTCGATGGTATGCTGGATCATGGATAGTGTGTGATTTGTGTTGATGGCTGTAGCAGGGGCGCTGACGAGTCGATCGAGTGATCTTTTGGCTTCTTTGTTCTGGCCTTTGCGTGCAAGGTACCATGGGGACTCGGGAGCAAAGTAGGTTGCAAGTATTAAGAATGGTGGCCAGACCCACTGGACCGCAAAAGGGATGCGGAAGGACCAGTCGGACTGTATTGAGAGTGTGCCACGAAGGACTCCAGTCGAAAGGATACGGCCCATGACCCAACACAGGTTCACATACGTTGTAACGTATCCTCTCAATGATGTAGGTACGACTTCTGCGGCGTAGGTCGGTGCCGCTGCCGCAAATATACCCCAAGTTAGTGCACTGTGTATATGGTGAGTAGTATCCCAATCGAGCAACGTTGAATCAGACTTACCAAAGTAGCTCCCCACCAAAAAGCATTTGAATAGATTGAGCCTCAAATGTCAAGGAGATGAACCCTGTGAGGAACACAAACGCAATCATCATCACTCTTCGCGGTCCAAATTGTTCAGCGAGGGGCGCGTTGGCGAACACACCTATGATGAGTCCGCAGAATTGCGCCAGGCTCAAGGCCAATTGCCAGTTAGCATCAACCTGGTAAGTACCGTTCTTTAGTTGAAAGCCGTATCTCTTGTTAAACTGAGGGAAGGCGTAAAATCCCTTGATGAGCTGGATGTCGTATGACTCCATGATGTTGGCCAATGCTACAGGGCGATCAGAGAAATAATAGTCGCCTGGGAGGCATGCGACTTACATATCAGAATCGACCAGCACACAGCTTTGCGGTAGTACCAGAAAGCTTTGCTGAGCGCCATTTGCTTCTCTTGCTGTACGCCGAGCGAGGCATCGCTATTGACGGACACAGCATCTCTAGTAGACTCGACATCTTTGGCGTCGCTGTTATGGGTCTTCTCATTGAGCGAACCGTTACGCGCGCGTCCATCCATCTTATCTGAATGTGTAGGATGTCTTTAGATGCCGGTCCGCTGGCTGCAGAGCATTCTTTGAGGATCAACACATCTTATATGGATTGAACACTGGAGAGTCGCATCAAGCCACTTGATCACAACATTGCAGGCCATGATTGCCCAATAGGTGTCGAGTCAACGATTTCAATGTCGTTAAATGCATGAATTATGGTGTGCTTGCGGTGTTGAGACACATGAGCGGCCCGGAAAGATGAGGATTGGGTGAAGTTTTCGAGATCCGCTTGTCGGCTCTGCCGACAGGCTGTTATTTCCAAAAGGGGCAACTCGGGCCTCCGACGCTAGACTCTGCGGCCCACTTTTCGCACTGGGACTCCACGTATCTTTCGACACAAGATTTTGGACAGTCTCATCTGAACATCTGAAGGGGATGGAGTACCCTATTAAGCTAGTATAGAAAGCTTTCACGACGCGCGTAACTTGATGGGCGGCTGATGATCGTCATTCCCCAATCTCGAATCCGTTGCAACCTCCTGTCGTGCTTCACTTGTCCTGGAAGTCATTGCCCATCATGGTGACACAGAATACCCCCAACATTGTCTTTATTATGGCTGATGACCACGCATCCAAATCAATCTCGTGTTACGGCGCTGGCATCAATCATACGCCGAACCTGGACAGGATCGCCAACGAGGGGATGCTTTTCAATCACTGCTATGTGACAAACAGCATCTGCACGCCTTCACGCGCAGCCATTCTGACCGGGACACACAATCATGTCAATCTTGTCATGACTTTGGCATCAAAGATAAATTCGCGTTTACCAAATCTGGCAAAACATCTACAAACTGGAGGATATCAGACTGCAATGGTCGGCAAATGGCATCTCGGCGAGGGAAAGGAGCACCAGCCTACAGGGTTTGACTACTGGAGTATCGTTCCAGGCCAGGGCGAATATTATGACCCGCTCTTCATTGAATCCGATCGCACCAAGCGCTATCCTGGTTATGTGACAGATGTCATCACTGATAAGTCGATGGACTTTATCCGGAATCGAGACACAAGTCGCCCGTTCTTCGTCATGTGCCACCACAAAGCACCACATAGAAGCTGGGAGTGCGATCCAAAGCATAAGCACATGTACAAGGATCGCATTAGGTTGCCTGATACATTCACGGATGACTATAAGAACCGGGCGCGGGCTGCCAAGGTTGCAAAAATGCGGATAGCTGACGATATCACATACTTTGATCTGGGACTGGTGCAACCAGATGGTGGACAGGAGGTTGGAGAGAAGTTGATCGATGTGTGGAATTGGAGTATGTTGACATTTTGCACAATGAATCATGAGTCAACTTACACATTCTAGTCGACCGGAAGATTCCTAACCCCGAGGATGTCACGCAGATGCGCCTTGTAGACAAGGACGACGGGACAGTATTTACGTTTGAAACACGAGATCAGCTAGCCGATTTCAAGTACCAACGCTACATGCAACGATACCTCCGAACGATCCAAAGTATTGACGACAATACTGGCCGTCTACTCGACTACCTGGAAGAGGAGGGTCTTGCTGAGAACACAATTGTCATTTACACATCTGACCAAGGATTCTTCTTGGGCGAACATGGATGGTTCGATAAGGTAATGCTATCCGATTCTCTGATCATTCGCATATGCTAAGAGCTTTCGCCAGCGCTTTATGTACGAAGAAAGCTTTCAAATGCCTCTCCTCGTGAGATGGCCACGAGAAATTCAGCCAAAGTCAGTGTGTAACGACATTGTGTGCAACGTCGACTTTGCCCCTCTCTTCCTCGACTGCGCAGGATTGAAGATACCGAGCTACATGCAAGGTGTTTCATTTCGAAAGCTGCTCCGAGGCGAGAAACCTGAAGACTGGCAGCAGATAGCATACCACCGCTACTGGATGCACAACGATGTCATCCACAACGCGTACGCTCATTACGGCGTGCGTGATCAACGCTACAAGCTCATTTACTGGTACAATGAAGACCTTGGTCTCGAGGGCGCGAGGCCAGCTGATGCAAATCACAAGGAATGGGAGCTTTTCGATTGTGAGGAGGATCCTCTTGAGCTTTTCAACGTCTATCATGATGATGCGTACGAACATGTAGTCAAGAGGATGACGATGAAGCTCGAGGCGAAGATGGCAGATATTGGTGACACACCGGTCCACAAAACTGTGCCTAATACATAGTATCGGCCCAAACTCACTTTTCGGCACTTTCACTCCCACGATGCAGAAATCGAATGTCAGATCTCTTTGGATACAAGGATGCTATGGGCGAATGATCGAATCTTCCCTATTTGCCACTTTTACTCTGTCATCAGCTATTGATCAACAGCGTTACATTACCTCGGGATGCTGGGGCCTGCGAATCAATGCACATGGATACCGATAGCCAAAGTTACTAATTCGAGTTGTGTGATATGACTTGACCAGAATTAGCCGAGCATTAGCACGCGTTCTTAGCGGCTATGGCGAATCGAGGATGTGTCACCTCGCTTAATTTGTTTCCCGGACCAAAGGAGACAATTGAAGGCTCACCGTGGATCATCCAATGTTTCCAACACGACTTGAAGACAATCGAAATGCTATGTGCACAATGCCGACAGAGAAAGGTATTTCGTATGACGCAAAATGTCCATGCCATGATGTTTGGCTGACTATAAAGGTTCGCTGCAGCGGAGGTGCAGGTACCTGCGAAGCCTGTGTCCGTCTTAGTTTCAAATGTTCATTGAGCGACTCACCATCCCCAGTTAACCCTATTGCAGGAGACTCTCCCGCTGTATTGAGGGTCAGAGGAGGGAGAGCATGTGATGAATGCCGCAGGCACAGGGCCCGATGTGTTCGCGGTAGCGAACAGACTTGTCTCCGCTGTCAGCAGCAAGCTTGTGCATGTATTTTCTCACTTTCTGTTCGGCAGTATCGAGTGCAGCAGCGAAGACAAAGACGGGTGGACGTTCATTCATCAGACAAGTCCCAGAGACCGTTGGGCGCGGTTGAGAGTGACATAAGGGTGACAGATGCTTTGGCAATCAGTACGATGGAGTCTACTAGCGCAATAGACAGGTTTGTTCATTTCCTTGATATTTCCTAGGCTTCGTGCCAAAATGACCCATCACAGTGTGCTCAAGTGCGATAAGGCTCAAGTACGGAAACTCATCAATGCTTTCTTCGAGTTCATTCACCCAGTCCCAGGCTACAATTTTTTACACCGAGCAGATATACTGCGGATTTATTCTTTAGGCAGCCTGCCATCTGTTCTCCTGCTCGCCATCTGTGGCGCTGCTTCGCGATACCTGTCGGTATCAGATATGGCCACCAATGAAGCACGATCTTGGATCGAAGCCGCCGAGTCAAAAGTGCTAAAAAGCTTGGGAGAGGCTAGACCATATCATACGGAAGCATTGATGATTCTTGGGTTCAATCGCCGCTGCAATCATCAAAGCGGCAAGACATTTTTCTTCGTCTCGCTCGCAGCTAGGATGGCTTATCATCTCAAGCTCCACCGAGAGAACCACAACCTCAATTTCTTGGAGCAGGAGTGTCGGCGACGCTTAGTGTGGTGTATATTCACGGTCGACAGATTCTGTGCTGGAGGGATCAAAGTATGTTACTATGTATGCCAAGCAACCGCTATACGCTTGAACTAAGATCTATTAGGAGTACCTGGTCTTGAATACCAGCTCTGTGCAGTTGCAACTTCCTTGTGCTGAAAGATACTTTGAGACCGACAACGCCGTCAAGACCTGCTCTCTAATGGACAAGGAAGCGCCAGCTTCCGATCTGTCAACATCTGCTCTGATGCTTCGTCTCTTTGACATTCGAAATCGCGTGCTCCAGTAAGACGTTCCTACTTGTATTTCAAGACTCCGCTAACAGGCTCTGCAGATATGCAAAGGCTCATCTCGAATCTCTGATCAGCCCTGAAACATCCTTAACGCAATTTAAGAGCTTCGAAGACGAATTTCAGAATATTCATGCGTTGCTTTCACCAGAACGGCAGTTCAGCACTCATGCCTTCGAGCTCCGCGCATTTTCACCAAAGCGCACCACGTTTATCATGTTTCATGTTTACTTCCATCACTGCCAGTGCGAGCTGTATCGCTTGTTGAATCCCGGATATCGTGAGGCTCTTCAAGAATCCGTAATCAGTTCCACGAGCCCAGAGTTTGTGGTCTACGCTCAAACAGAGTGCCTGAAGCACGCCATAACGATCGGCGAAATTATTACAACAACATATCAACTTGTAGGCGAAGAGCTGTACATTAGCGACCCCGCAATTTTCGTCATGTTGTATCAAGCGTCGTGCGCCATTTTATACGCATGTCACCGCGACAGCCCAGCATTCGCAATGAGCCCAGCAACAGCTCAACCATACTTTACCGTCTTCATCGTCACCCTCACTCGTCTGCTCAAATACTTCCCCAGGTTCAGCATCTACGTAGAAGACATTCGCAACATGCTCCGAAGCATTGCACATCCCAATGCGCCGCTTCCGCGCCAGAAAGCTGATGCAGAAGTAGACTTTAGAGCGAGACCGGTCTATGAAAGCGAACGCTCAGAAAGTGACGAGTCGACAGTATCTCCGACTGCTCAGCAAGGTGATACGCTTGCGTCTCCATCAGATCTATATCTCAGCCAGGGCATGTCTTCGCAAATTTTCGCACATTCAGCTGCCACAGACGCTCAGGCTCTCCAGACAGCTACCGAATACCAATGGCCATATTTGGGTGCGGCTTACTATGACTTAGATCTGATCTCAGATCCTTGCCACGGTTTACTATGGGACTGGGCTGAAGCACTAGGACCAAGTAATTCAAGATAAGCTATAGAGCCCTTTGGTAAATCCTATAGTATCTATTTTTATTATTCTTATCATAAACGAATAGAGATATATGGTATTGATAATAAACATATAATATAGAGTATGTACAAGTATAGTAATAGATAATCCAGTGATACTGGGTCTATCTAGGCGCATAAAAGCGCCTTATGATTCCCTGTACAGTCGACAGAAACAATTTCAAGCGTCCCTCTCAAAGCATTGAGTTGTTCTCTGGGGAGCAGTGTTAGCAGCTTTGTCGTTTCACCCTCCTGCAACGGCTGGTACTGGTAGCAGGAATTAGCCATGATCCATCTGTAGACTTTTAACTGCGATTATTGAGATTGATTAACCTTTGATCCTGAATCAGGCAAGCGGCTTCGGAAGGAGGCCGTTCCACGTTGGCTGGTCATGGGAACTTTCGAATTTACTAGAGTAGGGCAACCTCGAGCTTACGCCAAATTTCAGCCTAGTTACCGATTTTTTAGCCGTAATCAGCCTTGTCAAAGTCTGATGTGGTGTACTAACTATAGCTACTTACATGAACGAAAGTAGTTTACCCGATACACCCTTCTCCGCCGCTGTCAGCCGCGTGACATAACTGACGTCACAAGGCCGAACGCATTAAAATGGCGCAACACCCCAGCCTTGGATTGATACTCTCGTACTTGCAAGGCTGTAATCATGCCATTCCATAATGTCTTCGTTAGATACTCTGATGACGACGGCAGACTGACTCCGGGGCTACCAGAACCCATCAAGTCGTCAAGGTCCTCCAGATCCTTCTTATCTCTCAGATCCTTGAAATCTCCCAAGCCCTTAACGTATACGGAGCGGAACGATGATCGGCTTCAACAATGTCTGGGTTGCTTCCATGTCGATGACTGGATACGACTAGTTGCCAGGCAGTCAGTGGACGGCGAGGAGCGACCGTTATCCGTGAAGTTGCATGATAGCTTCGCTGAGCTTGACCAATGCGCAGTGCACTGCGATATCTGCCGTTTATTTCGACAAGCTTTGGTCCTTGAGGACGTGACCTTCAGCGGCGTAAGAGCGCTGTCCGCAACGTTGGGTATGGTGGTAGTGCGCTGGCAAGAGATGGAGGATGTAGAGGGCAACCGGAGGGTTAATCTGAGAGTCGAAATCGAAGGTGAACCTGAACGAAGTGGTGTTGTCAACTGTGATAGCCAAGACTGCAATACGCATCTGACGCTACATGCCGATGCTCGAGATGCAGCTGTGGCCGATCAAGCCAAGCAGTGGTTAGATACCTGTCTTCACGATCACATTGGGGCCTGCGACAATCTGAGCTATAGCAGCGAGAGTCCAGATTTGATGGTCCAGATACTTTCGCCTGACGAGATTCAGCTTCAGCGGAACCATACAGCTAAGTATGTTGCACTTAGCTATGCCTGGGGCCGAGAAACCCAAGAGGTTCGTCGGGCGAAAACTCTGACTACTAACCTGGCACCTCGGTGCAGTGCACCTTTTACTATCGATGGATTCCCGTCAACTGTACGGGATGCAATTCGCTTCGTTTACGCCATGGGTTTACGCTACATCTGGATCGATTCAATATGCATCGTGCAGAACACAGGGCTTGGTGTCGATGCAATGCACAAAGTCTACTCAAATGCGTTATTCACAATTAATGCCTGCGCCACCACCCAAGCTGGAGATATGCTGCTTGATTACCGCAAAGCATGGGACTATCCAACTAAACCATGTCGACTTGGCGGAGCTTGGCTCACAACAACAGTCATGTCTTTGAACGAGCTGAGACTGAGATCACCTCTCGCACGGCGAGCTTGGACACTCCAAGAAGACAGGCTCAGCCCTCGCATGCTGTACATATCCAGCAGTAGGATCTACTAGTCGTGTGTCAAGGGCCAGGAAGTTGAAATAGGGACCGTCATCGCAGCGGGCGTAAGCAAGCAGCCAAAGCCAACTTACACAGCGTCCGGTCGTGAGACTCTGATGCCAGTCGCGCAAGAATTCCTGTTAGCTTGCCGTAACAGACCTACAGACGACTACCCCGACCTTTATGCTTTTTGGGCAGACATTATTAAATCCTACGCAGCACGCGATATGTCCATGCTTCAAGATCGGTTTCTTGCTCTCTCTGGTATGGCGTCTAAGTACCTCAGTGCGAATAGTCCCGATGAATACCTGGCTGGTATATGGGCAAACACACTGCCTGAAGGCCTTGTCTGGAAAGTGGACCAAATGTTGGAAACTCTATACATCGGCGCTGATGGCACAGGGCCTCCATCGTGGTCCTGGATGGCACTACCTCTCCGAACTGCGATCGAGACGGACGCAAGAAGCGCGCGATCAGAGTTTTTTAAGCGCTTGATCGATGAAGACGCCATGAGCCCGATTGTTCCGGAGTCCGTCGAAGAGGGTAACCATAGAGGTGCGATGGTCAAGGAACTTCGAGTGGCTGGTCGGAGGCGCGAGTTATGGTCATCGTCATCACGTCGGATCGACTGGTCGAGCGTCAGTGCAACAATAAATGGGGAAGAAAGGTTCACCTTTGCGCAGGCTCCAGAGCAGGACTTGCATGCCATACATGCAGCGTCTGGTCGCGTTTTGGTGTACGAGAACCGAAAGAAAGAGATCATCGGCTAGCTTGACTTCGAGGTCGATGTAGTCAAGCTGATGGCAGATGAGCTCGTAGTATGCGCTCTTGAAGTTGGACAGACAACTATGTTGCTCTTGGAGAAATGCAGCGATGGAACGTTTCGACGAGTTGGGGTCGCGTGGAATGTCCGGAGGGACCTTTTTAGATCCATAAAGAAGGTCCAGATGCTGATATTGCGATAGGAATAGGTAATAGCTATTTCAGAATCTTGCTTACAGAGGGATCGTGTGCCATCGTATTCTGACCACCTGTCGGCAATCTACTGCGGTCTCCGCCGTTGCGATGGATATGGCAGTTGTAGGTGCTCGATAAGAGGTGTCCGTGGACTCGACAGCCTTATGCGCGCTGCATACTAGAAGCAGAGTAGTGGCGCTGAGGCTAGTACAATTACCATGCGGTCTGGCGCCTAGCGGCTGCACGTAACCGGCGCACAATATCCGCTGTTGCGTCAAGACAGCGTCTCGACAAATTATCCATATTAAGTATCGGGCGCTGCAGTTGCGGTCTTGCACGTGCATATAGGTATGCTACGTCTACAAGGGAAAGACGACTTACAAGAGCTTGCACATCTGTAACACTCATTCTTCAATATGAGCGCATTACATCGTGCGATCTAGTTGCGGCCGACTTTGAGTTGCCCTGCCTCGGTATGTTTGTTGCGCAAACCGAGATTGATCGGGGGCCTAAACGGAACGATCTAGCTGTTATCGACGCTGACGCTTGCCCGCATGTGATTTACACCGGCAGGCACAGCTCAGATCGAGCTTAGCGGCAATAAGGACGAGCCCCTGCGTCTGCCTAATAAATTTGCTTCAACAGTCAGGTATGCTTCACGTATACATCACGATCGCTCAGGCTGCGAGAATTGCGATGAATCCGATTTCGAGCGCACACACAAGGGAAAGTCGAAGCCACGCAAAAGGCGAAGCCACATCACATCCTCTGTCGTGCCTTGAATCGCAGAACTTGAACAAGTGATACATTCGACGCTGACCAAACTAAAACTGTGCCATACCTCAATCAAGCATTTCCACCATGAACTACCAGGTGTGGATGCCGCGCTTCAATCATCGTCGCATCCACCAATTGCACGCTTCTTAGCACCCATGTAGAGGTGGCCTTACAATAAACGATGTACCTAAGCAGGGGTCTCATACGTAGGCCTTCCTTTCTAAGGTCACCGGTGGGGTGTATTCCACTTCCTCGCTGCGACTTCCCGCCTTGGCTGTGATGTGAGAGCAAACTATGTCGCCTTGGAAGGTTGGCATTATCCTGATGCTGGACCCGCGGCTTTTTATGTCTTGCACCTGTAGCGCATCATGCCCTACTCTTCATAGTCCTCAGGCTCAACACGTTCGCTCATTGTACGGCACAACACTCATTTAGGTCTAAAAACGCAGTAAATTGTGTGGTAGTAACGCCCACACGTCCGCTCCCTCGCTCTCTCCAAATCCGACCGTATATTGTTATCGACTGGCCAGATTCGCACGATGCGCCTCTCTATCGCTGTCGCGGCTGTCGCGACGCTTACACCTTTCGTAAATGCTCATGGTGGCCTTGGACTCCCGCAGATTCATGGGCTCGTTGATTCTCTTGACCGAAGGGTTGACGCACTGGTAGCCAACTTTAGGACTGGGGCTTTTGGCACCGACTCACACGTCGACCCGGTCCTGGAGGCACGCGCAAGTGCCAAAGAATGCGGAGAGGGTATTGGATCATGCCCTAAAGATAGAGGCTGCTGCTCAACAGCTGGCTGTACGTTAATTGAGCGCGACAACGATACCGTACTGACACAGGTAGACTGCGGCTCCAATTCTACTTATTGTTACTCCCCCGGCTGTCAGTACAATTACGGTCCTGGTTGTCCGGAACATCAAAAGCCTGAAGGTCAGAGCACCGAGTCCATCCCAAGAGCAAAGATTGGCTCCGTCCCCTACGGAGGCAACGGTATCTATGGAGGCTTCTGGGCCTGCAAAGATCCGGGTCATGTCGCTCTCACGTACGACGACGGACCAATGAAAGACACCACTGCGACTATCCTGGATCTTTTCAAGAAGTATGATGCAAAGGCTACTTTCTTTGTCACTGGCAATAATATTGGCAAAGGACGGATTGACAAGACTCAAGAATTCATCGACTTAATCAAGCGTATGGACACGGAGGGTCATCAAATTGCCTCTCACACATGGACGCATCTAGACTTATCTAAAATTGATGCTGATACCCGTAAGGACCAAATTATCAACGTAGAGGGCGCGCTGAACAACATCATTGGCAAGATTCCGACTTACGTGCGACCGCCTTATTCAAGCTGTACCGCGGACTCTGGGTGTCAGCAATTCATGCAGGATATGGGTTACCACATTATTTACTTCAAGCTCGATACCGATGACTATCAGCAAAACCCTAAGGGCACCTTCCAAAACTCGCTTGACTGGTTTAAGGGCAACATGACTGCGCCAGGCATGTCACCTGAGAAGAACTCAACGATTTCTATCGCGCACGACATTATTGGCGCAACTGCTAACGAGCTTACTGAGCTCATGCTTAAGACTATCACTGAGCTAGGCTATAAGGGTGTGACTGTGGGCGAGTGTCTTGGCGACCCGAAGGACAACTGGTATCGTCAATTCGGCGACTCTGCCGACCGGGTTGGCGCGAGCTCCAGTTCAACATCGGCAAGCTCGAATTCAGGTTTACCCTCTTCGCAGGTCTGGACGTCTTCTACATATACCCTACATCGTGCTAACTCCTGCATAGACTGCTTCATCTTCAAGCACCAGCGGAACATCCAGCGCCTCTTCTCCTTCCGGGTCGACTTCAAGTTCGCCTTCGGGCTCCAGCACCGCTCCCCCTGTTACTCCTCCAGAGCAGACCGCAAGTGCCGCTACTTCCTTCACACAAATATCTTGCCTTGCTATCTTAGTGTTTACAGTTGCACTTTCTATCCTTGTCTTGTAGAATAGATACTACGTCCAAGATAAGATGGTTGAATTTGTGAGCGTGTATTAGCAGTCCAACACCTTATCGTGTAATTCGTAGGGCTGATAACTAGTCTCAACATAGGTTCTGTGTTCCCTCATCCAAGCTCTAGCCTACTTAGCCAGCAAACTAAAAGATGTTTTACCTCGCAGTGATTCAAGGCAGGCAAGAATAATACTCGACATAAGTGTCCTGTAGGCACCTGCGTTGGTGACGAGCGAGTGTGGCTTCACGTGGCTCCACGCGAGCAGCAGCCGCGCCATCCACAGCCGCCCGCTGGACGTGCGGAGGCTGGTGCGCGCAGACGTCGCGCGTATCGGCCAAGACGAGGCCGCTGTGGTCCGAGTGGCGGGACGCGATAGTGGACGCGGTGTTGCAGGCGTGCACGCCGCCAGCGACGCATGGCGAGGCCATGCAAAGGCTGGCGCGGCTGCAGCAGAGCGATGACGGGCGGTCGACGCAGGCTGCCCTACATGAATTAACTTCGCTGCTCAAACATCATTCTTACCCATACACGACCACTCTTCTCATTTTTGGCAGCATCTTTGCAACCCCAAATGGCCACAATCAAGTTTTAAGGCACCCACCCCCCCAAAGGTTACTTTTGGGCATGGTACCTTCCTCAGCTTCCACAGGCCATCGCTGAGATGGAATGCACCGCTGCTTTGGTCTTGTGCACTCCAGAGCAAGTCGATCTTGGTACGAAGGTGCACACTTTGACGCAGGGAAAGTCTGACAATGCACACTACCACGCATATTACGGAAGAGGCCATGGAACTGGTCTTGGAGAAGAACGGCGATGGTATCCCGTCTGTAGAAGGTGGTAGTACAACTGGGCTTGGGAAAGCTATCAGCTTTCGCACTGAACTGCCTCACCTGTGCGTTCCCACGACATACACTGGCAGCGAGATGACACCCATCCTTCCAGAGACCGAGAACGGCGTCAAGACTACCAGAAGGGACCCCAATATTTTGCCTACTGCAGTCTTACACGATGTGAATCTCACGATGACTCTAATCCCTCGCATGGGCACCCATAGTGGCATTAATGCCATTGCACACGGAAGCCCTCTATGCGAGCAACACCACCCCAAGTCTCAACTTGATGGCTGCGGAAGAAATTCCCGCCATGAGTGAAGGGCTTTCGGCAATTCAGCAGAACTCTTAAAAAGAGAAAGACGGATACAAAGCGCTTTACGTGGCGTGGCGCTGCGGGATCTGTCTTGGCGCTGTCGACATTGCCCTTCACCATAATCTCTGTCATACTGCTGGCAGCACTTTTAATCTCCCCCATGCGGAGACTCACGTGGCCATACTGCCCAATGCTCTTGCATATAATGCATCAGCTGCGCCAGAGGCAATGAAGACAATGGCACCTGCTTTCCCGGAGAGTGAAGGCGATGCTGTAAGGGGCATCAACGCTCTCTATCGCCGACTTGGCGTCGAGGTATCTCTTAAGACTCTGGGAATGCCTGAAGCTGGGATTGAAAAGGCGGCAGTAATTGTAGCTAAGAACTCCGACAAGAATCCGGCGACCTTGGAGAGTGAATCCATTCGCGAGATCATCAGGAGAGCTTGGGCAGGAGAAGCAACGTCTTAGATTCCTCTGTGCAGGCGTCTATGTTACAATACTTTTTTCAAAAGTCAGGGTTTCTCATTGAATACAGCTGCTTGACAGTGCTATTTGTTTCCGGGCACTCAAACCTTTCCTCGTGATTCCAAGCTCGCCAAGAATGCAATAGCCTTCTGAATGCGGAGCTCGGCCGCTTCTGCATAGATCTCATGACCGGCAGACCTGATCATCTCCAGTCTGGCATTCGGCACTTTGGCAGCAACTTCCTCCATCAACCCAACCGTCATCATAGCACTGCCCGTGGGGCATAGAATCAGCATAGGACACCGGATCTTCTCCAGATACTTCCGAGAATGCAATATACCCAATAACCTGACGTCACCAGCAAGACCTGCTCCATCACTGATGGCCACCTTCTCTTCACACCAGCTGAGATATGCGGGGTGCGGAGGTGGGGTAGAAGCGTCTTTCACATCTTTTCGTAACCCTACCCCCAAGAGGATCGTTAAAGCAGCATTCGATGATCTTTCCTTAGGCTTTCGCCAATATTGGCCACTGAATTGTTTTTGATCTGATCATTGATCAGAAGAACTTGATCAGTGCACAATATGCGCAACGACGAATTGGCGACAAGTCTGCAAGCAAGATCACCCTTTGACGCACGAATTCTTGGCAGTGATTAGGACATGTACGGTTGCATTAGTTGCTGATACGAACGGCTCAATGGCTTCCGCAGGAGTGATATACCGACTACTTTCTACCAAGTAGTATGTCTTGATCATCTCGAACGTCGCGACAAAGTTGCTTTCCCATCCAAAGTAGGCCGGAGGGTTAACAGGCGCTAGGCCGAAGGGCTAATAGGCGCTAGTCTTAAGGGCTAACGGGCTTAGGGCTTCAGGCAGCTCATCCTGATTAGCGCACAGGTTCGCTCGGCCAGGAGAAGAGGATATTGCGACGGAGACATTGCTTTGCTGCGTTGCGGTTCTGAATTGACGCTAATGGCATGTGTCGTCGGGCGTGGACGTGAACTCGGTGAGTACTTGTGAGCAGTGGGCGCGCGAAAGACGAGCGATTATGCACTAGACATGGCTTTGCCACTGTGCTGCGAAGATGTTGGGCGCCTGATGTACATAGGATGCTTCGCTCTTCTGGTAAGCTAACGGGCGCATGCCAACTAAACCCGCCAGAATGGCACCACACTACTGATAGTGTGTACCCTGATCGTCGAGCTTAGGGCTTGCGCTTGCGCTTCGTTCTGTTCGCCGGTCTGTGCGAAACACTCAGCGACTGAGAAGCCGATATCGAGCCTTCTGGCCTTGTTACTACCCATATTCAGCAGTTTGATCGTCAGGCTTGCACGCTCAGCACCGGCGTGCGCCTTAAAACATCTACTGACAGATGATGTCAGTACATTTCGTGCCGAGGTTCACGGTAGACAAGTCGGTTTTCTACCCTTAGCGTTACATCAGCCTCAGCTGATTACGCGAGAGGCTAAGCGTAGATTGGCCAATTACTGTCCCGGTAGTGCAGCACAGCTGAATGTAGCAAGAGTTTTAAGGGTTTGTGGTTGTCTAGATCTAGCACCGTCCCTAGGCATCTCTACGGTAGGCTAATAACATCATCTAGCTCGTTCGCCTTAACAAATGCCAACTTTGCCTAAAACTGTACTAGCTGCCCCAGCTGCACCCCACATCTACTGGACCATGTGCTCGGTACCAACGGCAGCAAACAGAGCCCGCGCAAACCACAGCTGTTGTTTTCTGGTCCCTGTGGCCCAGCTCGCGTTGTATCCCCATTTAGATTCCAGCGGTCAATACGCTACAGAAGCACGATGGAAGCTTCGAAAACCTAGACCTCCAACCTATGATTTGCACGCCTGGCGGCACCAAGTGGCCCGGAACGTCAGCGGCTTTTCTTGGTTCAAATTCTTGACAACAGTTAAGACTGCAGCGAATTTCCGTGTTCTGTACATCAGATTGACAGCCGCCTGCCACTTGCTCACTCTTTTGTTTTCCCGATTTACACAATCACAGACCATTCGCTTGCTCTATACCGCCATGCGCGTTCTTCTCGCCTCCGCTGCTCTCGCAGCCTCATGCAACGCACTTTCTCTCCCCTTCTCTGTGCGGGCTGATCCTGCACTCACCCCGCTTCCGCTTAACGCCTTCGACACACCAAAGTTCGCACGCCTACTCACGCTTGATCAAGCACAATCAGGTGCAAACGCGACGGTCACGACCATCAAGCCCCAGGATCTCCAAGCAGCCAAAGATCAACAGCCTAAGCTTGTTATTCCTGTCAACGTGACCTTGCCAAATACTCCACGAAGTCTAGAGGAAGAGCTTGTTGATTATGAAAAGAGGCAGAGTGTCTGCTCTAACGTCCGGACTCGTGTGGAGTGGGATGCCGCTACCAGCGCTCAGCGACAGGGATATATTAATGCGATTAAGTGCTTAATGACTAAGCCTGCGTCAGGCCAGTTCCCTACCTCTAGGAACAAGTACGACGATCTAGTTGGTCTCCATCAGGTTTTAACCCCCCAAGTGCATGGGAATGCCAAGTTCCTGCTCTTCCACAGATACTATACCTGGACGTTTGAGTCCCTCCTGCGTGAATGCGGCTTGACTGGACCCCTACTATGGTTTGACGAGACACGCTACGCTGGAAACTTTCCTGCTTCGTCTATTTTCAGTGCTCAGTGGTTTGGAAGTGTTAATGTTGGTGGCAATTGTGTAACAAACGGAGTAAGTGCCTGCTCTTCCCTAGCTCTTCTACATTCTGGCAAGAATGCACTTGCTAATTAATGACTAGCAATTCGCAAATACGCCTCTTGTTTATGGACCAGGAAACACTAACCGGCTCCACTGCCTTTCTCGTAACAACAACAATGCACAGACGAGAAATACAGGAGCCTCTATGGTTAATGCCTGCAACAGCCGCTCCAGCTATGCTAGTATGGCGTCTTGGTAAATTACTTGTCATGTCTGCAATGTTGGCCATCCATCTAACACAATAACAGTGCCGAAGGTGGTGCCCATGCATGGGGCCATAACGGAATCGGATCTGTGATGTCCGATGTATATGCATCCCCTTCTGACCCTGTGTTCTTCTTAGTAAGTTAGATGCCATCTTGCACGAAGTACAAAGATATATATCTGACCTTCTCTAGCACCACGCTTTTATTGACCGCAACTTCCGTACATGGCAAAACAACGGAGGCACTTTGCGTACCTCAACCATCACCGGAACGGACGCCTCCGGCCAACGCTTGTCGCTCGACTCCCCGATCACCGTTAACGGTATTCGTCCTGACGTTACTATCAGGCAGGTCTTGGATACAAGGGGCACCCTGTTGTGTTACACATATGATTATTAGTTACTTCAGGGTCGTATTACAGTAAACCAAACAAATGCATTCTTGTGTGTACTGTCCTGCTACTCCTCCGTCTTGGTGTTGGCCCCTGCAAGGATCTTCAGATCGAACATTTCCCCGCAGCTGCACGAGCGATGAGAGATGGAGTATAGCTGGAGCTGTGCGGCGAACGCTTGATGGCGGCGCGCAAACATCGCATCGTAGAAATATCGCGACTAGATTATGGCTATGGTGTGAGGATGATTGGCAGAGTTAGGAAGTTGCAAAATTAAGTTGAGCAGGCACAACACGCACTCATGTTCTTGAGCACAGTCGGAGTCTACCTAACAGACAACTCAGATGCACAGGTAGCTAGCTGTGGATGTGAAATAGACCTCTGGTGCGACAAGAGCCATGACTTATCTGAGTGGCAAAGATCTTTGAGGCGTAGTGCTGGACGGCGATACGTAATAATGTTGCAAGTTCAATCCTTCGAATTTGTGAACTAGTGTTGGAGGAGCGGGCATGTAGGCGAAGTGCCAGCATGTGGAGCAGATCCTTAAATAATGCTGTTGCAGGCTCGCTCGCATGACTAAGAGGGGCGGACACGACTAGGTAAAACGGCTGCCGGTATTTGATAGGGAATAAGGAATGAGCGTAGTAGCCGCAGGCCTCAGCCACAGCGTGAAGTGTAGCCCGCAGGACACGCTGCCGCCAAATGTGCCTTTAGACGCACGGCCGGTTAAACGTTTTTCGACGATTTTGCCGCCAACGCAAAGAAATTGCCGAGTTGCGCAGTGCACACCTTATATTGATTTTCAGAGTCTGTAGTTGCTGCCTGAGCTTCCCTTCTAGCCCAGTAAGCATTCCACAGATGTGTGCCACTGCGAACAAACAGACGGATGACAGATATCATAGTCAACGACACGCTGCTCGACGTCAGAGGCTGATGTGTTAGACAAGTGGAGGAGATTTTTGGATAGATGCCAAGGTAAGGACAGAATGTTACGGACACGTCTGATTGTATATACTAGTCCACCCCGGACCGTGCAGCATTGAGTAAGCCCTGGGGAGTAGATACGAGATCCCAATCCGCGTATAGCACTGGCAGTCATCGTCGTTTCCCCCATCTTTCGCAGAGACTAGATACACCCATGCGCTTCCGTAGATGTCATACATCTCTGGTGGTGGACCATCCTTTAGCACATCGTCAAGACTCTGCTTGGTGACCATGATGCAGGCGTGATGGCGAGAGGTTGCATGTTTGGCTTCAACCCCCGATGCGATCCATTCCTGGAACTTTCTGTAACGTCTCCAGTCAGCATGATTTCCTAAATACGGGTGGCAGGTTTTTGTGCTTACTCGCGCACAGTCTCGAAGCTTCCTCCGTTAAGCAAAGCTGGATCCTGCTGTACGTTCCAGCTCAGCCTGTCTGCTACGTCACTGAGCTCCTCTTCTTCCAGCTGGGTGCGCACTGAAATCGTAAGATACGTCATGAACTTTTCCCAATCTGAGTCCGACTCGTATGTACATCGATACACAATGAAGCCGAGTTTCGAGTCGGGGTAGCGTTGGAGCGTTTTGCGGATCTCAGCATACGCGGGACAGCTCATTTCGATCAAAAGGTGCAACGGGGTATGAAGGGCCAAGTTGAGGGTTGAGTGTTGAGAGGACGTGAGCGCGGCGCGTGCTCCTGGGGACTCGAAGATCCGTGATGCCTTACTTCATTTGGTCTAGTACGACTATACGGACTCCGAACTGTCTCGTCTCGCTGTCTCCTTCAAAACACGAGTCCGACTCGACGGATTTATGTCCAATGGGAGTCCGCATCATGGACCAACTTAAAGATTCTGCATCCACGCCGCACGCACTGTTCAAGCTCAAGGTCAACTGTTCGCTGCGCCTTGGATCGAGGTCTTCTTGACTGAGGAATACTACATCTCAACGACTGTTAGACTCCGACGCAGTGTCCGGTCGTGATACTGCTCTGAGGAGACTTCCTATCTGCAAGACTAGTGTACTGATCAGTAGATAGCATCCATTCTCTTCAACAATATCTCAAAAGTCTCCTTTTGGCGCTCTTTACTCTTGCATATCACTCTCGCGATGCAACTCCTCTCATTTAGTGTGCTGCTCCTCAACCTGCACCTGTCACAACTTCTTACAGCACTCACCATACCAAGAATCGAATATGATACGTCAGTTCGGTCTTCATCGTTGATAGGGGGTGCCGGCGAATGGCTCCATCAACGTTCACCAACCAAACCGGCTGTTCCAAAACCGAAGATATCGCAAAACGTGGCACCAGTTCAGCCGAAAAAGCCAGGGAAACCGCAGAATCCGGCTCCAGCTAAGCCATCGGCGACTCCCAGCCCCACCAAGTCTGTCATTGCCTCGAATGTTCCGAGTGCCACTGTTCCAAACCTGAATGTTGTCCGCCCTACTAGACCTATAGATACCTGCATGCTACCAAACTTTGTCTGTGAGGATGACTACGACAATATTGGTGGTCTTGAGAATGGATCCAACCTCGCTACGAGAGGCCTGGAGAAGCGTGGAAACACCAGGCGTTTCGATGCAGACATTGGCTGGCAATACGGTGTGTTGGCACTGGCAGCTACATAGAAGTATCTGAATTTTCTGACGGACAATTGTCATATAAATAGGTGGCCCTTATATTCCACTCGCTCGGCTACCCATCCAGCTCGGAACTATTCAAGACACGCCGCGGTACAGTACTACCGAAGACAGTGTTTGATTTCAACGACAGGACAGACCTCAAAGATTTCTCAGTCAAGGATTTGAACAAGGTCCCTACAGACTATACCACATATGTAACCGAGCACATTGTTGAGGTCGGTAGTCCCCTCCTCTACGGTCTGCCATCCTCTAAGTCAATACAGTTGCAAACCGTACAGATGTTCCTCTTAGCAATCACAGGTCGTGGTCAAGTCTCACTTTCTGAGACTGCAGATGGTGTCTTCTTTCAGGACTACTGGACCAAGGAATATACTGTAACTCAGGTATCGACGCGAACAAACAAGCCTCCGATGGAGATGGGAAAGCGTAAAACGCTCAACGATCTCGTCTTTGAGGCTCTCGGTCCCAGTTTCAACCGCAAGGACTTTGTGCTCTGCGACAAGGAAATAAACTCCTATAAAGAACGAATATGGTCGAAGAATAATCCAATGGACAGGGCAAAAGTAAAGATCTACCTTGAAGATGCCGTGTCAGGTGCACTTCCATCGACATACTTCCTGAGCGTCTTGAGAACGGTATTGCAGCATCATGTCGAGACGGTGGAACAGAGTTGACTGACCACTAACAGACGCTTGCGACATTAAAATATCTCGAGCATCCTACTGTATCCCACCGTCTGCAAAATGACGTCAAGCACGTCCAAATCGAACTTAGCAACATCAAGCAGCTCACCGGGAAAGACGTCACATCCACAACTGGCCAGGTACTGGACGTGCCGAGCTTGTGGGCGGAATTCATGAACAAGCATTTAGCTGCGATGGAGAAACACAGTAAAGACTGGTTGAACGATCGCATCGAGGAAGCAGACCGGCTGTACGATACTCACATGACTTCCCTTAAGAAGCTACTCGCACAGCTTCAGCAAGACGAGAAGAAGACCGGCGCAGCAAAGACCAAATACGACTCAGACCGCAAGGATAAGAATCAGAAGCTCAAAGTCGAACTGAAGCAAAAGGACACGGCAGTGGCGAAAGCCGTCAAAGACGAAGCTGCTGCGCGCAAGGTTGTGATAGACATCGAAGTCAAGATTGATGCAGAGCCTAAGCAGGCGCAGAAGAAAGTCATAAGGACCAAGGAAGATTTGGAAGGAAAGAAGAAACTGCTTGAAGGTGCTGAGAGGGTGCACCTTGAAGCTTTAAGGGCTAGGAACCTAATGGAACGGAAAATACACGTCTTGTGGCCGCAGACTGTGCAGGCATTGGTGGTAAATGTCAAAGCGGATCAAGATCAACTCGCAGCTTATAAGCTTGGTGTAGCAAAGGTCAAGATGCCGAAAGCGACTTGACATATGGATGCTGAAGTTTCAAGACTGATACGCTTGAGGCGGCTCCTTTAAACTTTCGATATCAACATGCGCATCTGAATTACGTGTCATGAAAGTCTCACTCCGCCAGTTGCTGTTCGCGGCCTATCGAAGCAAATCGGCCTGCAGAATGACACTCCCGCGCAACTGACACCTCGCGCAGAAGGATGGTTCTCGATCACCAGACATTGCGCCTAGTGTTCGTCCCCTCGAAGCCCTGCCTTCAAGCGCTCACTATCTGCCTTTAAGAGCATAAGACAAAGGAGTCATGCACCCAAATATACTCCAAAGCTTTGTCGAGACTTCCCAGCGCTGCCGTGAGCAGAAGCTCTCGCCACATGCGCAAGCCGCAGGCGATTGTTGACGAGCGGTGAGCCGCGTCGACAGAAAATGAGATAACAGACTGGGGATGACGGAGGAGCACATCAATTTCCGGGGCGAACGCTATCTGGTTGGGACCAGGGGCCTGACACTGAAATAACACGATCGGAAGATGACATGGCTAACTGGTTTATGTACCTCATCAGGGTGCCACCAGCGAATTTTGGGTACAGGTGCAATGTTGTACACAATACCGATACACAATTCCCCTTCCTTACTGCGCAACGGAATGCCGACATGTTACCTCAGGATAGACGACGGTCATGATCGTGACTCTGAGTCTTTGAAGTTGAGAGCTTCTTTGACGTATCATGATTCTTTAACGGCAGCACCTTGCCGCGATGTTGTCAAGAACAACAAACCATAATGTCAGTTCAGACTGTCACAATAAGGTATCTGAGTCACTGATTTTAAACCAGACAAACCGGTCTGTAGGCCCCGGTTCAAGTCCATCATGTGCAAGGGTAGCAGGATGCAGCGGTCCACCAATGATACGCCGAGTAGCTCCGGTCCAACGCCGCACGTGCACGGATGCACAAAGTGGGGAAACGAGTCTGAGCGTCTCTCACCTGCGACTTCTTTTAATAATTTACATAGTCAAAAATATGTATAGGAATAACCATGTAAATTGTTGCACTAGTAATTGGCATATTCTTTGATTGATGTGATCAGCGGCGGCTGCGATCACGTGCAGGGGTGTTGTGGCGGCAGGCGCAGCTAGCGTGAAATGCAGCGTGCATGGATTCAGGGTCTATCAACAACACGAACTTAACAAAACACCAGACGACGTCCAACGCCTCCCACAAATCAATCCATGGCATTGCCCCAGAAATTCCTGCCATTGTGAATTGATCACTCCAAGCCTCTCTATCGTCGCAGTCTATGATCTTGACATCTTCCCTGTCCATCTTCCCCGCTATTACCCCACCCCTGCTCGCCGCCGTAACAACAAACGACCTTCACTAGCTGCAGCCCTGTTATGCGCAAAACCGCATCTCTCACCTGCGACCACTACGACGCCCCACAATGGCAGCTGCTCGCCCTCAGCGTCGACGTGCTCGCCCTTCCCCTGCCATCAACCTCAACCGCAACAAGGCTGCCATTTACGCTCACAAGGCCAACAACAAGGCGAGGAGAGTGCCAGCGAAACGGAGGCCCTCCAAAGGTGAGCTGACACTTGGATGGCTACAATCCAGGCTGGTACTGATGCCTCGCTCAGGCCTGAATAAGAGCACACTGCAGACGACACAAGAAAACGGCCACTTGCTCAGTCCCTGCAACCAAGAGCCGCCCGAGCTCCATCTCCCACCTCCCTTTCACTCACTCACCGAGAGCAACCTCCGCGCGCACACCCAGCAGACGAATCCTGGCGAGCAGCCTCTTGCCGTTATGGCACCTACCGACGGCACTCAGAGCGAAGCCACTGCCAGGCTGACGATAGCCGACGAGGAAAGGCAGTTTCTGCGGTATGGAGTCATCTTAGACTCTAAGGAGCCTCTTCCCAACGAGTTCAAGAGCTTCCTTCGCCATGTAGTAAGAGCTCCAAGAGGAGGACCCGGCTCGCCTGCAGCCAAGATCCTGCATGCAGTCGCACCAGCAACTCAGATCATGAACGAGTTTGAAGCCATAGAGCATCTTGCACCGCATCTGGGCTTCCTGAGTGCGCACACAAAAGGCGGCGCCAAGTACAACCACATGGTACCTGAGGTTGAGTTCAACCAGGCCTACATTTCGCACCGCGACGATCCCACATTCAAACTCAAGAAACCAAGGGCAGACAAGGCGCTTGGATACATGAGGCGCGAGTTCATCCGTGCGCAACCAAAGCGCATAAGTGACAAGCTGCAGCCAGCCTTTACTGCCGAGGAAGAGTCCAAACTTCTTGACGACCCAGCCGTTCCACCCATCAGTCGCTACATTCTCTGCCCTTGGTACACAATGGAATTCAAGTCCTCTGAGGCCTATGCAGGTCTTAAGCAGGCCAAACTTCAGGTTGCACGTAACGGTGCGGCCGCCTGTGAGCACATGTACCAGCTTTATAGGCGTGCTGGCGTCGAACCAACAGCAGTAGACACCATGCACTGGTCCTTGACATGTAACACAAACACCGTTGAGCTCTTTTACATTTGGCGTCAGCAAATCGATAACGAGCCTGTGCGGTATCACCTGCGACGCGAATGGTCAACTCTGCTTCAGGCCCCCAACAATCTTGATGATGACGACAAGGACGAAGATGAGCACGGCGTTGAGAACGCTATGGTCGCCGATTTAAGGAACCGTTTGCGCAATCTACTTGATCACGCCAGCAGCGCGCGCCTGACACGTATCAAGACGGATGTTCTCGCTAGCATTCCAATTTCACGCCCGGGAGGCAAGTCGCCACGGAGAAGGCCCTCACCCACCAAACAGCTTGATGAGGCTATTGGGTCCAGCGTTCCCTCCACCCTGTTCGCGAACAAGCCCAATCTTGGCCCACTGATACCACAAGGCAGCACAGCCTCAAGCCGTCCTACGCAATTGCTTCAAAAGCTTCAGGGCGCTCGGTCGACGTCCACCTACAGCAACTCTCGTCCCGCCATCTCCAAGCCTCCCAGCAGCAGTCCCCAAAACCAGGGAAGGCCTACCGCGCAAGTCCAGCAGCAGCAGTCTCACGCCGTCAAACCTCGTGCGCCAGGGTCTCAAACGTCGCCTTCTCCCTCAGTACGCTCCCCTAGACCTCAATGGCTTGTGGGCGGAGGACCCGGAACTCGCTCTCAGCAGCCTCAGGCACCACTAGCCTCCAACTCGGCAACCCTCTCAGCGCCTGTGCCGAGCCGTCGCAGTGGGCGCGTGACTAACGCCCCTGAACGTTATGGTTACTAGTGTCTGGCCTTGAGTGTAGGGTGGTAACGTTGAGAGTGAGCTGCGCGCTTGGAATGCTCGCTGCAAAGTCTGCATCTCTAGCGTATCATACATTAACATGATGTTTCCTTTTGTCTTTCACCGGAGTTACGGCGTTTTCACGAAGATACCCAGGCTCTTACACCCCAGGAAGACTTAGAGCGCTTCATATAGTAATTGACATTTCTTTTCTAATCCCGTTACTTTCTCTCTTATTTCTCTTCTTTTCAGACTTTTTCTTACTGATTACTGACGCTTGTTCCCACAGCGAAAGCCATCGCTGCTCCATCTAGCGATCGACTGCCATGTCGTATGCGACTCTGACGGTGTTTGCAGAGCGACTGCGCGATGCGATGCCTCGTCGGAGCTTTGGGGGCGCTGTGGTCTGCTGGAATCGTGTGCACGTGAGGCCATCAACTTGCGCCTACAATCGCATTGAAAGGGTCATTATGGTTCGGAGCAATCCGTTTTGTGATATTCCAGAAAGCTACAGCATTTCCCAGGCAATAAAAGGCAGCTGCTAGGACAGCTAAGTCATCGATTGGAACCGGATCTGGTTGAAGCCAGCTTTCGCTAGCGAATTGCAGAACTCGCGTGGGGCTGTGTAGAGACAGATGCAGTAAGACGCCAAGCATGCACTGACGTGGCAAGCTTGTGATCACACATACGTCACTCTGCATCCTTCGAGATATTTGTGTATTTCCGTGATTCTTTTTCCACAACACACTGCTACCTATTGCATGTTGTTTATAAGCTTACGAGTAAAGACTTGAACATCAACCTGGATGGCGACAATTACCTGCGATGCCTGTCACCAGGCTTTGAGTAGCCCGGATGAGCTGGGAAGTTATTATTGGAAGCGAGAATGCCAGGACATCAGGGACTCTGCGCAGTCAGGTTGTGCCATGTGCGCATTCCTAGTCTCGGACCTGTATCTTGTCGACGGCAGCACGGCAAGCATATTCATGACCGAAGCACACATGTGGATCGACCCTGAAAATGACCCTATGGGCCTGATGTTAGGCATGAATAAGACGGCTCTGCGATATCTCTTGCGAGAGGTAGATGAAGGCACGTGCGCGAGTCCAACACTTCATGACCTCTACTGACTACCAACAAGAGATTCAAGATGTTTTAGGAAAGCATGATCAGCCTACTGGAAAAACCGACTCAGCCGAGAGCTTTGAAATGTCTCGGACTTGGCTAAGAACTTGCATACACGAGCACAAGAATTGTGGACCTGCACAAGTTGAATTCCGCCCGACTCGATTGTTGCAGCTCAATGGTGCAGGAAGATCCGTCAGACTGTGCGAAGGTGCGGAAATCCCCGAGAGTGTTCAATACGTCACTCTGAGTCATTGCTGGGGGGGTGATGTGCCCGGAAAATTGACAAAGCAGAATATCAACAGTCTGCGGTCAGGAATTTCGCTTGAATCGTTGGGCCAAACCTTCCAAGATGCAGTCCAAATTGCTCTTGAGCTTTGCGTGGAGTTCCTCTGGATCGACAGTTTCTGCATTATACAGGACTCATACGGGGACTGGCAATCTGAATCTGTCAAAATGGCTCATGTGTACGGCAACTCTACCTGTAACATAGCTGCAACTTCAGCGGCGAACGACTCCGAAGGCTGCTTTAGAATGCATAACCCAGGCGCCTTACAGGCGATCAGGGTTGGTGTACCCAACAAACGGAATGATCAAGTTCATCGAATGTGCGTGACCAATGTTCAGCATTGGATGGAACGCTTCCGGAAAGAACCACTGATGCAGAGAGCATGGGTGTTACAAGAAAGGCTTCTCTCACCACGCAACCTTCATTATGACCGAGATCAGCTTATCTGGGAATGCAATGAGCTCCTAGCTACTGAAACATTTCCTCGTGGCTTTGGCAGTTTGCTTTCAGCCCGGAAAAGGCCTCTGCGAGTGCCTCTCAATTCCACGTTACGAAATGCGCAGGAAGAAGAGATATCCGGACAAGCACTCCACGAGATATGGCGCCCTATCGTCAACACTTATGCCTCCACCGACATAACGAAGCCCACCGACCGACTGGTTGCTCTACATGGAGTTGGGATGCGCATCGAGCATATTTGTGGCTGGTCTTATGTGGCTGGCATGTTTCTCAAGAATCTGCAGAGTCAACTATGTTGGGCGGCGAACGGACATCACGACGCTCAGCGTCCAGAGAAAGTCATTGTACCATCGTGGTCGTGGCTTTCCGTGGGTCAGCCCGTGGACATGATGCCACAATGGGATCTAGTGGAGAGCGACGCGACTGGTGAGGGTCCTAAGGCTAAGGACCTTCAGGAAGAGCACCTATGTCAGATCAGAGATATAGAACAAGGGACATCTTCTGAAGAAGTGTCAGGTCATGTCAGCTACGCAAAACTTCATGTTAGCTGCTACTTGGTCCCAGCTGAATTCTGGAACCCGGAGGACGTCGAGCGAGAACGCCTGAATGAGCATGCATCGTTGCTTGAAGAGCACCAGATTATGAACGAGCACCGCTTCAAAACAAGGCCTATCTGGACAGATTTCAAGTTTATGGCAAGCAACAAGCGCGTTCAGGAACGCCGTCTTCGCTATAGTCATACGTTGGCCTACGGGTCTGTCAAAATTTCGTGGGATTTGTGGAATGAACTTGATCCAACTGCAATTCATGATTTATGGCTCATGCCAGTCTACAAAGTGCGAGAATACTCGGATTGGAGCATAGGAGGAGGATATAGGAAGGCTCCAGTACTACATGGTCTGATCCTACGAGCCAACACGATTGAAAGCGGTACTCGTACGTTTAGTCGCTGTGGTACTTTCGTCATCGATGAGGGCTGGCAAGAGTTCTGGGCACAGGCCCTCAGTTTCCCACACATTGCTGCAGTCAACATTGTTCGCGAAGACGGGATACCCGTTCCTTACCATCCCACAGAGAAGCTACCTCGAGGGAGTAATCGTAGAGGTTTCGTCAAGCGCGACGGTATCTTGCAATACCAAGTTACAATTAGGTAAATCTTAAGCACTTAATACAACTACTACATTGCAAAATCATATCGATCGTATCAACCTTGAATCTTGACTGCAGTAGTGCGGGTCGCTGGCCATGTGCAAGGAAAAGAAGTCAAGGATGAAATTGTCGTGACTTAGTGCATCTAGGTCAGTGCCTACTAACACTACATTTGCACACTCTGTGACACAAATGTCAAGCCAGAGAGTCGCAGAACACGGTATCCCACACTCTGTCATAGGCTTTCAGCTTGAAATCAAGCACTCAGACCGCGCTGATGACCGACGAGGTTGGAAGATAATGAGTGACATTATCCAGAGCTCCTGTGGCAGTCAAGCTGCGGCAGATTGACTACTCACCAACAGTCAGCCAGGCCGAACTCTTCTCCTGGAGGTAGAAGCGATTACCAGTTACCTTAGTCTTCGCTGTGTGGACAGATCAATGTCTTGCCTCTGCTGCACCGTTGAATCTGTGGCATTAGGCTGTCGCTTCAAGCTGTTCTTAGTCATTTTAGCTTCGATCAAAGTTGTCAGACAACTGTAATTAACGTCAACGTAGTCTTTCTTTAGGACACACTAACGCCTATCTAAGCACAAGAGTCTATAAGCAGCTTACGTAGTACTAGAATTGTAGTTATAGTGAGCAATAACATAATAGGTAGCGTCTAAAGGCAAGATAATCTTTTGTATATATCTATCTAACGTAGCTTTGTATATAAAACTACTAACTATAAGGAAAAGGCAGCGTCTGCTTACTTATAAGTTCGTTGCGTACAGTGTCTATTGTACTTACATAATATTTAACTCTGTTTGACCTGTTCTATAGAGATTATTCATTTGCCTTTAGAACAACTAATAGCTATTACTATTGTGTTATTATTGCAAAGGTTGCCTTGGACGTTAGTAGTGCAGATTCTATCATCCTCATGCTAATTAACAGATTGTTACTGGTTTAAGCATACTCAATAACTGCCTAGCCGTTGTTATCCCAGCACAATGGTTAGTGAAGATGGGCTACTGAACACAGTTTTCATCCACATATAGTTTCCGGCTATCCACCCCAACGCGTTACCTTAACGCTACACTGCCAAGATGGATCCTGACGCGCTTGCGATAGAATCTGCGACTGCTGATTTCAATTGTGGTATTTTTAAAACCCGTCGGGCTGCTGCAAATTTCTACGGTCTGCTAAGATTGGCGCTGCAAGTCCGCGCTGCAGGTTACGAAACCGAAATACTAGAGAACCTGAAAAACCGTGAGGTCTTGCAAGTCTATCTAGGCTGTTGAAAGCGTCTGACATAAAATAGAATTTCACAACACCTAACTTTCTATGCATTGTACAAGTGCAGTGCAAAGGTCACTGGAAAGCTCAAGAAACGGTTGTAAAGAAGCTTTGTCTTGTACACAACAGACATGGCTTTTGGCCTACTACCCTATTCCTTGCCGTGAATATATTTGATTGATGCTCGTCACTGCGCGAGCTCAGGAGAGACTGCTACCTAGCAATAGGATGCGTTTCTCTGTAGTTGGCCGCAAAGTACAGAGACGCAAACGAGGATATGCCATGTCTGGAAGACTTTATTATAACCACTGGCCGACCTGAAAGCCCGCAGAGATTCAAAGCTATAGAGCTCAAACTTTTAGATCTGCTCGACTGGAAGGTAGATCATCCTGACATTTGTTTATTTCTAGAGTCCATAATCCCAGACACAGAAGACAACAAATTGCTTTTGCACATCAGCATGTACATAGCAGAGATCTCTCTGTTCTACCCTAACTTTATAGATTTCAAACCATCTGTTCTGTGAAGTATCGCAAGGTCTTTGGCTTATGACCAACTAGACTTCCCCTGGTTAGACAGTCTGACGGCTGACAGCTCCGAAGGTAAGCTATGCAGTCTCTTCCTCCTCTATCTTCGGACGCCGCCACAAATTCTAATTGATAAATACAAACATGATCGTTGCTTGGACGTAGGTGCAGTGCAAAAGTTCGGTTGGGGGGACAGCAAGATCGAAGTGATAGAATCCAACAAGGATGCGGTCCAGATTGGTATGGTTGACCGCGGTACCGTTCTGTCTAGCCTTCTCTTGCGTGGCTTTGAGGCTTGGGTGCTGTTCTCTGTCGACGGTCCAGTGTTTGAGATACCGGGCTGAGTTGTCGATATCGAGCGCCTTGCCAAATGAGATGTTGGCGGCCAACATGGCAGCGCCATTGTGTGGCTCGAGCATTGCGAAGATGGCCATAGTTTGGGCGTCCCACAGGAGACTAATAGTCAGTACCGTTCGGGAAACAAGGCAGAAATGGCGAAACCGCTGTATCAACATCTGTCAGCAGCGTGATGTCAAGCTTTGAAGTGCAATTACCTGTGGCGGCGGCGGACTTGACTGACGCGCAAGCTCAGTTGATTGCGCGGTTGTGTTCCAGAAACAAGTCAAGTCGTGCGTTCGCAACTTTTAGTGGCGCCTGCGCGAGGGGAGTGAAAGTTGGACGCGCTAACCAGTCTTGGAACAAGCATGTTTGCAACTCAACCGGCTGGCTTGCAAACCTGGGAATATCTCAAATCAACACAAACATGCACTCCCCACCACCACGAGAAAGCCCGGAAGCTGAACTGCTCGATGTTGACGACTTCTTTGACCTGCAGCGGGAAGAGACCTACCATGCTCAAAAGCGCCGTGGCTGCAAATTTGGAACGGAAGACGGCTCGCGTCAACACAGCGGCGCAATCTGGCCGACGATCCCAGCCACTGACGGAGGCACCTTTGTTCATAACATCGCAACAGAGCTGACAGCTGGACTGAATCTGCTAGTTGAGAAGGACAATGCTCGCCGAAAAATCTACGGCCTTTAATTGGATGAATCGCGTCTGGGACACACGCCCCTGAAAACTCGTGCGCGCTTCAACAGCGACGAAGCCACCAGGATACGCGAAAGCATGCAGACCATGAAGGCCACATCACGAACGAAGAGGGTGGCGGAAGGAAGCGCGTTGACGTCGCGCATGCTCGTGAAGAAGGCTCGACGCTCTAGGGAGACAGGCAGGGACAAGGCTCGGCGGGAAATTGCGCGCACGCTGCGGATCCTCCAGTATGGCAAAGAGAATGTGGATAGTGGAGATGCGCAATGGGAGGCGAGAGACGAAGATACGCAAGCGAATGTGGTGACGGCGCGGACGGCAAAGCGGAAGGGAAAGAGGAAGGCGCTGAGGGACCGAGAATAGACATAAGACTGGACTGGTGGACTACAAGCAGAATGAATGGAGACGATACCTTGTACAGCGGCATTAGTGCTTGCCATGATCGTGGCGATATCTTCATGTTTGAGTCCTTTCGAACCGGCCGTGACCCTCTTTGTGAGACATGCCGAGGTAGTGCTTGCTCTTAGCGTATTTGGCTGTAGCGAGAGCTCGAATCTGTTGTTGTCATTGAGACAAGATGCCTGGTTGATGCTGAGAGGGTGGCCTGGAAGACGAGATGCTCATTCGAACTGTTGTGATGGAACAAGCCAAATGCAGTCTTGCAGAGTGGATCAAGCGAGGGAGAGCAGATTGCGCGCTGCGTGTGTCGGTCTAGCCGTCACGGCCAATCACACAACCCGCTACTGCTCGTGACAGGCCTCTCCATTGTGGGAACACAATAACAGTCTTAAGGCGCTAAAGCACATTAATTTGGCGCGAGCCTACTCGTCCTTCAGCCTTTTGCTCAAAGCGAGCCGAAAGACGACAGATCCGGATCAACGTGTCAGCAATAATCAGGTCGTTTATGAAGCTTTGTTTGCAGGTTCCAAGAAAAGCATGGTCTCTCCTACCGTGGCGTCAATGCTTGGCGCACGGTCAATGACTGGCATTCGCGATGTCGATGACTAGCTAGCTAGTCATGTCTTGGATGACGAGGTGGGGTCCACAGGCTGGAAAACAATCAAATCCGAGAACCAACCATGATCTCCAAGGCTGATTGCAGTCGTTCTGTGTACACAAATAAGATTAAAGATTGTTGCAGTGTTTGTTATTGATGATTGTTGATTACATCCAGTATGCCATTTTGGCTTGGCATGGTTGTGGCTGACCGTCCTTCTCACCTTCAAAATTTACTCGGTCATTGATGCACATTGGTCAAACATGGTGTCTGCTCTGGCGCAGATGGTCGTGGCTCCGCCTCCCATAACTCCCTTGCCGCCGCATGTCCATGACCAGATACGGGTGTGCAGTGCGCATGTACTAGCCTCATTAGATTGGAGTCTCTGGGTAAACAAATTTGCAAAAATGCTCCATGTAGGCTAAGTATGGCGAGTCTGAAACCAAACAAGAGTTGTAGCCCATCTAGGGCACCAATCACGCCTCGGAATCAATATGCAAGAACGCCGACCACCAAGCGTCTCAAATCAAACAAGAGTTGTAGCGCGTCTGAGACACAAATCATGCTTAGCCGCCGAACCAATCTCAGTCACGCCCATGCACAATCCATCCGCAGGGTTGTCAACGCCTAGAGCACCACAGAAAAGCCATCAACTCAAGGCAACGATGTGATCATTGAAACATGCCAAAATCTGTGATCGAGGTGCGGCTACTGTGGAAAGGGGAAGCAGGCTGCAAGGCGTCCAAGTGGTGCAAGCGATGGCAGAATCGGCAGCTCGCAGTTCCTCTCAAGCCCCGGGCTTAGCTGTACCAGGCGACTCCATCTGCGAAGAATCTGGCATCGCTGGAGCGGGACAGCGGCCGATCCGGCATCGATCCCAGACCGCCCATGACGCCAAACTGTGTGTCTCACAAGCCCTCCATATGATCATCTCCCTGCGTGTGTTCGGATCGATGCGCGGGGATGCGGCGAGAAGGCGGGAAGGCGGGAAGCCAAGGCAAGCACTGTGCAGAGCAGAGTGAGCTTAGCTAAGCAGCAAGGAGGACACAGACAGGTAGGTGTGCGCCAGTCGGCTTTGCGTTCGTTGTTCGTTGTTCGTAAGAAAACTGTGTCTCTCACGGCTGCCCCGAGGAAAGGTGATCAAAGCTTTCGAACCTACTGCAACAAGCTGGAGCTGCTGGGGCTGTGTGGCGGCAGGGCTGAGTCGCGCGGAACATCGTGGGCAGGATGCAGCACCCGCGAAGACGACACGGTGGTTTTAACCCCATTCGGCCACTAGTGGATCGCTGGGAAGGCCTGTCCGTCATCGCTGTGCCAACCGTGCTGGCGTGTTGCATGTAGCTAATCCATCACATCTCAAATGCACATCCCTCCATCCACAAAGAGCATGTAGAATCGCATCGCAAGATCAGGCACGTGTTAAAAGTCCTACTCATTGGTTTTGGTCATGCAACTTGCCTGTAGGGTACATTATATAGTACAATAATAAGACTACTATGGTTATGTCTCTACCAACCAAGCACCTCCTTATCAAGTGATTTCAACAATGGTGTCAAGGGAACGCCCCACTGCTTCGCAGCCTCGATGTCAACACCATAGCCGAAGTCCCGATGCCAAGCCTGAGAGCTGGGCATAAAGTCTCCCGCTGCGATTCGTCCCTCTGCCTCTTCCTCAGTAGTATAGACTACCGTGATTTTTGTACCACTAATCTGGCCGAGCTGATCGGCTAGCTGCTCCGCTGTAAGCGACTCCGCTGCAAGACCAATGTGCTGGAATGAGAACTTGTCCGGTGCTTCAATTGCTGCGGCTGCAAACCTAGCGATATCACGCACGTCCACGATGTCGAGTTTTGTATCGGGGTTGTACCTAACGCGAAGCTCACGTGCATCTGTAAGTCCTGGGTGAAGGTACTCAACCATTGGCCTGGTGAAGTTCTGCATAAAAACAGCGGGGCGAAGGATAGTCCAGTACTGGAATCCGGCATTGCGGACTTCATTTTCAAGAAGGTCTTTGGTCTTCCAATACCATGCGAGCGGATAGTCGTCGTTCCATCCAGGAAAGCTCTCGTGCTCGCCCGTGCGTGCCACGGTACTGTAAATGAACGTCTTGATTTTCTTGTTCTTGGCGGCCTGAATAACGTTCCTGCCGTATCTTTCCTCCGCGGCAGTATCAAACGGGTTTGCAGGAAGTGAAACAAAGACAGAGTCTACACCATCCATAGCATCTTCGATCGAGTCGATCGAGTCGAGATCTCCGGGGTGCAAGATGGCTCCTTGCGACTGCAGTACCTCCGCGGCATCAGAGGATGGGTTGCGCACTAAGACATGCACTGTATGGCCGCGGGAGAGAAATTCAGATACCGCGATTCTGCCCTGGGTCCCAGTACCAGTGGGGACCAGGATAGAAGTCGGCATATTGAGAGAGTGTAGATTTATAAATGAGTTTGTTAGGATATATAGATTTCCAGGCCGTTGTCTCGAGCAGTTTAACACTGATGTTAAAAGTTGTAGGACATGTAATGTGCGACCATAAACAACGCTTATATAGTTGTTAAAAGGCTAATACAAGTCGCGTCAACTCTAACCCTACTCCTAACTAGTAAGGAAATGTGTGCCAAACATTCCTAGACAACCTAGCTAACTTAAGATTAATTACTAATCTTGGACCCATTCCGCCAAAATACGTGCGGCAGCGGTTAGGCAAGTTTTGCTATAACGTTATAGCCTTTGTCCGCATGTTCGTCCGTGTCTACCAGCATAGTTACAAAAACAATGTTTACATAAAAATTGTCTCTAATATTAGTGCATCATGATACGAAGCTAGAGATCCTAATCATCATTATTAAAGGTACTTATTGCGATTAGTTATCTGCGAACCAGTATCTCCCGTCACTATTGATTCGCAACAGTTTTACCACACCAGTTGAATCTTGCCTTACATTTGTCTGTCTAAAGTCGTCCATACCTAACTTGATTTTAATCTGTTATAAGTTAACTAGAAACACAGGCAAGGCCGTAAAGGGATCGCTTCCGTAAAGCCCCTGCTATACAATACTCTATCCTAGCAGGGTAGAGTCTTAACTGTTGTATCTCTAAAGACACACTTACATAGTGCACTTGCTTTAAGATTAGCTTATAGAGGCTTATTAATTCAGTAGATTTATATATATATAGTTTATATATATATTGCCCTGCTATGTTTCCAATAGACTTTCAGTACTAAAGCTTGCCTAGTTACTATCTTCTGCAATTTTAAGTAGGGGTCGCAGATTCTTAGGTTCGACGCGGTTCTACAACCCTCCTAATCTTAGCTATTTTCCCCTATTGTCCTCCCTCCTAAACTACTCTTTAGTAATTTTAATCCTAGTCTGTAGTATTTTATCTAGTAATAAGTAGTCGCGGCTAATTACTTCTTTATTTTCTCTAGAGTTCTTCTATATGTTTTAAAAGCTAGTAAAACCTCTAATAACAGGCAAGCCCTGCGCGCTAGTAAATCTAACATTAACAACGGTAGAGGTAGTATAGGAAGATATTTTAGTAGTCTATTAGAAACATAGTAACTATGTACCTAGCTATATATAATTACGTTATAACTATATTTAGTAATAGCTAGCTATATAGAATTTTGCAAACTTAGAGACTAAGTTCTTTAAACCTTTAAATAAAGTCTAAGAATATATTAAAACTTTTAACTATAACTAGTATAACTTTAGTTAAAAGAAGCTTTATAACTTTTTTATAACCTTTTTATGCTAGCCTAGGGCCTAATCTACCCTAGGTTAAATTTTATATTCTAATTTTATAAACCTCTCCCCCCTTAGATTTTAAGATAAATTTTGCTAAGTATACTATTAGTAGCTAATATTACTAAGTAACTAATAGTAATAGTAATAATACTAATACTATAATAATCTAGCACTACTTAGGTAGCTATTTAGTAGCTTTAAATATATTTATATTAATATATTAAAGTTATCTACTAACTAAGTAAACTTAGTAACCTTAGATATTAAATATTATTATAACTAAATACTACCTTCTAAACTTAATATTAAGTAGATGCCTATTTCTTTTCCTCTTTTATAAGTAGTAAACTAAGCTACTTTATATACACCTTATCTACTAAATTTAAATATTCTAGCTAGACTGCTAGTTAAGCCTTTAGGTAGTTAACATCTAGGCTTTAAATAATACTAATCTACTAAGTAATACCTTTTATCTTTTACTTAGTAATAGTAAGTATATATACTTTTATTACCTCTTAGCTAAACTATAATAGGTCTAGTATCTTTTTTAAGGTTAAAGTAGCCTTTCTAGTAGTTAAAGTAAAGTATATAATATTATATCTTTTATATAGAATAAGCTTATTAATATATTTTATTATATCTAATACTACTTATATTAAAGATATAAAGTACTATTATTAGAATATAAATAGTACTAGTACTAGTACTAGCCTAATTTATATAGCTAGTATATTAAGAGAAAGAGTATAAATACTATTAGAGTTAGAAATAAGTTAATAAAGTATATTTATAGTATTTTAGATTAAATATTTAACTACTTAGAAGAAGATAAGCTTAAGTATTAAAGATAATAAAGATAATAGAACTATAGCTATAAATTATATTTTTATTATAAATAGTAAAAAATATAACTAGTTTATAGTCTAACCTTACTATAGAAACTAGCTTAGAGTTATAGGTTTTCTATAGTATTATAAGTTAAATATAATTTAGAGACTTAAAAATTTTTTAAACTTTTATAAAGCTACCTAATATATTAAACCTATAGTTATAGGTAGCTATACTTATAATTATTAAGTTAAGTTAACTTTATATATATAAAGGTTATATAATATATTATATCTTTAAAGCTCTTAGAAACTATATATAATTTATAATATATAAGTATTAGTATTCTTAGAATATACTTTGCTATAATAAGTATATAATAAATTCTATACTATAGATAGAGGGCCTTAGCCTATTTTATAAGATTTCTTGCATTATACTTCTATTTTTTATATACTTTTTATAAAATATAACATACCTTATAGGTAAGTTACTTAATAGGCAAGTTACTTACTTCTACTAAGCCCCTACTAAAACCTAACCTATTATAGCCTAAAATACTATACTTTAGCAATCTATAGTAGACTATAGCTTATAATATTATTTAGAGACCTTTTTTATATTAGTCTTGCATATTTATATATTATATCTAGTCTAATTATACCTTCTATAGCACCTTTAGGCTAGCTTACTCTCTTAAGCCTATACCTACTTCTTTACTCTTTTCTTATTACTATATACCCTAAACTCTTTTAAAGCTATTAGTTGCTACCTATCTTTAACTATTAAGGTCTCTTTCTTCTAAACTTACTTTCTTTTATATAATTTTTATTAAGTAGTAGCCTTATTAGCTACTTAAAGCTCCTTAATTTCTTATTAAGCTAAAACTAGCTTATATATAATAATTATAGCCCCTTTTAATACCTTCTTAAATACCTTAACTATATATATAAGAGAGCTATCTATATACCTCTAAATTCTTAACTTTATAAGTATTAATTTAGCCTAGGGCCTAATCTACCCTAGGTTAAATTTTGTGTTCTAATTTTGTAAACCCTCCCCCCCCCCTCCCTAGATTTTAAGATAAATTTTGCTAAGTACACTAGTAGCAGCTAATATTACTAAGTAACCTATATTGCTAAGTAACTAATATTACTAAGTAACTAATATTATAGAGTAACTAATATTATAGAGTAATAGTAATAATACTAATACTATAATAATTAAGCACTACTTAGGTAGCTATTTAGTAACTTTAAATATGTTTATATTAATATATTATAGTTATCTACTAACTAAGTCTATTATACTATAGGTCTACTAAATACCTAGAACCTTATACCTAGCAACCTTAGATATTAAAAATTATTATAACTAAGTGCTACCTTTTAAGCTTAATATATATAAAGTAGATACCTTTCCCTCTACCTCTTATATAAGCAGCAACCTAAGCTACTCTATATATGCCTTATTTACTAGCTAATTATACTTAGGCCTAACTACCCTATCTATAGTAATCCTATTATAAATAATTTAAATTTGCTAGTTTATACTTACTCTCTCCTATATAGTAAGAGCAAGTATATAAGCCTATACTACCTCCTAACTAAACTAGACTAGGCCTAGTAACTTATTTAAGGTTAAGGTAACTATTCTATAGGAATATTTAGTAGCTTAAGAAAGGTAGTTAATACTATATATTATATATAGCAATAGCTTATTAATATATCTTAGTATATCTAATACTACCTAGATTAAAGGTATAAGGCTATAAAGTTAGTATATAAATAGCACTAGCACTAGATTAATATATATTACTAGTATAGTAAGAGTAATAGTATATATACTATTAGAGTTAGCTATAAATAATATTTATATATTATTCTAGGTTAAATATTTAACTACTTAGAGAGTAATAAGTATAATAAGTCTAATAGGGATAATAGAGATAGTTAAGATAGGACTATAGCTATAAATAGTAGCAGCTCTTATTATAAATAGTATAGAATATAACTAGTTTATAGTCTGCTCCTACTATAGGAACTACTTAGAGTTATAGGTCTTCTATAGTATTATAGGTTAAATATAGTTTAGGGACTTAAAAATTTTTAAACTCCTATAGGGCTACCTAATATATTAAACCTATAGTTATAGATAGCTATACTTATAATTATTAAGTTAATTCTTTATAGGTATATACATATAGCTTATATAATCTATTATATTTCTAAAGCTCTTAGAAATTATTATATATAATTTATAATATATAAGTATCCTTAGAATATACTTTGCTATAACAGATACGTAATAACTTTTATACTATAGGTAGAGGGCCTTAGCCTATTTTATAAATTTTTTATAGTATACCCCTATTTATATGCTTTATTAATAAAATTATAAGTATTAATTATAATCTAAACTTTAGAGTATTACTAAGAGTTTATAACTACTAGAGTAAATTATTAGTAAGAAGTAGTAGTATTAGAGTCTAGAGCTTTATATTAAGGGCTAATATAACCTATTCTAGGTTAAAAGGGACTAGTCTAGCACCTTAGAACCCTTCTTAGATATTACTAGAAATAAATACTATATTATAGGCTACTTTAAAGTATAGTAGGAACTTAGTCTTTATAAGGTAGGTAATTTAGTTATATATAAGTATTTTAGCTTAGTACCTATATACTATCTTTAAAGAGGTAAAACAACCTATATTAAGTAGCTATAGGAGGTATAATAAGTATAGAGGTATATATAGAGTAATAATCTTATTATCTTTATAGTACTACTAGAATTAGAGTAATTTATAGCTCTTATAGCTATTAATAACTAGTAGTTAGTAGGTACTAATAGTATACTCCTTAGTATACCTATTAAAGTGCTTTAACTACTTAAGGCTAAGCTTATTAGTAGTCTAGCTATTACTAGAGACTCTAATAACCTAATTATAAGGTAGGTCTTCCTCTTTATACTAGCTAGAGAGGTAGTAGCACGCCTTAAAGATAATAAAGGGTAGGATAGCCTATCCTTTTATATTAATGCCTTATTATAAGGTTCTAGTTATAGGCAATAGTACTTACTTTATACTAGGGTAGATAGTTAAGAGATAGGTAGGTATATTATATAGGGAGAATAATACTTAATTTCTTAACCCTTATATTTTGCGCAGGTTTTACGCAGGTTACTTACTAACAACGCTAACCCTAGTTAGAGTTAGTACTAGAACACTAACACTATAATAAATATCGCGATAGGCGTTATACTTATATAACTATTATCTACTCCTAGTTACCTTACTAGACTATCTTTAGCCTTTCTTATCTCTCTAAAGTAGTAATAACTACTCCTAAGAAGATCTAGCCTATTATAAAGCCTATCTTATTAAAGTTATAGGTGTTATTATCCTAAATACTATACTTAGCTTTAATATTAGCTACTAGGCTAAACTAGCTCTAGATAATCCTTAAATTCTTATAAAGGGCTCTTTTATAGTTATACCTATAATTAAACTTTACTTTAAGCTCTAGTTAATACTTTAGAAATATACTAAGCTAGTTTATACTAAAAAGGCTTAGATTATACTTAGTATATAGAGAATTAGCTATAGTAGCTATATCTACTAGCTAAGGGCTAAATCCTTATATATCTAGCTTAAGTATATGCTTAATAATTATCTACTCCTTATTATAATCTAATTCTTATAATTTAGGTATAGTATTAGCTTATAAAGGTTATCTTATATATTAGTTGCTTAGTGTCTTTTAAAGGACCTTATAGATAGCTATAGCATATTACTATAAGAGGTTTATATCTTATTTAAGAGCTTAAAGTAGAAGCTATATCTAAGCTTTCTTAAATATTTTAATTTTATATTATTATTAAGGTATTAGTATAAGAAGGGTACTTTAGTAGAGGCTTAGCAAAAGTAAGTAACTTACCTATTAAGCAACTCGCCTATAAGGTACGTTAACCTTTTTATACTAAGTATTAGATTATTTAATAACTAACTAGCTCTACTTTGTTAATAAAATTATAGTTATTTAAATTACTAATAAATTTTTAAACTTTAAATTGCCTATAAAATAATATATAATATAGACTCTAATAAGCTAATATATAGGCTAAACTATATTATAATAGTAATATATAAAAGTACTTTATATTAACTTTAACTTATACTAGTATAATTTATACTATATCTTTATCTATTCTCTATCTATAGTCTTTATAACTCTTAACTTTAACTTAACCTTTACTAGGTACTTTAACTTTCTTTACTAGTCTATTAAGAACTACTAGTATAGATAGGCCTTCTCTACAATAATTGTACCTTCTATATAGCTTTGTATTAGGTAGGGTATAACAGGCTCTTATACATGCTATAGTATAAGTAATGCTTATAGGTTAAATTCTTTAGTTGCACTATAGTAATGTATGTTGCTCTTACAAGACAGCGTTCCCAACAGCCTGTGGGTTCCAAAACACAGCTTTTGGATCAACCTTAGCCTTTATCTTTGCGACTCTGTTGTAAGCGGAAACTCCGTAGTACAATCGTGCGGCCTCTGTAGGCGTAAGCGCCGGGTCCAGATAGCTTGGATACGCAAGGAAGTCGCCGTCAGGCTGCGCATCAGTAAGAGCTGAGTTGAGCCCATTGACGAAGGCGGTAATCTCTGGCGAGAATGGCGGTAGCATATTCGGGCTCGCGCCAACATTCTACCGGATTGTAAGCAGCGGAGAGACCTGTGCTTCTGAACGAACACTTGCCTGGAAGACCCACAAGGAGTCGCGGTGAGAGTAAGCAGCAGAGTCTGTTGAGGGAGCATTGATTTGACTATCTCTTCCCCCATAGAGGGAGATGAATGTGTTCCAAGGATTTGATGTTGTCAAGCCTTTATCCACAATATAGGTGAAGAAACTTTCCAATGCAGTCTTGGTTAGTGGTTTAGCCTCTCTAGTGACCACAGATTTGGTATAGAAAGTCTCGTGATTGTCGTAGCCAGTAAGTGGCTCCTTTAGCGGTTCGTCCTCGGCAATCTCTTCCAACGCGGTCAGCCAGGTGGCAGTTTGGACTGTTGTATTGTCTGGTACCGGTATCCCGCTCAGCATTTCGGGTAGGATGGTCTCAGAAAAGTATTCCTGGTCTCCAAAATACCAACCTCGAACGCTGTACTCGCCGAAGACGCTTATGTAGATTTCTAGGGTGAGGTTACGATCTACGAGTGGTGAAGAGGTGACAAAGTCCTGCAGCTTAAGAACAATCGCCGCTGCCGAGTCGGGTGAACGAAGAGACGACGAAAAGTTTGACGAGTAGCTGACAACTTGGGCAGGAGCCGGTTGCGTTTGTAGATAAAACGTGGTAATGATGCCGACGCTGTCCGCAGCCCCTCGCAAAGCATAATATAGATCCGGGTTGGCCGTACGCGTAACATGAATGTAGCGGCCATCTGCAAGGACTACGTCCATGGCAACGATTGTATCGAGTGCGAGGCCTATTCGCAGCCGATTAGTGGATATACAGTCAAGCAGATATAATTTGCTTTCTCAGAACAGCGATGAGGATGGCCTCAATCGATCTCAAGGAGCAGATCAAGGAACATAAGAGCATTTGACTTACCCCAGCGACGGGATGAGTACCCAAAGCCACCGTGTGTATAGTGACCTCCAATTCCGACGCCAGGAAAGGTACCGTGAGGCAGAGCGCGGCGGCCTTGCTCGAAAATTCCAAGTCCTAGATTGCCGAGCCGAACACCTCCACCTACAGTTGCGATTCCAGTCGCTTTCTCGCGTCAGTGATAACAGCCAGTGCAGAAAGTGATGTGTCGCATCAGAGCTTACATGTATCTAGTGACACGTTGTTGAAATTACGCAGATCCACGACAAGACTATTGTTCTTGCCACCGAGTGAGAAACTGCCATATGAATGACCTCCTGACCTTGCTTTAACCTTCACTCCAGCTGTCGCTGCGCACAGGACAGAGTCTGAGACTTGCTGGTGTGAAGTCGGTAATGCGACAGCATCAGGAGTGTATTGAAGCCGAAGATTGTATGCGGTGGTGAGTGAAATCCAATCTGAGGAGGAATTGAGACTTGTCGGAACAGCTTTTCTAGCAAGACAGGCCTGCAAATCCTCGTACGGCTTGATGATGTGCCCGTGTTGAGGACCGGCAATTGATAGGTCAGAAAAGAGAAGAGCAAAAAACGCAGCAATACAAAGTAACATGTTTGCCTGAGAATAGAGAGAGTACTATGTGTCGATGATGATCGGGTGGGTGCCGTTCCTGCGAAGAGAACAGAGTATCTATAGTATTGGGTGTGACGACTTTTGTGCCACAGGCAGAGGGCTTTCGTCTGTTTCATAAGATTCTTCGCGATATGCCCCTATTTTTGGTGCTCTATCAATAAAACCATAGTATTGGGCAAGAGCGACCAAGCTGTTTCGGCCCAATCCATCCATGAGTATATTTACAAGATGACCTCATCCTTGGGCCTCAGCCACCTCGCAGTCGGTGAGAACTATCCTTGTCACGCCGTCAGGGGTTGGCCGGCCACTCTTTAACGCTCATCATGGTTCGAAGATAGAATCTCCATAGATCCAAGGTTGCCGATACCTTTTCACACATACCATAGGCCTGCACGGTCGTGATGAGCTCGACCCGGCGACAATGACCCTACTTACATTGGAAATGCTTGGGCACATGATGATCGTTGTTGTTGCTTCGTTGCACTACAGTTCTTGCTGCCTCCAAAATTAGATGTTGTTTCACCCGATCGCTCCGAGCGCACAGAATTTCGGGTTGCCAAGCTGTCCGCGTTCCGCCCGAGTGGGCCTTTTCACTGCTATCAATTCGTACAAACATGTTCAATCTACTGCCGTCCTTAGGTACCGAGTACATTCATTCACGAATGATAGCCCGTGGAAGCTTGTTCTCGTATACGTACATTTGTTCCCGTACATCATTCACGATTGATAGCCCTCAGAAGCTTGTTCTCGTACATCATTCACGATTGATGGCCCTCGGAAGCTTGTTCTTGTACATTCCGGTTGCAAGGTTTGGCACGTTCTCAGAGGCTCTGCAATCTGTCGGCGTGTCGCGGGTCCGAGATGCGAAAGTTTACTCGGTCCTTCGTATTAACGGGTGGAGATGAGTGGACCTGAAGTATCGTATGCATTCGTCATCTGGATGGCTATGCTGGAGGTCTGAATTTTTGATAGCTTATATTGTGCCTCTGTAGTCGTAACTGCCTTCTCATCACAGTACAGTATACACTATTCATCAGATATTGCCGATACCTCGGAGGAAGCTTTTCCGCCAGATCTTGTACACGATACTTCAGTCAAGTTTCTGTTTACCGATTCTACAACTACAGCATTCGGGTCCCGCACAGACGTTTCAGTATAACCGTACCACCCCCTGCTCCCGCTTTCTGCACAAGCGTTACGCCTGACTGTCCCGTGGAAGGAACTATCTACGGGTACTACCCCTTATTTAGATAGAACACAGCGTTTATAGGCTTTTTTAGCCTCACCCTTTTCTTTAACATTGTCCTTAGTATCTGTTATAAGACTTAGATATATAGAATTGCTGTATCTCTTAGTTATCTAGGGGAAGTGGTTAGATATATTAGCTGCATAATAATATAGGATAATCCCTTTAACAAGGCTAGCTTCTAAATGCAGATTTACTGCTTAATTATTGCCCTAGCTTTTATCTCTGCTACAATCTACCTAACCCTTAAGCACATTATCTAAAGCTGTAGTAAAAGCTAGTCTTAAGTGTAACCTAGATAGTACACTTAGATTTTTATTAGTTATAACCTTCTATTACTAATTCTATAGGGCATAGGTAGAGGCATTGCTATATCTGCAGATTTTAGCAGTAATATATAGGATATTAGCACTAATCTTATGCTTGTAGGTGTAGTTTAGTAGGTTATATGTCTAACTATATTTAGATATTTCTTTAGCAAGTACCTTTGTTATACTTACTACTACTATAGCAAGCTTTTGTTATAAGCTGTTAATTTATTCTATAATACTAAGTTTTATCTTTTTATTATGTCTATAGTTTTAGCGTATATTATAATTCTTATATAATATATATACTATATTCTAGAGCTAGTAGATAGGTAGAGAAGCGAGATAATAAGAGATAAGGTAGAGTTTATTATCCTTAAAGGCGCTATAATCGTTACCGCTATAGCTGCCTTAACAATTTTCTACCCTAGCTACTACTTTCTAGTACTTGCAGTACAAGGCAAGAAGTAAAGATTAAATAGTACTTATAATAGGGAGGAAAACATTAAGATAGACAGCTTTACTTAGATTTAAGTTATAGTATAGTAGAATTACTAAAACAAAGCATATAAATTAGACTATAGGCAGAGGGGCCTTAATAGGATAGCAGAAGGCCCTTATCTAATATTCTAAGTCGAGCTAAAACAAGGGCTATCTATAGACTAAGAAGCGCTATTATATTTTAGGTGCTAGACTAGGGGATAGTGTCCTAACATATTATTAGCCTATTTATTGCTAGCTATAAACCTTTATAAATATTTTAGAGAAGCATTTTATATTTAATACCCTAGTTAATTCTTAAAGTTAGACTTTGCATTAGGCACGCATATAGTCTACTATATTAATCTAGCCTATAGAATTTCCCTCTATTGCTAAACTAGTAGAGTTAGCTACTTGCTAAGTTCTAGCAGTAGCATATAATTATCTTATAACCTTATGTTCTATATAGTATAAGTACTATAGCATCCTTAAAGATAGTTACTTAGTAGCATAAATAGTACTGCTAAAATAAACTATAGTTAGAATAGGTTATTAGAAGCCTATGCTTATATAGCTATTTAAGAAGACTAAAGGCTAAAAAAGATAGTAAAGCAACCTATCTAAATAGAGTGTTTAATAGTACATATTAACTATTATACTTTCTTAGAAGAGCGTTATTATATAAAGATACTATCTAGTCGCTATATAACAGGCCTATAACAATATAGGCCTTAGGCTTGCTAGATAGCAACTGTATAATAGCATTAGCAGTCTACGCTATAGCACATATTGTCTCTATTAATATACTCTTGTAGGAAAAGGTTATAGTTATGCTTGCACCCCTTACTTAGCAGATCTATATACTACTTAGTAGTAATTAAAGCGTACGTTACTTCTAATAGTAGAACTATGCTAGGATCCCTTATAGGTGCTAACTATATACTACTAAATCCGCTAGTTGTGCGCTTACTTACTAAGGTTTCTATAGCTATATACACCTGCTTGCAGAATTAGCTTTTAGTATCTATACTTTGCGCCCTTTTTTATAGTAGAAGAGTTAGCCTTACTTTATAGGAGCTATACCTTATATGCTTTAGATTAACTTAAGCTACCTAGCTCCTGTTAGTATCTATAATATAATACCCCTTTATTGCTAAAAAGCTTATAAGGTAAAGGCTAGTGTAGCTAGGCTGTTCTCCCTGCTAGTAGTAGCAACTTAACGTACTATCTTATATTCTATATCTTACTGTAATTTGTAAGCAAAGAACTAAATATAGGGGCTATGCTAATTTAGGACTATATCTAGAACGCTGCTTTATAGACGTCTATATATAGCACTATGTCTATACTATAGATTAATTTACTTGCTAAGCGTTGTATCCTCTTGCTACCATTTCGTAAGGATTTTGTGAGATGATACAGTGTAGGTTATAGCGAAAGTGCAGTCGTTCACTTACTAATTATAGGAGGATAAGCCTATATAGGACGGTGCTTCGACTTACCACCACTAACAGGGGGGACAGCCGAGCCACACTGAGTGGAGGATTCTTTAGAGGGGTGATAGTATATAGATATAATTGAAGAGGGACGGGTATGTGGGGTTGCACGACGGAGGCGACGGTAGAATGCTACAGCATGTGATTAATGTAGTAGCGTGCATATAATTGTTCTACAAGACAACAGATTGTCTTTATACAAGTACTATGTCCTCATAGATGCCTTTGCCATCGAATAGCTGCTTGCGTTGTTGCCATTCCAGATCAGAAACAAATACCCTATACATATACCGGTATCTGTTGCCACTACGTCGAAGACCTAGGACCCAGCGGCACTCAGGAATGAGATACAGCCTGTCACCGCACCGCCAAGAAGGTAGCGAATCTTCAAACATGTGCCCCACGATATTTGATCCAATAACAAGATGACCAACATGCTCAAAGAAGCTGCTTAGTTTCGCAATCGAAGAGGGACTCAAAACATTGGGATCTGCTTGATGAGCTGCGTTCCTGCAACCGCGTCGCTGACCTTTTCTTTTCTTCGATTTGCTTTCGCATTGAAGGAAGTCTTCCAACGTCGCGCTATGCTCGGATGAACATAAACCTTTCCCCGTATCGACATCCCAGAAGTTGAGACGGAGGTAATCCCGGAATCTTCGTATATGCGTTGTCGCATTAGCGTGAGGTATACCCATAGATTTCAGAGCTGCTAAGATTCTCCCCTCGACCTCAACAATTGCTTTGCGCAGTACACCTATATCCTTATTTTCTTGCATTGAAAGAACTTCCATCGTCGTAATCACTCGTCCCAGCGCTAACGCATTCCGTATTCTTATTTCAGTACATCGTACGTCGATATCAAATAAACTTTTCGGCGCCCCCCACTTTTCTTTATACATCGTAGCACATCTATCGCAAATGCTCATTGACGACGGGTGGTATAATTTTCCCATTGAAGTACCTTGGGCAAGGATATCATACTTGCTTTCTGGCGCTCCGTAGGTTTTATTCTCTCCACTCCATTTTTTTGATTCCCACGTCGGAACCCATGATGGTATCCCCTCGATGTTACTCGGCCCGCTTTCCAAGATTCGTAGAGGGTATGATTGAGGTTCGGAATCAAAAAGGATCCAAATAGCAACTCGATGAAAGAATTCAGCAAGGTTTTGTTCGTTCAGGTTAATTGTCATGAGAAACAAGATATTATCATGGCAATCGCCCATATGGAGAAAACCATGCACTCCATTTATCCAATCTTCAGGATTGCTCACTTCAAAATTTCCACTCATACAGCTCAGGTATGTAAGCAGACGGCTCGCAAGAGACGTTTTGGACGGGTTGTATCCCTGAAAAGACATGCCGTGGACAGTGAGGGATATTTGGGTTCTAGAAAGTATCGATGGTGCATCTTGAAACATGCAATGTTTCGCCGATTCGAGGAACCTGCGATATCCGATTTCTATGTAGCCGCATTGCATGACTGGATCCTCTTTTGAAAACGTGGCTTCCTGGATGACCCAAACGCGTCGCCACCAGGGTTGCGAAGCTATAATTCGTATTCCGAGAGACTCTAGTTCATCAGGAAACCAATTGTCGCTTGTTTCCTGACCGAGCAGGCGGTCTTTACCCATGACGTAGTCCCTCGCTGCAAGCAGTATCTCGATGATCCTTCTTTCACTGCTTAAGGCTGCTCCTGTATCTTCTTCTGGGGATAAGACAGAGTACGAGGATCTTCTGGTCAGTGGAACTTGTCTTGATTGATAATATTCAAGTTCCTCTTGTATATCGGGCGTTGACACGAATAGATCACTGATAGACCCTAGCCAGATGCGTACCTCCACGGCCATTTCGTACACACTGCCCATCCTTTGCACTTGTGACAGACGTTCTTCCAAATCAGACTGGTTGATACAAATGGCATCGACCCACAGTATGCGCTCTGAAGCGCGGTCTCGTAGATGTCGTAATGCTCTCTCCAGATTTGTCGTTACTTGGAATGATTCGTAGCAATCTACCCCCGGGGAGGGAGTAGATGACCATGTATGAGCAGGTCCACACGTCGGGAGTTGATGGTAACCAAGCTGAATAGATCGTGTCTGTGTAGCATCGCCCCACACGTATGACAGTGCAGTATACTCTGTTTGAGGCCGCCTTTCAAGGATATTGGCATGGTAAAGTGTACAATATATGTAGTCGTTGAAGCCACCCGGATGTAGGCGTACGAGTCGAGTTTCGAATCCTGCACGGGAAGTCTCGGAAAGCGGCTGGTATTAAAAAACGCTTCGCGGGCTATACATTTTGTTGTTTGAGTGCGTGAAAGAATTTACTGGAATCACTGTGAGAGGTTGGAAAGTGCTACAAGGCTCATTCAAGGGCTTTATTTACGAGGACCGGTGAAGCAAGGTGGTGAGTCATATAACTCGACCAATCATGTTCACACATCTGCACTGTTCGCCTTACCAACTTAGCTTGGCATCTATTATCGTGCACTTGGAGTGATCATCTTTTGTGAGAGAGTCCCTCTGAAGAGCCTACCTGAGTTTCCAGTTGTGGGTCAAGCCTACTAAATGCAGAGGGTGTATGACCACAAGTCGCATCCAGACGAGCAAAGGTGCTCAATCCTAGGCAGTAGGCTACCTTGTAAGCCGGAAGCCGGGCTGAAACAGGCTGAGCGCTGGGAAGAGGATACAGTGCATGCTCGCACAGTTGCGGTCAGCCAATCGTGTTGCGTAGCGCTGCCTAGTCCCTTGCCAGAGCGGTGTCCGACATTTAGCTTACACTTAACTAGAAGTGGTCTTATTTGTTGGAAGAACAGACTACTAAGGGGTCAGATGCTGATTAATCATAATGCTTTGAGTGCGATATCCACTGTTTCTTAACTCGTCTAGGTCTCTGTTGTCCAGATTGAAAGGAAGCTAGGCAAGTGCATCAAAATATGCTTTCTTTTAAATTAAATAAGACGTTTTTCCTCAGCCTACTTATGTCTAGCTTAGGCTCCTAAAGCCTGTAGTACCGCAGCGTAATGTATAAATTACCTATCCTAAGGCTGCTTTTAAGGGTTGAAATATACTTGGTCTGTAGAAGAGTCTACTTAAGTCTTAGAAACTATTTATATAATTTGGCAAGAGAGCAGCGTTGTCTTATAGGTAGGATGGCAATATAAAACACAACGCATGTATATAGAGGTTATTGCCTAGCTGCTCTGAGCTGATACTTAATTAGTATCTGCTATATGGCGATGCAACGCTCACAATGAAGCATACAGGCTGACACAGACATGCTTCTTGTCCTGCTAGGCACAAGGCGCCCTGTATCCCCTATTATAGACCGCCGTATCCTAGAGATGACGTTAACCCTCCTTTAACGCGCTAGCTATCACTATTGCTATTAACAAAGGGCTGGCAGGTCAATAGGTATTGCCGCTGCATGAGTGCTTGCTCTTTGCTGTCTGCACCTGTAGGTGTGCGCTATTCTTAAGGAGGCTATCATAGCAGCTATCACAGCTCAATGATGTAAGGCTACGCAGCATGGTTGCCTCTCTAGCCCTTGTTGTAAGGGACGAGGTTGAGCACACAACAGGCGCCAACTGCGATGCCGCTAACACTGTGCACGGCCGTGGTAGCGCAACACGTGTTAGGGCAGCCCCGCACCACTATATAGACGCGTCCGCCAGACTAGGCAATAATAACACCTAACATAAGACATTGCTTACTAATTATGCGCACTAAGTTCGTTAGCTTGCAGCTCTATAGTAGTAACCTTTGCTCTTCTCTATTAGTACATGCATATGCAAGAGCTAGAATAAATAATTACAAGGCTTTAAAGACTTATAAGGCTAGAAGGACTTAGGCAATAAAATCTAGCGCGCAGATAATAGGCCTATTTAACAGCACTATAAGTGCTAATTAATTATAGTAGCTAGTAATATGCATTGCAATATTATCTAGTGTTATTTGCGTTGCTTAGTTTGCATCACGCCTTCTTACTTACCTACGCCCTTCCCTTCTCTATTACGCTCTTAACACACCTTATCTATTATGTTATAAGCGCACATTAACTTATCTAGTTGCTAGCCTATAGTTTTAATAGCGCAGGCAGTATAAGCAAGACTAGCCTAAGGAAAATTTTAATTAACTATGTTAGACACCTTGCTCCCCTACACTCTACTGCTAGCAAAGCTAACCTTAAGATATTTTTTACTATTACTACCTAGTACCTAACTAAGCTATATATCCTAAAGCAAGATTATATATTATAGCAAGACTATATATCTAAAGACCTTTATATTATTAAAGAAAGCTACTATATTAAAGCTATTAGCACTCTTTATTAAACCTAGGGAGCTAAGGCGCTTAACATAGTATATTACTACCTTTACTAGCTCTTGCTATGCTAACTAGCGCTAATATTCTTAGATATAGAGGGATCTATATAATCTACTACTGCTACTAACTATCTCTATGCGCAACTTTCTTAAGATACTCTCTAAGATAGCAGTATAGGTTACCCTTAAATAGTTTCTATAACACTTCCTAGACTTTATAAAAAGTAGAATTAAGAGTTAGTACTAGGACTATTAGTACTAGATATAAGAGGAGTAACTATGCTTATAATCTAGATATATTAATACCTTCTTTAAAGATTAGTATACCCTAAATATGCTTAAGCATAGAGTAGTTAAATCCCTAGTAAAGTACTAAAAGATAAACCTAAATTAGGGTTATACTTACTTACCTATATATATATATAATATCCTCTAAGATAGTAAGATTAAAAAAGCCTAAGGAGCTAGCTAGATTCTACTAGTTATTAAGGACAATACTATTATTTATAAGTTAAGCCTAATTTAACCTATAATCTCCTTATATCTATATAGCAAAGAATATAAGACTAATTATAATTAGCTAGCTAAATTATAAAACTAAATAAATAGATCTAATACTAGCTTTACTAAAGACTCTAAGTTATAGATTAATACTAGCTCTATACTTTTTAATAAGGACCTAATCTAAGGCATACCTATAGATAATAATAGTATAATTTAGAATAGTAGCCTTTGCATTTCTAATAGTCCTAGTATTAATATAATACTAAGGCTATAAGAACTATCTTAGGAACAAGTCTAATTAATAAGGCTTATATAGAGTAAATATAATAAGTTATAATAGTATAAAGATAATTAAGATATAATACTAGTATTAGGACTTAAGCCCTAAGCAGTACTAAAGATACTATACTAGGCTAGAGTAGGCCTATATAGAGTAGAGTAGGATAGTATATAACTAGACTACCTACTTATTACTATAAGGTAGTAATTAGTCTTACTTTAAGGTAATATATCCCCTAATACCTCTTTAATATACCTTCCTACCTAGTGCCTATAACTATAAGGTCTAATAGCTAGTAATAAGATAAAGTATTAAAATAGCTAGTAAGCTTAAAGTAATAAAAGTAAATAAAGCTACTATAACTATAGCCTTAGTAGCTACTAATAATAAACTATATAAGCTTAAGAAGCTTCTACTTATACTTCTCCTATATAGAAAAGACTTAGATAAGGTAATTAGTAACTAAGAGAATAAGATTAAATATATATAGCTTTATATAGAGAAGCTACTTAGACTATAAGCACTTATTAAAGAGGCTATACTTAGTATAGCAATATATAGCCTCTATAAGTTAATAAATATTAATTTATTTACTTTTAATAAAACTAAAGCTAGCACTATAAAGATTAGTAAAGAGTATAAGCTTAATAGGTTAAAGAGTTTTAAAAAGTAGTATTATAAAAAGTTTAAAGATTAAAAGAAGAAATTAAATAAGGTAGATAGAACTAATAATAAGTACTTATTAGTAGTAGCTATTATAGTATAACTTAGGGAGTTTTTAGACCTAATCCTAGGAAACTTAGCTATAATAGCAAAGTTACCTCTCCTCTTACTTAAACTAGGTAGGGATAATTAATAGTAGTGTCTTAGATACTGCTATAGGTATTAGGAGTTAATATAGTATATAGTGCTTAGAGTAAGGTCTTTAGATTATCTATATCTATATAGATATAAATAGATAGTATATTATTAATTATAACTTATTACTTACTAAAAATATTTATAAATAATTATTATATCTAGGAAGCCTTATAAAAATAATTACTTATCATAGCTAAACGCTATAAATATTAAAAGTTATAGTTTTAGCACTATATATTTATCTAGGACGTTCTTTCTTATCTATACTAGATATAAACCTATACTAGGCTAGAGTTAGAGAGATAAAATAATAGGACTAAAGAGTAAGTATAAATATAGCAACTATATAGGTTAATAAGCTTATTATAAGATAAATAAATATTTTAGTAAGATTTTAGGGCCTAGAGTTAATTTTATAATCTTTATTATAGGTCTAACTACTATTATTAATTTTAACCTATTTATTTACTATAGCACTAGCTATAATATAGGAATTAAGTTAAAAAGACTTTTAAACTTATACTAGATCTAGGAAGCCTCTTTTCTAATAGAATTAGGCTTAAGTTATTAGCTAAACTACTTAGTAGATAAGAAGATATAGTATAGGAGGGCAACTATTATAAAATATTTCTTTAGATCTTTAGAGATAGCTCTATTAAGTACCTATGCTTGCGTATTAATTTAACCTAAGTCTATTCTACTTAAGGAGGTATATAATTATAAAGTAGATAGTATTATAACTAACTACTACCTATTATAGACTATACCTTAGGGAACTTAATAAAGGCAATTAAATTAGTTATATATAGCTTTAGTAGTCTTATATGTCTCTAATATATATAAATATTATAAAAAAGTAGTTATAATACTTAATAGACTATAAAATAGATAAAGAAAAGTATAGAAATTATTTTAGTATTAATTCTAGCAAACTTTTATCCCTCTTACTTACCTAAGCCCTAGGTTAATAGGCTATTAGAGTTATTATATTCTCTCTTCTATATATTGTGCAAAATCTATAGGTCTAAGATTAACTTTTAATATCTTATACTCTCTAAGCCTTCTAGTAACTACTATCCTATTAAGATTATAGGTAGTAAATAACACTAACTAACCTAGTATAGTAATCTATGCGCTTTTTATTATAATTCTAATCCTATATACCTAGCTTCTTTCTATACTTTTAGGTATATAGGCTCTACCTTCTCCCTATTAATATTCTTAATTCCTTTAATATAGTACTAAATATACTCCTTATAATTATAGGTAAAAGGTAACTTAGCCTAGTTACTAATTCCCTATTAGTATATAGATTAAAAGTTATCTAGTTCTAAATTTTCTACCTTCTCTTTGCTAAAATTTAAGTAAG